GAAAATTGTCAGTCTAACATCCATATAGTTGATTCAGAAAATCCCTAGGTAAGTTTTAAAGCTAAGTACTTTGTGTCTCAATCTCTTCATCTTTATAATGGCTCTGATCATTATGCTTAATGCAGAGATGTTGTAACCACTAAATAAATTAATAAAGTGTTTAATTAGTTCATGAGAGCTCAGAAAACATTAGCTCTTATGAGTGTGTGCCAAGGACTAGGAATGCTGGATAATAGGCAATTCAAGGACAAATAAGAAACTTCTTGTCCCTGTGTTGTTCACAGTTGGAGGCATGAGAGTAAGCATACAACTGCAAACTAATCTTGATAATTATGAATGTGTAGAGGAGAAAGTACTATCCCTTTCTGTGAAGGGTAGGGAAGGGGTAGATCAAGGCAAAATGTATAAAGAAGGTAGTAAGATTAGTATCGAAGGATGGATGAGAATTTGTACAGGTGAGAGGAAGGGCATTTCTGGCAGGGGCACTGAGACTGAAAGAACTAATGTGTCTGGGGACCCACAGCTCAGGAAAGCATAAAATAGCAAGAAGTAAAGTGGAATGATAACATAGCATTCTTCATGACTGGTCTTATTCTATGTTAAGAAGTATGGACCCTGAGTCATGGCTTTGAGCCATTAAAAAGTTTATATAATGAAGATAAGAGAGATATATATATTCTGAGTGGGGAAAGAAGGGTGGTGCAGATAAAGGTAGATGGGAAATAGGCAACATGGAGAGATGATTAACTATTATTGGGATCCATTGAGCCTGTGGAACTTCCAGGGGAAGATATTTTCTTGCAGTGTTGGGGATTAAACCTAGGGCTTGTGCATCTAGACAAATGCTGTACCACTGAGGTCACATCCCAGCCTTGCTAAAGATACTTTACTTAGCATTTCTAAGTCTGTTTCTTCTGTGAAACAAGGAATTAAAACACCTACATGCAGGATTTTATTTGTTTGTTTATTTATGGTGCTGGGGTTTGAACTCAGGGCCTACACATTGAACTACTCCATCAGCCCTTTTTTGTGGTTTTTTTTTTTTTGAAATAGGGTCTCATGAACTATGTGCCCAGGCTGGCTTCGAACTGCGATCCTCCTGATCTCTGTCTCCTGAGTAGCTAGGATTATAGGCATGAGCTACCAGTGCCCAGCTTGCAAGAATGTTTTTAAAGTGAAAAATGAGCTGGATATTGGTGGCTCATGCCTGTATTCCTAGCTGTTTGGGAGGCTAAGATTGAGAGGATCAACATTTGAGGCAAAAAGTTCACAAGACCCCCATTTCAATCAATAGCTAGATGTGTTGGAGTATGCCTGTCATACCAGCTACTCAGGATACTTGATTGGGAGGAATGCAGTTCTAGGCAACCCAGACAAAAAGTTTGAGATGCTCCATCTTAGTCAACAGCTAGCCAGGTATGATGGTGTGGACCTGTCATCCCAGGTATTGTGGAAAGCATTAAATAGGAGGATCATGGTCCAGGCCAGCCTGGGCAAAAAGGGAGACCCTTTTTCCAAAATAACTGGAGCAAAAAGGGCCCTTAGGAAGAAGCAGTTAGTGTTTGGCTTCTTGTTTCATGCTGGGGGTGAACAGAGTCTGTATGTTTTGGGGATTGTTTTTGTTTCATACCTGTGAATGTATGAATGTACAATGTAGTTAGTTGTACATCAATTTATAGTGCTTTTGGTCATTTTCAATTGTTTTAGCTATCTGTGCAGTTTTAAAAGTTTATACCAATGTGTTCGTTAAGGTATTATATTACCAGATTTGAGAACAACTTTGTGTGTGTGTGTGTGTGTGTGTGTGTGTGTGTGTGTGTGTGTGTGTGTGTGTGTTAAGAGTTCGAACTTGGGGCCTCACACTTGCTAGGCAGGTGCTCTGCCACTTGAGTCACTCTGCTAGCCTTATTTTTTATTGCAGAGTTCTCAAACATTCACAAAAGTAGAACTCCCTATACCATCACCTAGCTTAACTGTTAAGATTTTGGCAATCCTGTTTCATCTATATCCTCCCTCCTTCCTTTTTTCTTGGACTGTTAAAAGTAACTAGAGACTTCTTGTCATTACACCTGTAGATATTTCAGATGCATCTCACAACTTATTTTAAACAAAAAACATAACCATCATCATATTGCTACCCTTGATAAAATTAACAGCAGTGGATAAGAAGAATTAATAGATTCCCAAAGAGGTTCAGGATGAAGCAAAAGTGAAGAACCATTTCAAGGCTTATGTACTTAATATTGTGTACTTATGGATGGAGCATTACCCTCTCACTTTTTAGCAAACCCTTTGAATTTTTCTACTTTCCTCCTATTTTTTAGATGTAATAGACATCTGCAGATTAAGATTCCTTGGAATTCAAACCATTTGTCTTTACTTTAACTTACTCTTTTCTATGTGGTGTTTTATCGTCATAATATCTTGAGTCCTCACTATTTTTTCTCTTACTCTTTGACAAATCAAAAATGAAAACTCAGACCTTTGTGGGGTTTTTGCATATGGAAATGATAGGCAGAGCACTCTGCTCTGTAACTAGTGGGTGGCTTTGATGAGAGATGTCTTGTAAAGTTGAGAGATTGTTTGCCACTGTAACTTAGAGATAGGATTTTTAGATTGATTTAGCATTCTTTTTGTTAACTGATTTTTTAAAGATTTTGTTCCCCAAAATCAAAATCAATACCATACTAAAGTATAATGATGTTTATGGCTTTGTAACCATGTTTTTCCCACTTCCAGATTTTTTTCAAAACTTTTTCTTACTGTGTTATAGTAGGAGAGACGGTCATAAGGAAAAGGATTATGGAAAAGCTGGGCGCAGGTAGCTCACATCTGTAATCCTAGCTACTCAGGAGGCAGACATCAGGAGGATCATGGGTTGAAGCCATGAAAGAGGTCTGGTGGAGTGGCTCAATGGGTAGGCCCTAAATTTAAGCCCCACTACCAAAAAAAATAAAATAAAACACAACAAAAAAGAAAAGGGTTATGGAAATATATTTATTTATTAAACAGTTTTTGTTTTGAAATAATTATAAGCACAGGAAGTAACAAAGTTACAAAGTCCTATGTTCTCTCCTCCCATTTTCCTTAGTTTAGTTGTAGTTACATCCTGCATAACTGTAGTACATTGTCAAAAGTATAGAAATTAAACATTGATACATTTGTATTTAATTCTGTCATTTTATTACATGTATATATATGTAACCACCATTGCAATGAAAATATAGAATTATTCTGTTACCACAACTATCCCCCTGCTATTACCCCTACATAGGCATTTCCCCTCCATCCCTAACCTATGACAACACCTAATTTATCCTCAGTTTATATAATTTTGTTATTTTTGTAAATATTACATAAGTAGATTTCTATAGGATGTCCTCTTTTGCCTTTTTCACTCAGAATAATGCCCCTGCAGTCCATCCAAGTTGTTGCATGCATCAATACTTCATTCTGAATATGTTTTTAGTGTAAAAATATATGCTCCGTTAACTCACTATACCAAAACTCAGTCCACCCATAAGTGCCTAATGTCATGCATGTTTAAAAAGACCTACAAACCTAGCCAGGCCCCAGTGGCTCACACCTGTAATCCCAACTGAGATCAGGAGGATTGTGGTTCGTAACAAACCCAGGTAAATAGTTACCGAGACCCTATCTCAAAAAAGGGTTGACAAGTGGCTCAAGTTGTAAGAGTGCTGGCCTAACAATTTTGAGGCTCTCAAAATTGTTCAGATCCCTCCAAAATTAAATAAATAAGCCTGTGAATTTTTGTGAGTCATGTATATGTTTACATTGTAAAATTACTGTGAAAATAACAGTTTTCTTAAAGTTTGAATTAAATATGTAAGTCTTCTAAACATCAAGTATTTGAAATTTAGAAGTAATGTAAAATCAGCGTCAATCTGTTATTCTGTATTATAAATGGTTTCTCACTTAACTAGGCAAAATATGGGTTCTTTTTCACTTTCTTTGAAATAAATTCAAAATTACAGAAAATTACATAAATAGTATAAGGAACTCATGTATACAGTATTCATCAATTTAACATTTAGCATTTTGTGACATCATTATTTACTGCTTCCATGCAGCTATCAGTCTGTCAGTTTATATTTATACAAATGTATTTTTTCTGAATTATTTGAGCCTAAATTGCATTTATCGTAATCATTACCCTTTGTCATTATGTAATCCCACGGAACCAGGATGTACCCTTAACTCAATCATAGCATAATTAACAAATTAAGGAACTTAACATAACTGTACTATTTTTAGCTAATAGTGCATATTCTAATTTTATCATTTATGTCTTTTTTCGCATTTCCTCCCCTTCATAATCCAGTTTAGGGATGGATGTTCGTTGTCATTTCTGTTATATTTTCTCTAACCTGGAATAATTCTTTAGCTTTTTATTTTCACTAATCTGGAACTTCGGCCTTTGTCTTTTATGAAATTGACATTTTTTGAGACTGTGGGTCAGTTATGTTATAGACTGTTTCTCATAGTGGTTCCCCTGATTAGCTTCAGGTTATACACCAGCTGTATGCCACATTAGGGATATTCTTTTAGTTGTATTACATCTAAAGGCACGTGGTGCCATCAGCATCTCATTAGTGATGTTAGTTTTGATCACTCAGTCAAGGTGTTCTGTCTTTCCATTATGTATTTACTGTTTTTCCCATAACAAGTAGCAGGCAGTCTACGGGCCGATACTTTGAAACCGTGCAAATAATCCTACTCCATTAAACTTGGACTCCAATGCTTTAGGGTTGGTTCTTTAGTGATTCTTATCCAAACCAATCTTTATTTTGAAGATTCAATGTGGGTGAGGCTCACCATCTAAATTGCCTTGTCCAGTAATTCAACTTGATTTTGCAAACATTTGTTAATTTAAAAGCTCTGACCTGTGTACATTACATAATATAATTGCTGGTATATTTTAACTTAAAATGTTTTTAAAACCTCTGGATTTATTTTTAATCCTTTGCTGCCCTCTGCAGGTCCATGAATATAGATCTTTGGAGCAAGGTGAGTACCTTAATATATGTAAAATGCCAATAAGATCAAAAGTTTTAGTAGAGTCACATATTTATGGTATACTCTTATAGGTAAATGGATTCAGAATCTTGAAATGGTAGCTTTAAAACAACAGGAAATTTGTTATGGACATAGTCTTTAAATTAGTCCTAAAATCTAAGATTTTCAATTTTTCCAAATGAAAACTGTTAAAATTATTATAATATTTGACCTTACAGTTTAAAATTTTTCTTGATATGTGTATAGAAACATATGTATATGTGTAATGCATTATATGTGTGTGTGTTTCTAAATATGAATGGTATGCAGACCAACTTTATATTGTTACCTTTTTAAGATGTTTACTGATTTTATGCAGGAAGAACAACTATGAATTGCCTGAAAGATTTTCAGTTTACTAAAATCAGAGTACACATTATTAATTAAAATTCTTAGTTTAAGTTTGTTTTGGCTTGAGCTTTTTTGTGATGCTGGAGTTTGAAGCCATACTAGGAAAGTGCTCTACAACTGATCTACATATTTTTTAAAATTCATTCTATTTCTAGTGTTACTTGAACTGCCATTCAAGATATGTACTCAATTCTAATATATAGTTGGGATATTTATATTCTCTTTTGACCAGAGATATTTTTCATTGCTTAATTCCTTAAAAGTATTATTATCGTTCAAATTTGGATTGAGTATGATTGTCTTACATGTGATGTATGGCTATAATTTCTGATAGAATTGTCTTTGTGTTCTTGATTAAAAGATAGTTTGTAGGGGAGAATTGTTTTATTTTTCTTTTGAACAGTTCTTGTTTCTAACCTAACTGTCTTTTGAATTGCCATGAAATAAATGCAGCATGATTTTCATGGGGGCATACGACCAGTTTTTCCTAATTTTCCATATAGCAAATAAACAATAGTTCTAGTAATACAGTTTGAGTTGTAAACATTTACATATATGCCAGGCACTGACTTAAAAGCACATAAGCTCAGTTTACAGACTACATATAAAGTAGTTCAGAACTCCTAACCCATATCATTTTGAACAACTACTGTACGTCTCTTTTCTGTCTTCAGCCTGAGGGTGTGTATAATCAAGTACTGTGTTCAAAGCTACAAAGTCAGTACTACAGGTTGTGTAACAATTTTTGTCATAAAATGTATGTTTGAAGTTTTTAAATAAAAAGTTTGCTGGTAGAATTCATGTTGAAAATTAAATGTTTAGGAATATCTTTTAATTCTTATGAATTCAATTGATAAGAATTCTTGGGACCAAATATGTTAGAACTTTAGACCCTTTTTGTTTTAGTGCCATTAAAAATTAATGGAGAAATGACTTTGAATAACAAAAGATATAAATTATTTACTGGTTCAGTACATTTTACTGTATAGTTTCTGTAAAACCTCATTTAAAAGGAGGATAATGGGCCAGTATGGTGGTTCATGCCTATAATCCCTATACTCAGGAGGCTAGTGAGGCAGAAGGATGGCAAGTTCTAGGCCAGGCTGAGCCATACAGCAGGATTCTGTCTCCACAAACCTAAATAAGTAAATAAATGAAATGAAAGGAGGATATTAGTCCAGTTTTAACAAAACCAAAACCAGTATGATGAGAAATAATATTGGTCATAATACCAATGTGTTATTTTCTGTTTGTAAGAAATAATTTAAAATGATATATAAACAAATCGCTTTAGAGGCTTTCTTTGTGACATTTCATAAAACATTGCGGTTTTCCTTTGATGTATTTGTTTTTATTTTTAGAAGACAAACCTATTATTTAAAAACAAAACAATCTCTGGTGGGTGTGGGTGGTGTTGGATTACTGTGATACAGAATAATACCTTACTGGGGAGAGGCTTTATTATTTCAAGAATTCAATTTCAGATTGTATTTGTTCTTGTTTCCTTCTCTTGCTGCAATGCACAAATTTTCTGTCTTTCCAGATAACAGAATTATTGTACAAGGATGGACGTTATTGCCAGGAGCCCCCAGGACCAACGGGTACTGTTTCAATTTCGATGATTGTAACTTATCCACAGATCAATTCTTCTGTGTGATGATGGGCTAGAAGGATTACAGAAGTGAAGACTTTCTTTTTGAAAGTGAAATTTGATATTTTATTTTGATAACCGCAACATTTCAAGATCTGTAAGGCATTTGGTTTTTTTAATAATTATTTTTAAAGATAGGATTGTGAGACTTTCTTTTCAGATGTAAAGGAAATGTTTCCCATAGCATCTATGGAGACAAGCATAAAATTAGTGATTGTTAGTGTTTACATGATTTTAATGCTTTTCAGGTATAATTAGTTTTAAACATACAAAGTAGAAAAAAAGGTCTTGTGGATTTTTTTCCAACTTAAATATAATTTGTTACCTAAAAGACATTATTTTGGCATGTAATACTTTTCATGAAGCTTAGAATATATATATTGTTCTATAGGAATACTTTCTTGAAAGTTCAAATCTCTTATCCTAGGTATTAACACATGGCCCTATACATTTTATGCTTGAATGCATAAGAAAATTACTGTTGTTACAAAACATCTTTGTTAATCTTTGGATTTTCATTGGCTAATAGGCAGGTCTCCATGGGATTACTCTATCTGTTTATTAAAATTATTTAACTTTCTTTACTCAATATTTAGCAATCTTAATTTTGTATGTTTCCCAAATATACCACAAGAATTTGGTATAGAAATGTGTAAAGACATTTTTTTATTCTTAGTACTTGTGCTTTGGACAGAAGAGGGGTAAAGCCTTGGGCAGGACCACTTCTGTCACAGAGTGGTGGAAAAAAATAGATTGAAGTAAGATTCAGTACTGAAAAGCTGTCACTTGGTCTGAAAATAATTAATATTCCTTTCACTCACCAGTTAGATATGTGCTCCCAAAGCACATAATCTCTATGCCTCAGTGATCATTGTTGCCATTTCAGAGCCTCTCATCAGGGTGACATCTCACACCAAAATGATTTCTTATAAATTAATCTTGATAACATGACAGTCTCAGTAATTTTAGTGGAATGCTTTCTCTTGTTTTTTTCCACAGAAGCTGTTGGCTATTTTCTTTATAACTTGATTGACAGCATGAGTGACTCAGAGGTACAGGCCAAGGAGGAGCGTTTGAGACAATACTTCCATCAGCTGAAGGAGATGGTACCATTTCATTTTTTGCTATATAATGCCTGTCCTGCTTGACATGTATCTATTAGGTTTGAAATTGCTGCTTTTAAGTACAACCAGACCACTTCTCAATGACATGCAAGAGTTGGAGACTTAAATTATATCTGACATAATTTCTGTTAAGACAAATTTCAGTTTAGTTGTCTAAAACTCAGTGTTTTCCTCCCTCCCTTCCCTTCATACAGAATGTAAAAATTTCTGAAAATATCTACAGAGGCATTCGTAATCTTCTGGATAGCTACCACGTTCCTGAATTGATTAAGGTGTGTGAAATAGTAATCAACTTTATTAAATGCTTAATTTATGTGTAAAAACTCAAGATTTTATTTAAATATGATTTTGGCCAGGTGTTTTGTTTTTTTTTTCCAATGACCCTGAAACAAAGTTTTTCATTGATTGTTGTTAAAAACTGTTTATATAGTGAAGAATAAGTTTAAAACATTCATTGTATTGGTTAATAAAGTATAAACAGAATTATTGCAAAATTTTCGAAAGGTACAAAGATAGCAGTAAATGAAATTAAATTTTCAAAATTTGCTTTTGACATTTGCTGATATATTTTTCACTATGTTTTCTAATTCTGTGCTATTTAAATCTCAATTTTAGGATGTTAAGATGTTGGTTGAAAAAGAGAAGATAGACTCTCAAAAAGTAAGTAGAGGTTTGAGTGGATTCTACATGCTATAATAACCACATTTAGTGAGAATTTTAGATGGTCCTGGTAAAACCACTATTTCCTAACATTTTTATCATCTTGTATATGTGTAAGAATTTAGTAAATCCCATTTCCCATCTCAGAAAAATCAGCAGATCTAGGAAATTCGCATATATTGTGGGGATGTCCTGGAGACAATCCATGGATTCCAAGATTAATATCCCAGACGACATTTATATCGAGGAAAGTACATAGTCAATTTAAAGGGAAGAGAGGTAAGGGCTGTATTTGCTTTTTGTAGTAAATTTTTCTTTTTTTCTATTTCTGTAGACTTTGCAACTTACATCATCTGATTTAGAGTCTACACTTGAAAACCTGAAAGCTAAAAATCAACCTATAGGAGATGTCCTAAAGCAGCTCATACTAATGCTTTGTTCAGAAGAGGTAACATTTGTTAAAATATTTCAAATATGCTACTGGAATAAATACTCTGTTGATCACAGTAACCAACACCCAATATAATATTTATAATTGTTACAATTGATTATTGCTTGAGAACAATGCAATTAAATGAAAGGTTAACTAATTTTAGTTACACCTTGAATGGCATGTTTTCAGGTTGCTGTAGTTTGTTTACAATAATCTGCAAAGTGAATGATAGTAACAGCCGTGATAGGTTTATCATACATGCCAAATGTCCTTTCAAGCCATGGCTCCAGTTTCTTATATCTAGATTGTCAAGCAACTGATACATGCAGTAGTCATTTGCAAGTCAAATATTACTAGCTTGTTAATGCAGGGATTGAAATTCCATTTTCCTGCTGGAAAAAAGCTCTTTCTGAGATAAAGGGTCTTTTGCCGTTTTCAGCAGGCGTCCAGCTGTACTTTGTGTTCATTTTAGTGTGTGTCTGCAATTTATGGGATATCGCTAGACTTCTTTCAGTTTCTAGTTCGGTATAGTTTAGTCATAAACCTATGGTTTTATAGGGGGAAAAAAAAATGTAAGTAACGTTGAGATTATAGTATGGTACTATGACATTCTAAAAGATATTTTCACAATACTTGAATCCTAAACTATACTTGAGGAACTTTTAAATGATATGTCTTTCTGCATCTGGAAATTACATTGTGCGTAGAGGCTGACCTGAGAAATACTTAATGTGAAAGTCTTCTTTAAAATGATATGCAATACAGAAAGCTGAAACATCAAATTTAATGTAAATAGTAGCTTATTTTACATCACCAATAACAAATCTTTTGTAATCCTACATCCATATCTAGCTTTTTAAAAAGTGAATAAAAATACCAAGGGACAGAGTCAGGTTGATAGCCTGGAACCATTTACTTTTGAAGACACTCTTTAACTTTTTAAAAACTTTGAACATTCAAACTATGACATTTTTATATATTAATTTTTCTCTTTCACATCAATTTTTTATTTTAGAATATGCAAAAAGCCCTTGAATTGAAAGCAAAATATGAATCAGACATGGTTATTGGTGGCTATGCAGCTTTAATAAATTTGTGCTGTCGGCATGACAATGCAGAAGATGCATTGAACTTGAAGCAAGAATTGTAAGTACCCTAGCACCAAAGCAAGTTATCAGCTTGCTAATATACAGCCCTTGGTGGATCACCTAGATTTAATATTACTATCCTATGGTAATAATTTTTAAAAATTCTTTTATTATTAAATGAAACTTCATAATGTAAGACTGATTAATCGTGACTTGTTTCAAGTAAGGTTTCTTTTTAGGTATGATAAGACATTCTAGTCCTCAAAGCCAAGGCTTTTTTTCCATTGGTTATACAATTGTCTATCGCAGTAGTGGTGATGGTAACTGTTTTATAAGCCTTGATAAGTTTTTTGTGCTTTATCTTAGTGTAAACAAACTTCTGTCCATTTCTCAAGTATCTTTCATTTCCCATCCTGATCGATTATATCAGATAATAATATGTCATTTTGGGTATCTCAGTGTTGACGATGAAGGCTAGAATCACTTAGAAAGTGCTGTGAAACCAAAGCATTTCTTATTGTGCGTAGTGTTAGATTTTCACTTCTGTAATCACTGTGAATGCAATTGCATGTGAATTAATATATTACTTAGAAAATAAATCTTAAGAATAGGGGCCAGGGGGAAGAGGGAGGGCGTAGGAGGGGGCAGGAGGGGAGAAAAGAGGGAGTGGGGGGGCAGAGGGGAGAAATGACCCAAAAATTGTATGCACATATGAATAAATGAAAAAAAATATAGAGGCAGTATTAATAACAATTCAGATCTTCTGAGGAGCTTTTGGAAAGTAATAAAATGGACATTGATGTCCTTTTCGTAGCTAACTGGCTTTTAATACAACTGGTTTTGTTTTTATAGAGACCGTTTACATTCATCTGCTGTCCTTGACACCAACAAGTATGTAGGCCTTGTAAGAGTATTGGGAAAACATGGCAAGCTCCAAGGTAAGCCTCGGCACATAAAGGAAAGATGTGATGCAAGTATTTGCCACTAGAATAACATGTGAATTGATATTAATGGTGTATCATGTCCTGTAAAGTGCTTGAACACTTTGCATATAAATTTACATGTGAATCCAACCAGAGCTGCATGGACATTGTAGGCCATTAGTTTTAATGGATTGGCAAGCTTGTCATTTACATTTGCACAGCTCAGTGCTTTTTGCATTTTTCTGCAGCTAGTTTTTATTAGCATTGCTGTTTGGATTGAGTTTGAAGATCACAACTTATGGCACAATTTGCTTATATGCCTGCACTAATGGCTTTGTTTTTGCTTAAGAAGATCTGAAGGCTGAACATAAAACTTAGGAACATAATCTAATATATAAGAATTTAAATTTTGCAGTATTTTGTCTCAACTTTTAATAACATTAACAAAATGTATATTTTAATTAAGGTTTTTATTTAGAAGTTCATGAGAAGAGTATAGCTAATCATATAGCCAATTTGCACGCTCTGATTTTCTTACTGTAGAGTTAATCCTTAACCTAATATAATGAATTGCACTTGATAATTAATTCTTACTGTTTGCTTGTTTCATCAGTTTGTGATTTGGGTTTATTTTAAAGCTTCCTTTTAGCCTCCCTCTTATCTTTTTATTTTTAGAAGACTCTTTAATTTTCTTACAGGGAAAAAATGTAGAGAAAATATTTGAACATTGAAATTTTTCCTACAAAGCCTAACACAGAAAACTCTTTATAAAAATTAGCCTGCTCTTTTAAAATCACTTTTTGTAACGTGGTCAAAACATTTTGTCTGTGTAATAATTAAGAACAACATTATAAAAATGCACTTATTCCATATCCTAAAATGTTTGTTTCTGCCTTACTAATGAAGCTTAATGAATCTAATGTATTAACATGCAGTCTTTTGGAAAGCTTTCATTGGCTCTGCTTGGCTAATTAGTATCGACATAGCAAACAGGCCCTATCGGTATCAGACCATTAGTCTGGCTGTATATACAGTGTAAACACATCTTTATTATCTGGCCTCCTGACAAGCCATCTGCTGAAGAAACAATGGTGTGATTTAGCAGATGTTAGCTCTGAACGATAAAAGCATCCATTTAGGAGGATCTTACAGCTATAGGGCAGACTGTACAGGGTTATGTGGTGCAGAGTGGGCACACAGTCCCTATCTATAATTTGTAGTCAAAGTTGCAGGGAAATGATAAAACCATGCTATTGTGGATTTATAATTGTAGTCTCGTTTAGAAATGCAAGTAGTAATTAACTTGAAATCGGCATTATACACTAGAATTTACATTCCTGCTGGGCTTGAAATGCTGTTTTAATAGCAGTTTGTTTTCCCTACATGAAATTACCTAAGGGTCTTTTGTGTTACTTCATTGTAGATGCTATTAACATTCTAAAAGAGATGAAAGAGAAGGATGTTCTTATCAAAGATGCAACACTCTTGTCCTTTTTCCACATCCTAAATGGTGCAGCTTTAAGAGGTGAAATAGAAACAGTGAAACAGTTGCATGAAGCCATCGTGACTCTAGGGTTAGCAAAACCATCCACCAACATAAGTTTCCCATTGGTCACTGTACACCTGGAAAAGTAAGTTAATTGAATTTTGAATTTTTAATGTTGGTGTTAAAAGAATGAGTCTAATCATTTCGGAATTATACTTTGTAAATGCTGTGATTTGAAATCCTTGGGAGTCATCTGCTAAAGAATAAGAGGACTACGAGAGGGACTAGGTGACCTTTAAAATCACCAGCAGCCCTGTGGCTCTATTACTTACTTCTCAATAAAATGTTCTCTGGTGACTTTTTTTTTTGTAGGAGCATGTGATGATATTACATGAAATCCAATCTGGTTATTGAGCTCAATAAAATGCTAATTATTAATAAATATAAGAAAGAAGGATCCTGTGTGGTTTTTTATCATATATTATGACTATAATTCAGGCAATAAATGTAGAAACGTATCTTCAGTACTCCTAATCTCCACATGCTATTTTAATTACATATACCAACTCAGTTAGCCTAGCTTTGTGAATGTTGGAGATATCTCTGTGTTGATGATCATGCAAGATTTATTGAGTTCAAGAATTTTTCATTTGAAATGGTCTTATTGGTGCCTAGTTTAAAGTATTTTTTGTAATGCAAATCGTAAAATCAGTTTATTCTTTTGTAATGAGTGAAATATTTTAGTGAGATGACTAGCATCTGTTTATTGCCTTTTCCTTTTGCTTTTGTTTTCTGTTAGCTCTTTTAATTTTCTAGATCTTACTTCTTTGTCATCTTTTCATGGTTTAATGAAGGTTGTAATCTGTGATTAGGATTTTCTGATTGTTGTATAGATGTTCCAGGAGAAAAATGTAATTTATATCTTAACAATTGTAAATCTTCCCAAATTTCTGGTAGTTTTTTAATTTATTTATTAGGAAATACAGTTAACTGGATATAATGAAAGACTTTGTATTGAATTTAAAATATAGAATTAAAAATACCTCTTTTAACTAGATTCTATTAGGAAATAAATCTATTCATACATGACAGCAAACACATGGGCACACACCCAAAATAATTCCTTTGCCATCCAATCATAGACAGTTATCAAAAGTTAAATGATTGTCCAAAACTTAACCTCCACGATCTCTTCTTTGAAAGAACTCTAGTGATTCGGACAATTACTGTGTTACTGAGTTCTCATATTCACAGCCACATTTATATGGAAGTCCTATAATTAATATGTTTCCTATTAGATTTTTTTTTCGATTATTTAAAAGATCCATCTCTGCAAATTGCATGTGGGACTCTACACAAAGATTTGAAAGAATTGGGCCCTGTGCCCAGAAGAATTAGTCCCTCATACATTACTGGGCAGAAATAAAATAATTAACAAAGAAAATGAGGCAATGATAGAAAGCATCTTACAAACGTGAAAGTTTTCCAAAAGAGGTCTGCAGATGGGGCTCACGAACCAAGGAGAACTTAGTCAAGGGAAAAATGGAAACAGCATGGAATTTAGATGTTAACCTGCAGCATCCTCTGTGCTTTTGGTTATTAGACTGGTCAAATATTTATATTTCTGTGACTGTGTTTGTGAATTGGGCTAAAGAAATCTAAAGTAGTATCTTTTTCCTTTATGGTGCCTTACTACTTTCAGATACTTGTAGAAATTATTAGCTTCTATTTCTTTACATAGATTTTTTGTTTGTTTTTATGTTATTTGGCTTTTTTTTGCTATCTTTACTTCGGAAAGACAGTCTCCATGACAAGGTCTTTCAGTTTAATCTATCATAATAAGAAGGTTATTTTCACTGTTTTAGAGTTAGGAGAATAATCAAAAGGAGACAAAGTAAGTTTCATAATTCAAGCCTTGTGGGTTTGGAGATAATGCATTTTTAAAATTCATTTGCTAAGGGAGCTCAAAAACAATAGTAGGTTTATGACATTATAAAGAAGTTGGTAAAATAACCTGTTTCTCTTTTGTCAAAGTGATACCTCTTGCATTGAACAGAAAAGAAATACTCAGTTAAACAAATTTTTGTACGCTTACTCTATTACATTCTACAAGCCATTTATCTATATGTGATCCAAATGAATGTTATTTTGAACATTTTCTTTTGTAACTGTTTTCTTTCACAATTTATTTCTTTTATTAAAATCATGCTTGATTCCAGGAGATGACAGAGATCCTCCACATTTGGGAAGAAAGAAATGCTTTAAAATAGGATAAAAGAGTTTTTGATTAATCTTCATGGGATGTTAAAGGAAATTAATAAAATCTGGCCCATTACATTTGAAAGCAAAGAAATTTGTATGATGCGGTTTCAGATTCACTTGTTTTATAGCTGATCCATTGTGGCTTCATTGCATGTGAAAAATATATGAAACTATTTAACTGGATTATATTAGTGCAAATGATCAAAGCAGCTTTAATTTCTGCTTTGGTTTTGGGGTTTTGGTGTAGGCTGTCTGCACATATGTATATCATTTAAGTGCATCATGGACTTTTTTTTTATCATCTTCCCAGAACTCTTGCTAAATTAATGTTGAGTTTGTCATAAATGTCACAATTTCTCTAAAATGAGCCTGTAAACAAGAAAAGTTTTGAAACTAATTTAACTTCAATAAGTTACATAAGTGGGAAATATACTTTTAAAATGCTGTTTATTCTGTCATACTTACTCCCCTTCAATTTTAGCATCTTCATTTGCATTGGATACTTATTTATGGGAATACTTGCCTTCTAGAGTAAAACTCTTTATGTACTGAAAGGAAATCAAGGAGGTTTGGTTCTTTTACTACATTATTGCAATTAAGAATTTAGCATCATCAGTGCCAAAGGACAAAAAGTGTTTCATTTGCCCTAGGGGACAGAACAGTGATAAGATGATTTTTCGTCAAGGATCATTGGGTCGTAATTAAGTTACATTCATGGCTATTGCTTTTTGAAGGATGATTGGTAAATGACAGGCTTCATGTGCTTAGTACGGACAGTGTGCAGTAAGGTTTTTTTCTCCCTCTGTCAGAAAATCCTGTTGAGCCTGATAATGTAAATGTGGCATTTTATTCTGAACAAAAGAGCAGGGAAATGAGCTATCTTGTCTAATCATTCAGTTGTTTAACACCGACTTCCAGTTTAGACTCAATTGGCTGGAAAGCACTTGACATGTGAAGTTAGTGCTGTTCCGAGCACATGTTTGAGTAAATTTTAAAGTAAGTGACAGCTAAATTGTACCTAGGGAAATTACAAAGCCTTCAACACAGTTAATTTTTTTGGGAGGATTAGTTGTAATTGCAATACCAGTCTCCTTGAAGATTCCTCATTTATAGATGATGAACAGAAAAAAACATGTAGCTCTTTCAAGGGCTGGTTTTCTTAACAGGATAATTTTTGTGAAGATGATGGTTTCTCCTGAATTGATTTCTCCCCATACTAAACATCTCCTGAAGATGTATAGAATAGTCTGTTTTCAGGGTGTTGTTTGATTTTTTTTTATGGCTTTTTTGAACTTTTTGCTCCCCCAGCTCTACTTTTCTCTAGTTATCTCAGATTTGGATCTTTTCAGTCAGTGAGCCCTTTAGGTAAATTGCCACTTCACTACATGATACTTTATGCATAATGTTGAAGCACTTTATTCCAATTAAAAATCAGTATTTGTCATCTTTTTGTAATTTACATTAAGTATCTGCTCTGAATTGAAAAATTATTTCCTAAGAATGTGAAAGAAGCCCAAGTTGAAAGCTAAAGACAGGTGAAGAGGCCGTTGTCACTGATCATTCTAATTTTTATAATTCAAGATCGTATGGAACACATCTATGATATATTGAGGAATTTGAGTCAGGAGTACTTTGTTTCCTGGTAACTTGAGGGAAATAGTTTTTACGAACAGTGGATTCTTTGTATGAATATACGTCTAGCAAGCTTACAACACAACCTAGTGTCTTTTCATTGATGTTATAGCATACTTCAGTTTCATACTAAAGTCTGAAGCAAGAGGTAACATATTACCTCTTCAACACCATGAGCTTTGTGCCTTTTTGATGTTTCTCTTAGTAATAATGAAAAATTACAGTTTGTACTAGTTTTTTATATAGTTTTATTCCCTTAAAAATGGATTATGAACAATAGAATGAATTTTGATTTGGAAAAAATAAATCTATTTCAATTAATAAATATAGCTTGCTTTTATGTGTACAGATCACTTAATGGATCTACCCTATTGTGTGTTTTCTTAAAATTTAGAATTATAGAATCATCTTCTCCCTAGTTTTGCCTTTATTTCTTAGGCTTGCAGAATCTTAGTAAAGTTTACATTGTTAATTGGTGTCAGTCAATGTATTAGTTTTTTTAAATGGCTGCTTCTTATCAGCATGTATAGTTTCATTGGTGAAAATTGATGTAGTCCAAAATTTTTTGTTGAGGGTCTAGCAGAATATGACAGAAAAAAAAAAATGAAAGCAGCAGCAGGAAGCATGAGGGTCTAAGTTCAATTCCCAGTACCACCCAAAAAAAAAGTAAATAAAACTAAGAAAGATTTTTATTTTAGAGATAATAATAAGTTATATAGTTGATTTTCTTTTCATGTTATTTATGGTTTACGAAAGCAATGAGTAAATTTTTTTCAGGAATAGATTTTTAATTTGTATGCAAAGCTTTAGCAAGTATGCATATATATTAAAATATGCACAGAATTTAAGTTTTGAATGCAGAATTAATGTATCTGTAAGATTTTTGAAAGGATTATTATTTTTGAATAGAGTTTAAAATCATTTGTGGTATGCAAAAGAAATCATAGATCACTTCAGGTCACAGAAGCTAGAAGTATGCTGGGTAATGTGTTGGCTCCATTTTGGCTCAGAAGCATTTTTTTCCTTTTTTCTTTTGATTTTTGCTGCTATTGATGATTTTGTCAGGCCTCATAAATGATGATTTTATCTGGTAGTGTGAAACATGTGTGTGGATGAACCTGATCAGTACAGTATTAGACCTGGAATGCAAGGCAAAGGTCCTGAGTTCAGCCATTGTAAAATCCTGCTTTTTATCACCTGAGTTGGGTTCATGATTGGGATCAGAATCCATAGTCCTATGAGTATCCAACTATCTTTGTAGCAATATGAATTTTAAATGCTTTCTTTTTTAGATTTTTATTTCTATCACCTAAGTTTTCAAGATTTAGTAGGAAAAATTAATGATGACAAATTATGCAAGAAATGAAAAATTTTATCTTTTTAAAAGTGACATGATTCACCAACAAGTCAGAATGAAGAAAATAGAGACCAAAAAGAACCAGTCATTTACTTCATTTCTATCTTCAGTACTCTTCGTAAGGAGTGTTTCAGTGTAGATTTGTAATTCATTTTGTTGGCAACGCTAAGAGTAGTAACATTGGTACTTAAAATTACCAATAAACATATGAATTATTTCCATTTTTCTATTCTTGTCTTTTCTGTTGTTGTTCTGAGCATGTATAATCTTCAGAAGGATGTATTTGGAGACCAAGCACTATTAACATGTCGCTTTGATTGACAGAACAATTATTCATTCATTTATTGATAGCTTTGACCTAATGTAGAGGAAATATAACTGAGACAATACTATTTTAGTTTGGGAATGTATCCGAAAAAGCAAATCTTGCCAGTTTTAAAAGGATCGGTATATGTTGCTTTTACTCTTAAAAATGCTTTAGTAGTTCCCCATGCAGTGGAATTGTGGAAAGGCAACACTGAACCTGCGTCTGAGGCAGGGGAGGCTGATTATATAAAGCTTTATATCATATGCGGTAGCTGCTGTAGCATTTCTCTTGTATGACAGTAATCTAGCCTGCAACATCTACTTGCAGTTTTGAAATTAACCTGTAATTTAGTCTTCACCCCAAATGACAAAAATTCAAATGACTCTGTGGGGTGCCAGAAGATGCACTGTAAACAGGGCTTAGTCAGGGGATGAGGTAGAGCTCCTTTAGGACAAGCTGGGTCTCACTGTGATGGTATTACTGCATTGAAATTAATACTTCTTGCTTGTATTTTCCTTTTTTAGTGCAGCTTAAAATCTTAATCTAAATAAAAGAGCTATATATTCTAGGGCAACATAACATTTATATAATGGTCAAAAGTGTTAAGATTTTAGCAGGAAATTTTAAAAGGCTTTCTTTATTCCTTTTGAAAACTTGCCTAAGAGAAATTTGTATTCTCTACAAAGAACATTGCTAATTGTCACTAGTTTTGGATCTATGTCTAACTGTGCATCTTTTAAAAATGATTTTATACTCTTTTCAAGAATCTTTAGTTTGTTGTACCAGATTGTACCACTTTATTGGGTTATGCAAACAATAGTGCTTTTCCTAGAGCATAATGCATTATTAGATGTTCTGAATGGGAAGTGGGAAGTATAGGATCTGCTGCTAGAACCTTCTTCTGTTTACTTAGTAGCTTTAGGTCAATCAGTCAATCTTTAGGTACCTAGTTTCCTTGTTTCTTTAAAAATAAAGGAAGGTAGCAAGAGAATTAGATCACAAAATGTCTGTAGCTCCTCCAAGGTCTTAGGTATTTCTCACAATGTTATTTTCCATTTAAAGGAAAAAAGTACTTTTTAAGGACTTAGAAGAATATAGTTACACACTCTTGTTTAAGAAAGTCTGAGTTAATGAAAATATCCTTTTACCAGCATGTTTTTTTTTTTAAGAAAAAAAAAAGGCATGACTTTATAATTGGAAGTAGTTTTTTAAGCCTGACCCTCTAATAAAGAAAATGTATAAAATTCTCCTGGAATCCACTTACCCCACAATAATATTTTAGTTTTAGCAATAGTGTGTTCCTGTATACCTGGAACCTGAGGCTGTTTCCTAATTATCTAGTAAGGTGGCAGTATCAAAAATATTAAAAAGTTGTAAAGCGCTCAAAAATTGAATAGGTATTAATGGACATTTAATAATGTTTCTGAAATCTGAAATTGTGGAGGACCATAAAAGCACGTAAGTAGATGGAAAAAATTGATGACACTACTTGTTTCTTAGAAATAATTCATCCTTATAGCAACTTAGTACGTAAAATCTTCATCTGCTTTTACTTTTTTCCCCCTAAGTAACATATAGCAAGCAAAATAATAAAAGATGAAGCAAGGAAAACAGTGAACTACTAGAATGTGTGTCTTCTCAGCATTTATTTATATGTAAGGTTTGTTTTTCTCCCTCTTTTTTCTTTTTTTGATTTTGACTTTGTGGCTTTCTACCTTAAGTTGTACTCAACTATTTACATCTTTCTAGACTCTTGTTGAAAGCCTACACTGGATTTAGATACACTTTATTCATTGTTAATTTTTTGACTTTTCCAAGGGATGACTTACCTACTGCTCTTGATGCTGCCCTTGACTGCCATGCAAAGTATAAAATATTACCAAGGATTCATGATGTCTTATGTAAACTGATAGAGAAAGGCGAGACGGATCTGATCCAGAAAGGTCAGTTACCTTCTAATGTCTTCATGTAGTTGGACTTTTTTCCTTGCATATTTAATCTGAATACATTGTTGTGGAACAAAAATATAACAGAAAGGAAGTAGATACAGAGAGAAGCATTGCTGTACTTTTAAATTGACCTAAATTTAATGTTATAAATTTCCTTGACTTTTAATTCTGTTACTTTTGGAAAATTACCCCTGTTTTTGTGCTTCATTTCTTATTGATTTGCCTTTCTGAAGATGTTTTTTTAACCTTATCCTCACCAGTTCTCTTTAAAGCTAATATTATATACATATTCTATTAGATAAGGAATATGACAAAATTAATTAATGAAGCTATAACTGTTAACTTATTCTTAATATTTATTAATATAGTTATTTTGTATTTGTCCAGAACTTTATACGATGCTGTATTTCTGTTTCTTTTTCCTTCTTACATATTGTTTTCTTTTCTCCTGTCTAGCAATGGACTTTGTGAGCCAAGAACAAGGTGAAATGACAATGCTCTATGATCTCTTCTTTGCTTTCCTACAAACAGGAAATTACAAAGAGGCCAAGAAGATCATTGAGGTGTGACCTTTAAGTACAGTATTTTAATTGTACAGCTATTTAGACTCTTAATTAAAATACATTTAAAAAATTTTAACCTTTAATTAAAATTTGATTCATGTTAATAGAATTCAGTCCTAATAATGGGGTGGGGACTTGGCCAGCTTTTTTTACTGTTTATAATTGTTGTTCAGAAAAGGCAGTCTAGTTATATATTGATTTTGTTTCCTCACTTTGTTAAATATACTATTATATATCAAAATGATATTTGCATAGTAAATCTTGGATTGTGGAACAATTAAATTAAACTGGCATTCCTGGGTGTAAAGTTGCTAATCCTCTTTACCAAAGAGTTCTTTGTTCTTAAAAGCAATAGAATTTAATTTGCTGCAGACCATGCTCAGATTTATTTGTAATGCTTGTCTACAAGTTAATCAGCCAAACAAGTGCTGTCTGCAACTGTTTGGCATTTAATTTAAATTTTCTTCTTCTTTTTTTCCCCTGCTATGGTAAGCAGCTTATGGGAAATGGTAGGTGACAAACCTGGCCCATTGAGGATTAATATATTTTATCTAGGCTTTACTGAAAGTTTTGTGTTTTTTTTTTTTTTTTTACTGAATTGATAAGGCAAAGGGCAACTATAAAGCCTGTCCAAATTGTGATTAATTTTACTATTGAGCAATTCTTTGTCCAGTAAGGAAATAAAACAGCTGCAGGAAATGGACCCATTGCTTTAAGAAAGTTATTTTATCTTAGCACTCAGGATGCTGAGGTAGGAGGATCATGAATTTGTGACCTGCCTGAACTGCATAGCAAGACCCTGTCTCAAAAAAGAAAGAAAGAAAGAATAATATTTCATGATATTAAAACTGCTCACATATAAATACATGAGTAGTCACATTTTTCTCAGGTCATATTTTGCTTTTACTTCACGTCCTTTTCCAAAAATATCCATGTTAGGATTGGATTTGGCATCCATAAGTTTGTCTGTGGTTGATTCCTTCATAAAACCGAAAATGTAGGCACACCATCCAGAAAATCATTACTATTTTTCCTGGTGTTTTTTCAAAGGAAAGAAAAGTCTCGAATGGGAAAGCAGGACTAAAATTAGTTGAGAACTTTCTTCTTTTTTCTGTCTTACCACTTAATCTACCCAGTGTCTTAGATAAGAGTTTCTGTAGCTCAAGTAGATCATTTGTATTTTCTAGAAAATGGTATAAACAAATTGAAAGTACATAGTGATCTGAAAATGAGAAAAGCTGTCTGCCTGTTGCGTTTGCTGCTCTGTATGCATGGCATCAGCATTACTAGGTTACTGATCAAAATAGAAATGAAGCTCAGATTTTAAGAGAACAGCAATGAGGGGTTCTGCAGGAAGAAAATAGGTGCTTCTTTCTGCAGAAGACACCAACGGCATGAGAACAAGTTCTCCTTCTGCCATCTCTTTGCTTCTGTAATAATGGACAAGTTACTAAACCTTTCTAAGCTTCTTCATCTATAAAAGGGAGTCTAATATCTGTCTTTAAGATTCAATCACATAATGTATGTAAAGCAGCTTGCATGTTTCCTGGATTATGGTAAGTGATCAATAAGTTAATTCTCTTGGCCCCTTCAGAGTAGGGATTGTGTTGTCTTTACCCCCACGTACTGTTTGGAATGGTGCTTAGCGTTAGGTCGTGCTATCACATGAATAGACAAGAGGACTGCATCTTCATTACTTTAGGGCTTTGCCTTTGTGGGCCATCTAAGAATAACTGTCTGCTCACAACAGAATTTTCAGAGTGGATGTGTTCAAAATTGTTGAAAGGATAAACAGTAATCATACAGAACTACTGAAGTGTCTGAGGGTAGGATAGCAATGGATGTAATATATGAATGTATGCTAAAGGACATTTTTGGTGTTTTATATGGTTAATTGAGTGTAAATTAAGGTGAGAACTTGTGTTTTTTGTCATTCAAATGGAAGACCTAAGGTTTTCTAAGAGATATTGAAAATACGGTAATGGAAATGAATGAACTTGGACTACAGGAGCTATGAAAAAATTCTCCTAGCATTGAGATTTTTATCATTCCCTACAAAGCATTAGCATCTCATCATTAGATAGATTCAGTACAGTTGTGTTTCCACAGTTTTCTTGTTTGAAGTTCTGTGGGAGATAAGATAAACTAGTCATAACAGTGCATACTTTAAATGAAGAAAATACAAGCAGGATTCAATGTATAGATAGGATCTGTTCTTAAAAATGAGTTGGTATATATTTATGTATATACATATATATCATATATTACATATACTTAACATAGACTTATATTTCATTTTTCTACATAGATTATTACAGATAGCTGATTTTCAAAATGTCTTGTTTTCTATAATGAGCATATATACTCTTATACTTAGAAAAAATGTTGTTTTCTTCCAAAGAAAAGAGTAAGAGAACAAGACAGGCAAGTGAGATCATTCTTCAAGGAGCTAATGTGGATTTCCTTGAACATGAATGGAAGTGTGTTGGCTGATAGAAGAAACTTCCTGAATGAAGACCTTTCACTGAGGTTGTCAGTAGTGTCTTCTTGGCTTGTCAGTTTGACCAGCCCTCCCCCTCTTTCTGCCTTCCCTACGTTTTTTTCCTTTCCTCTCCTTCTCTCGCTCTTTTCCTTTCTTTAACAGAAAGTTGTTGGTCATGTGTTACAGTCAAAAAGATAGGTCTTTTTTTAAAAAAGTCTATAAAATGCAGTAGTTGCTATAAGGGAAATTGTTACAGAATTGAAAAGTAAATTGGGAGCTGACCACACACATAAAAAGTGGAGAAGAAGTATTCCAGTCAGAGGAAACTATATGCAAAAGCCCTGATGCAAAAGCATCTTTACCTTTGTGTTCTGCCTCTTAGAACTCTCACTAGTTAGAGGACACTAATAAGGTGACATCTGGAATGTCCAGTACATCACTGACACTTACTAAATGTTAATTTGCGGACTTTTCTTTTTCTATATGACATTTCTTCCTTTGCTCAAGTCAACACTTTGTCTCTTTTGCAGACTCATCATCCTCTGTAGTCTCTACTTCCCGCCAGTATTCTTATAGCACATTCTGGGAATGCCATTCAGGAAATGTTCACAGACTATTTTTATGAGTTTATATGATTGTGTCAGGAAGACAGTTTGTGAGATATATTTTGTGTCTTGCCAGTAATGATGATCAGGTTTTTTTTCCCTGTATATAGAATTAAGTAAAATTTACATGTCTTACTACTTTAAACATGTGAATACCATTAGTCATCTTTGTTTTATCTATCCTTTTGCTCAATGCATACTTCATTTATATATTATTGATATGGGCTGGGCTTAGTAGCCCGTGCATGCAATCTCAGTTACTCAGAAGGCAGTGATTGGGAAGGTTGCAGTTCAAGGCCAGCCCAAGGAAAAAACTTTCCAAGACCACATATCAACAAACAAGTCAGATGTGGTGGTGCAGATCTGTAACTCAGCTGCACAGGAGATGTAGGTAGGAAGAGTGCAGTCTGAGCAAAAGGTACAAAAAACCTATGTAAAAAACATATAAAGCAAAAAGGGATAGGGGTGTGACTCAGGGGTAGAGCATCTGCCTAGCAGGTGCTGAAGGCCTGAGTCAAACTCTAGCAATGCACCCCCTTCCCCAAAAACAAGAGGCCTTAGTTCAAACCCCAGTACAGAAAAAATAAAAATTGAAATGAATCAAATTATAATTGGATCCTTTCTTCACCTTTCATCACTCCTGCTTCATTTCCTTGTAATTGAGAACTTTTTAAAATTACCTCATCACTTCATTATATAAATAAAATAGGTTTTTTTTTGTCCTTTTCTCTTTTGAAAAAATTGTATACTATTATTAGTAATAATGATAATTTAATCTTACTGGCATACTTGGTTTTCAGATCATTCACTTAGGCTGTCATTTACAGCCCCCGATAGACCAAGACAGAAATGTTATGTTACTATATATAAGACCTCTTTTCTGGTTCATTATAGCAGAGAGTCAGCTGAAATCAAGGTCTGCTGAGTTTTAGTCTAGCATTCATTTTACTAGAAATTATGGTAAAATAAGATATTTCTCTGTATACAAACAAAAATGTCTTCATTCCTTTGGTTAAGGTACTTTTGGTCACCTTTGCAGACCATTTAAAATGAATTAAATTATGTGTTTTAAGACTGGACATTAAATCCAGGGAGAGATGTTAAATAATAGTATGAAATGCTAAATAAAAATAGGTCATTTACTTTTACCTACAGTTCTGCGCGGTTCAGTAATCACTGCCATGGGCATCTCGAAGTTCTCTGTGCAGTTGCACAGATGAGCAAGGTTCTGCTTTCAGCTTAACAAGTACTTCTTATTGCAGGCTCAAAGCTAGATTACCAGCTAAACAGTATAACTAATAATGATAAGTCTTACACTTCTCAAATGATTTTCATGTACCTCTTCATATGAACCTCACAAAATAACTGAGACATAATTAGGGCACAGATATTTAAACTCAGAATATGGGTTGGGAAGCTATTTATTTATTTATTTTTAAATGTTACCATTTTTACATTTACTCACATGTGTGGGGAGCTCTGTATTAGTTAATATAAGCCACAAATTTGCAGTCAGACCCTGACTCCCATTGTCTGTGGATTTCCTTATCTCCACGACCTCCTGGCCCCTCATTTCTGAACTACTCTTTCTTGGTTCTTCTCTTTCTTCTCTTCACACTGTAGCCAAACACAATTTGCTGTCTTCTCAGTGTGGGGAAATTCTCTTTTGATGACTTTTGGTTTGAGACCAGAAATTTGGATTATAGTGATCTTTTAGTCTATATTATTCTTCACTTTCTTCTTTACCAGGTAAAATTCAGCATTTTAATTCTGATTTGCCTTCCTTAATAGGGCCAGAGTGGGCCCCCTCTATAGAATGGATTAAAGAGTCATTTTCTCCTCTGACTTCCAAAATTTCAAGATATGTCAGTTCTTAGGCAAATTCATCACCCCTTCTTCCTGAGTTAGTTTGCTTAATGTCTTTTGTAACACTTAGTTAAATGGATAATGTTTAGTTTTTGTTAGTTAAATTGTTAATTTGGCTAGCTCGTCCATATTTTCCTCCTTATTAGCCATGGTCTTTTAGTTATCTCTGAAGATTTTAGAGAAAGGGACAAGTGCTCAGAGGCATGATAAGTACCATGATACCCTTTCTCCTTCCGTGCTCTATCCTACAGGGATATAGGAATAAATAGTTAAGTGGGGCTTTTATTTTTGTTTCTCTGCTCTTGGAAGCCCTGGGTACATGATTTTTCCTCTGACTATATTAGGGTGGAGATTTTCTGGATATTTTCTATTTTGCATATTTACTAGTGTAACAAGAATAAACCAATATAGGTGAAAATTTTTATTTAAGTCAAATTTAAGATGATTTTCCTTGAGATAGAGTTTGAAATATAGAAAAAAATACTCATTTCCTTTACTTCAAATGTAATAATTATGTGATGTCTATTTTTACAAAATATACATAGAAGTTTATGCAGATTTATATCAGTGTAATATAATGAAATTAGAGTAATGACCATTATTGTTTTATTCTGGTTTATTTTTTACTCCCTGTACAAGTGAATCCAGTATTGAATTATAACTACAGAAAGTTGTGTTTTGAAGCACAGTAACTTGAATAGAAACAAACATGCCAGTTTTTCTATTGTAATAATTATTTAGCCTCACTGTGCATTAAGTAAATTGTACGTAGCAAATATTCAGAAAGAACTAGAGGTGAGTTCATTATACTAGCTTTTGATGTATTTGCCATCCCAATTAGAATTCTGTTCTTCTCCCTTTTTTTTTATTACATTTTCTGTTTCTGCTTTCAGTTTGTAGTGTTTAAAATTCAATAAGATGTTAAGAGATAAGCCAGAAATGTTGACTATGACAGCAGCCTAGGAGATTTAGTTAATCTGACCTAGATGTTCTTTTGATGATTGAGATTTATATGTGAAAACAGTTCTCAATTTCAAAATGAAACATAGGAAGATCTGCCCTATACGTCAGCTGTCCTTACACTGACATGCAGATTAATCAGCCACAAATAGGAAGTGTTTGCCACAGAAGTTGTGCTATTTAGATTTGGCATTTGGATCAACAATAATATTGAAAGTTGTAGCCCTTGCATTTCGACATGTTCAAAAGAGGATTATTTACTCGTTTTCCAAGGGCTTTTCGTATATATTGATGTTAGTTTCATTTTCAGTGTAATGCATGTGGAAAAAAACATGTGAGGAAATCCTTGAATAGAAATTGTGTCAGAAGGTAGGTGTTAATGGTATTTGAAAATATATTTCAGTGGTTAATTTAGTCAATATTTATTTCTTGTATCCCAGGGTATGAATACTTGCATAATTAGGATAACATTTACACAACTGTCTTTCTCCACCGAAGCTGAAAGATGTTAGTGTCTGTTTCAGTTCTTAATTTAATGGTTTTGCAATGTTATTTTTTAAAATAAGTAATAATGGGGAACCCGGGCATATTGGTGCATGTCTTAGTCCTAGCTATTGGAGAGGCAAAAGGTTGGAAGGATCACATGCACCCAGGACTTCATGGCTGACCAAGGCGCCACAGCAATAGCCCATCTCTGAAAAATAGCAGTGAGAACTTACAAGTAAGATACCAGATTCAAAGAGTACTTCATCAACACAGCCAAGTGGAAGAGCAGGAAAGTTACCTCCTGTGGGCTGGGGAGCAGCCAGTGCTGATGAGTATGTGGTTGTCTTATCACAATGCTGTGACTGAAATGTAGTGTTCACTGGTGGAACTTTCTTAGAGCTGATGCAAAAACTAGACCTTAGAGTTTTGTTGAAATGGTTTGTTTTTAATTTCAGTACCCAACATTGTAAAATAAGTGCTTGAATCCAGAGTTAATTGACTAGATCTTAGTAATTTCTAATTGAAGATACAACATGTATCTCAATTTTTGAAGTAAATTCAGAATGGGAACAAAATTTAACTACTTTGTTTTACTCTTAAAACATTTAGTTGTGAATCCTAGGCGGCATGTCTGACAGTTATGAGAGTGCTTTTTATCACTGAATTTTACAAAGCATGTTTCTTTTAAAACTGAAAGCCATTGGTTTATTATTGTGACAATTAATAATTGTCTGTAACATTAATAGTTTTTGTCTCCTGAATTTCTTGGGATCCCTGAAGGGGAGGAGGTAAACAAGAGAATCCTTGCACATGTATGTGTTTAATTTGACATAGTTTGGAATTAACTTAGTTTATCAGTTCTTTTTAAACTAAAGAAACAGTAACCATTTTATTCACTGTAGAGCCAGATTCTGGTGACTCACTCTTATAATCCTAGCTAGTTGGGAAGAGGATTGAGGTTTGAGGCCAGCCCAGGCAAATAGTTGGCCACACTCCATCTCCAAAATAACCAGAGCAAAATGGACTGGAGGCATGGTTCAAATGGTAGAGTGCCTGCTTTGCATGTGTGAAGCCTTGAGTTCAAACCCCAGTTCAACCAAAAAGGAAAAAGAAAAAAAAAAAGATTTAAGGAGTGAAAATTAACCTGCAAAGAAGCAGTTTGAAATAACCTGAATCTTCTAGGCACAGGTTAAATGTAGGTTTCATTTTATGCTCCAATCTAATCCTCATGAAAAGTCTTTGATAACTGTGGGATTGAGCTATATGTTTCTGTCTGTATGGCTTGTTTGGCAGCAAATTCATTAGAAGGAAAACTGAGGAAGAATCAATATTTATTTAAAGCCTTACCTTGTATGCTATATGACTACTTTATTTTGCAGACTCCAGGCATTAGAGCTCGACCTGCAAGACTTCAGTGGTTTTGTGATAGATGTATTACCAGTAATAAGGTTTGTGTTTAATTTCTCATATTTGAAGTGCTTAAAACTAAGCAGTGTTACCTTGACTGCTATCCAAATAAGTGATAGCTTATTTCTTGTTCCTGCAGTTTAGAAGTCCTAAAAATGTTAACTTGGGCCCTGAAGATTTTAACTTGCTTCCCCTAGCTATGAGCAAGTTGTCTAGCCTGCTTGGCAACTGAAGCCTGCATCAGTCCTTAGTGACTGGAGGAGGTGCCCGATAGAGCTCAGTTGGATCTCTGCTTTCCTCTCTCCCAGTGCATGTGTCTGTTCACATCATGCCAAGGAAACACCACAGGGAATGAGGAATACACTTGAGTAAAGGAGGTTTTTTTTAATTAATATACTTTTACCTACCCTGTTTCTGTCCCAGATACCTATAAATTTTCCATACTTCTTCTTCATGGAGATTCCCTCAGCTAGATCATTATTCATGTTGTGTTCTTCACTTCAAAGGGTCCTTTAGTCCTTTAAGAAAAAATTGGAGCCAGGCACTGGTTGCTCACACCTATAATCCTAACTACTTCGGAGATTGAGATCAGGAGGATCATAGTTTGAGGACAGCCAGGCAAATACTTCATGAGATGCCCATCTCCAAAATGGACTGAGGCGTGCTCAAGTGGTAGAGTGCCTGCTTTGCAAGCGTGAAGCCCTGAGTTCAAACTCCAGTCCCACAAAAAAAAAAGAAAGAAAAAACTGATATTTTTAATTGTGATAAAGTATACATAATTTAAAATTGATCATTTTAACCATTTTAAGCGTACAGTTTAGTGGCATTGAATACATTCATGCTGTTGTGCATAGCCCTTTAACTTTCGAAGTGAAGTTAATCTTCCCTATGGATAAACCTAATTTGAAGAATTTTTTTAACTACTGTTTGTCAACTATAAAATATACCTTTTACACAGTATAAATCTGTTAATCTTATTTTTAAGATTGAAACTCTGGAAAAATTAGTGGAGCTGACACAGAAGCTTTTTGAATGTGACAGAGACCAGATGTATTACAATCTTCTGAAACTCCACAGTAAGTGATTTGACTGTTCCTCATGTTTTCATTTAGTCTATTGAAGACAGTGGCAGGAAAGGAGTAACAGACTTTGGGGGAGCTCCAGGGATTGTCAAATGTGGAGTCTTCAAAAGAAGCCAAAGTGGAAGCTAGTATGAACTTTATCACAGAATGGTATATAGTGTCCCTAGGCACTGAAATTCTTTTTGTAGAAATAAGAGGATAAGAAATGCTTGATGGTAATCTTCCTGTGCTTCTGAGCCTAGAGCTACAGGTGTCCATGCCTACTTGGCCTGAAACCCCTGCCTACCCAGACTTTCCACTTATATTTAAGGGGGGACTAAAAATTAGGTGGAGAATAGAAAAGGGTTTCTTTTTGATATTTTTTCATACTTGAAAATGGGAGTGTCCTAAGAATCAAAAAGGAACCAAGAAACATCTGATGTAGACATAGTACCATTTAGGAATGTGGAATGATCATTAGTGTGTTCAGGTTAAATGGCAGTTGGTTTGATTTGAGCTCCTCCTTCACTAGGACCAACAGTCCAAATCAAAGTGAAGTTAACTCATGCTGAAGGTCTGTGCCACCAATCCTAAATTGTTTAGCTGACCTTCTAAGAAATTTGGAGAGAAATAATAGCCATATCTCCTAATCAGGCCAGTTTTAGCTGGCATGATGAGGAAATCCCCTCTGCTTTAACCTTTACAGAAAAGTACCTTTGAAATAAGCACTACTTTTTGTTTTGTTTCCTCCCTCCCTCCCTCCCTCTTCTTCCTTCCTTTTTTTTTTTTTTTTTTTCTTTTGCAGTACTGGCCAGTTGGGGTCATAGGGGCAAGCTGCCACACCTACCTTATTTATTTGTTGAGGTAGGGTCTAGTTACTACCTGGCTGGCCCTGAACCACCATCCTCCCAATCTCCACCTCCCAAGGAACTGAGATTTACAGTTGTGAGCCACAAGCTCCCCACTGTTTTGTTTTCTTCAACCATTTTCTGTCAGTAAAGCCAACCTCTGTTCTATTTTATATAACGAGGTGTTTCCCGAATCCATTATGGAAAATAAAATCAATTAACTTCCTTAAGCTAAATCAGAAAAGAAAAGAAGCTCTTCATCAGAGCTACAGAGTTTAATAGAACTTTTTGAGGAAAGACTACTCTTTTTGAAGATTGTGTAAATCTTCAAGTAGATTTATCAGTCACTTCTATAAATAGGTAACTATCAACACATTCAGATGTATAATTTATATAGATCTTTCTGCAGAAAGTGCATATCTGTATACAGACTCATTGCTAAACAATTTCTTTAATATGGTATTTTTGACTCAATTATATATTGCAAACATTTAATCACCTAGATATGACTAATACACTTAATGGATATCCTAGAATTTACTCATCCTTATTGCTGGGCACATGAATAATCTGTATTTGGGTGCTAATTCACCCCTCCACCCATGTTTTTTCCTTTGAAAGAACTAATCTGTGCTTAAAATTAAAATTTTACGCAAACTTAAATATCAGAGTTTCATATTGAAAAGTTCCTTAGCATTTAAACTAGTCCTTACAGACAAAAATATAAACTTTATTCAGGGGGATAAAAATCTAGGACGTCCTTAGAATGCCAGCCATGTGGGAGGACCTGCAGATCTAAATGCGGTGCTCTGGGGCTGGTAGAGTAGCTCAAGTGGTAGAGTGCCAGCCTAGTAATCATGAGACCCTGAGTTCAAACCCTAGCACTGCTGAAAACAAATGTGAGGTAAATGTGGTGCTCTACAGAAAGAGCTGGGTATAAGAACATCTGTGAGGTGTGGTGGTAATCAAGGGAAGGTTGAGGGGTGGCCAGTCATGCAAACCTTTTTCCTGTGCAGATGAATTTTTACTATCATTAAAAGAAAGGGAAGAAAGAGAAGAGAGGAGAAAGGCAAAAGGAAGGGAAATCTTGTAGATCATGAAAATTTTCCTTTAGAATTAAGTAGTCTCTGAGAAAGAAAACCATTTTCTTCCCCGTAATACCCTCTATTTGCTCTATTGGACACATGCCTCCAATTTCTTTTTGCTCTATAGTTGAGCCAGTGGTCTGAGGAGCTCTCAATAGGGTGTTGGTACTCCCTTAAGAGGCTAGAAGCAAGTGAAATCCTTATAGGGAAGTATACTTTTTAATCCAGTTTGTATTCTTATCACCTTCTGTAGTGCTATAAATAGATAATCTGGTTGTAATAACCCTAACTCTTTCCTTTCTGAAGAAAAAGCAAGCTATCCCCTTTTGTAACCTCATTTCCATTTTGCCCTCTGATTTGGATTATTACTTAAAATGTTACATGATCACAGTTTATTTGAAAAACTACATATGTGGTCTGTTACATACTTTAAAAAAATCTATATTTTAGATTGTGGATTTCTGAAAAAATAATTTGCTTAACCTACAGGAATTTTTTATGAGCCATTCTTGGCGTGATTTTAGCCCCTAAAAGGGATTGGTTTAGTTATTTTTAGGTATTTGTTTAAAAGCAACTTTCAGAAATCTTTGATTTTATAGCCAAAAGTTCTCAAAGGTCATTTAGAATACTCTATCTTTTTTAAAGAGGGAACTGTGAGATCCAAGAAAGTGATGTATTTGAAGAGGCAGTGTCCATGTTCTGGTCTCAGCCCAGGTTTATAATTGTTTGAGTCTTTGAATAACATGTATTATCATTGTGGTTTCAGTAAAAAGGATTTCAAGGTGACAGAGGATATTATAAAAGAAAGACACAGCCTTTCTGCACCTGTCTGGATTTATACACAGCTACAGATTTTGATACACTGATTGATTTGATTGCCTTAAATTTTTGTTCTGTATTTTGTGATCCAGATACATTCCTGGGAATTTTTTTCCCTTACAAAAACATTTACTTAGTTATTTCATACTATGTTATACTAATTCCCATTTGAATTTTGAAATACTTTCTTTTTGCAAGTTTCCAGTCCATTTTATCAGGTATCTCATAATATCTTTGTCCTCCCAAAGTAGATGCTTTTTATATCATTTTGTGCCTTTTTTAAAAGAAGAAAATTTATCTTTTCAGAGTTCTTACAGGGTTGTAAATCATCTACCCAAGTTTTCTTCATTGTTTGTAATAGTTTTGTTAGCTTAAAAGTTAATGCCCATTAAAAGTACTTACACAGTACCATTACTGGCTTTTGAAAACTACCTGAGTGCCTCCCACAGTCCACAGGTTCTCTTTGGCAGCCACCAGAAGTATTCTACTTTTTTCCTTCCACAGATAAAGATTCTTAGGCTTGGATTTTTTTTTTCCTTAGTCATACTCGAAATGCTTGGATTTTATATTACATGAGAACATTTAAATGAACAAAAATCTTATGAGAGTCTTGTTTTTGAAAATTTACTATTGTAATGTAAAGTTTTATTTTAGCTAACGACTTCATTATCAAAATATTTATAAAAATCACTCTGAACTTTAGGCTAATTTCTATGATTTAGGCCTCCTTTTTATATGGTTTACATGAAAATGTAAGCTGCAAATCTATGTGTGATCTGGGGAAATTTTTCTACTTACATTTTTCTTTATTGCGTATTTCTATATGAATATGTTTCATTTTTGTTACCTGAATGTTTTACTTTTAGAAGGCATTAGCTATCAAAACACTGGGGTTTTTGTTTTGGGGGAGAACATCTAAGAAAATGCCATTTGTTTTAATATTTTAGTATTTTTCCTTTACAATGCTGAGGAACAAATCTGTTCATATTTTCTGGAATGTTTGTGCTCTAAAATAAGCTCCCTTCCTAGAATTAGACCCTATAAAATCTAACTGTTCCTTATAAGTATTTACAATTTGGAGAGAAAAGATACCTAATTTTAGGCACTATTTAAGTTTTTGCTCTTTGTTTTTATCATCATAGTTATTATTTTTTAATAATGATAGTTATTATTTGTAATTAATTATTATTTATTTTTGGTGACACTGAGGTTTGAAATCAGGGCTTCACACTTGGGAGACAAGTGTTCTACTACTTGAGGCACACCCCCAGTCCAGTTTTTGCTATATATGAAGACTGGGTCATCATGTAAAAAGAACTGGGTTTCTCAATATGAAGGAATCTGCCTGTTTCCTTTCCAAGAGACTTCTTAAACCCTTTAATATTGTTAAGATATCTTTGAGATAAGAAAATGTAATCTATCACACAGTCAGAGGTTCTTCAAGGCAACAGAAGAGTTACAAACAAATGTATCTATTCAACTAAGTAAAAAGGGCTTATAGATTTGTACTTTTAAGGAAAAATCATTCATTGAGCCCTTTTAATCATTTTAGACCTACAGCTGCATACTGAAGGGCGTAGTTGAATTGGTACCTGCTTCCAATTTTGATTTTGGCGGTGGGGAATTTCTCACTCACTTTAAAACACAAACTCTGTATCAACATGATTCTCAAAGTTTTTAATAAAAATACGGAGGTTTTTTAAATTGTTATTATGCTTTAACAGGTAAGGCATTTCTCTGGCTTATAATACAAAAGGTCTTCTAGCTATCCAGAAAAATGTCCCCTCACGTTTGCGCCACATTCACTTTTGGTTCCTCTCCCTGAAGGCAACATTTGGAACAATGCACTCCTCAGCATCAAGTAACAAGAAGTTCTAAATATTTTCATGAATTATGTTTAGTATCTTCATTAATTTCTGCTTACTTACATTCTACAGAAATAAATGGTGATTGGCAAAGAGCTGATGCTGTCTGGAATAGGATGCAAGAAGAAAATGTTATTCCTCGTGAGAAAACACTAAGATTGCTAGCTGAAATCCTTAGAAACAGTAATCAGGAAGTTCCATTTGATGTTCCTGAGGTAATTTGGTTTCAGCATAAGCAAAACAGATTTTGTTGAAGTATATCTCTAGGTCCTAGATTAACCTGCCCTTACACTGAAAAGATCACTGTATTTACCTGTTTTTGTTTAACTGAGTAATTTTGTTTTAAAGTTGTGGTATGAAGATGACAAACATTCCCTGAGCTCAACACCCTCACCTATAGAAGCTATTACTGAGAAAGATGTGTTGAAGGCCTGCCAGTCAAAGGAGAACAAAGGTAAACATGCCCATAGAGTCTTGTTTCTAATAGCAACATGAGGTCTTAGCCCAACAAACTACAGGTTCTCTACCATAGAGGTAGAACTTAAGTTTCTGTATGTTTTGTTTGTACTTTAAATTAACAAAGACATCTTGGCACAATTAAGAATGATAGGTAATATTAAGAATAACTCTTTAATTATATATGATTTATAGAATAATGTTCTTAAATTTTGAGATCTGCTCAAAGTATTTAGAGCTGGAAGAAGGTCAGTATTTCTGTAATTTATTTTTAAATTCTTAACTCATAAAGAACAAAGAAAGCACATCTGGCCAATTACTAAATGTAGTTAATGGGCATATGGGAGGTGGAGATCATGATACTTTTTTTTCCTTTTGGATTTTTGAGACAGAGTCTCACTGTGTAGTCCAAACTAGTCTGAAATCCGTATGTGGCCCAGGCTGACCTCGAACTTACAATTCTCCTGCCTCCTTCTCCCAAGTGCTGAGGTTACACATGTGTACTATGGTACCTGCTCGTGATACTGTTCATTATATTTTTGTTTATATTTGAGATTTTCTTAATTAAAACTATCGTCAGCATACATTTTTATCAAAAATTAATAGTCATGCATTCCTTAACATCAGGGATGTGTTCTGAGAAATATGTCATGGGTGATTTCATTATTGTGTAGACAGCATGAGTGCATTTATACAAAATATGGCTACGACAGCAGTAGACTACATACTGTAATGATACCTCTGTCCTATACGTGGTCCCTGATATGCCAAAGTGTGATGTGGTGCATCACTAAACTTCAAAAATAACATGATCACAATTTCAGAGCAAATATTATACCTTTTATTTGAAAGGAAAAATAATTAGGACATCATATTAGTGTGGGTTGGAATGACCAAGGTTGGAGGTCTTTTTCTAATTCCCTGTCCCCTTCTACTACTAAACTTTTCTGCACACATCTTTGCACCACTACTTTAAAATTTTTATGGCCATCTTTAATCCTCCAGTATGAACTGGCAAAGTGTGTTCTTTATTTTCACTTAGACTTTCTTATACCTTCCCCAAATCATGGATTCCTCTGGTTTCCCTTGACTTTGTTAATTTCTTTCCATAGAATGCTATAATTTCTTCAGTTTTTAAGAGAATTTCAGGTATTCTTTATGATTGCTTAACTATTACGGAAATATAGCTTTGTTTTAATATTTACATTTGGGCTGTATTTAGTAGAAAGAATCAATTTAGAAATCTAAAACACTTAATTTTCTACTTATGTAGACAATTTGTGATATTGACATAAGCTGTAAGAATAAACTAAATTCTTGTTTCTTAATTATCTGGAGTATAACTTTTTTTTTTCTTTTTTAAAGTTGCAGTATTGAAGTTTGAACTCAGGGCTTTGAGCTTTCTAGGCAGGTTCTCTACCACTTAAGCCATGCCTCCAGCTCTTTTTCCTCGAGTTATTTTGGAAATGGGGACTTAATTTCTTTTGTCCAGGGTGGCCTGGACCATAATCCTATTTTATGCTTCCCACCATGTGATGACAGGTGTGTGCCATCAGCTTTTTTCCATTGAGATGAGGCTGACAGACTTTTTTTCCCAGGCTAGGTTGGGCTGGCCTGGCCTTGGAGCCATGATTCTCCTGATTTCAGCTTCCCATATAGCTTGGGATAACCGGTGAACAACACCTCGCTCAGCTATTGTTTTTGTAGCTAGGATTATAAGTGTGATTACAGTGCCCTGCCCCAGAGTATAACTTTTTATTCTTTCTGAGTCATTTTCCTTTGCTGCATAGTCAGTCTGTACATCCTTGAGTCTCTCACTGCGTGTCTGTTAAAGCAAAATATAAAATTAATTATTGTCAATACTGTGTAGACATTCTGATGAAATTTTGATTTGACTGAGGTGAATATAAGTTAATATGTTGTTTTTGTTTAGAGATCTTAAAATTCCTTCATATATTGCCTTTTTAAAAACTTTTTATTTAAGTGAAAACATTTAACTAGTTAGGTAATTAAATATAATGCAGTGAAAATATTGCATCTAATTGTTTTTATCCTATTAATTCAGAGTTCCAAGTTACTTTTTTGTATGTCTCAGGATTTAAATGTGTAGCAAAATATAAATGCTTTGAAACTTGAATGCTTGTATGAGTATTTTTCTGATAGTTCTTAAAGTTGTATTGTGCTTGATATCAGAAATAAACCCACAGTGAATGGGTTTTGTACATTACAATGCTAATTTATTTTTAAAAAGGCAACTAGTGGAGAATAATAAACACTACCATCACAATTTGAGAAAACAGATAATAAGATTCTCTAGGTTTAGTTTGTTAATTTTAAATATGCAGATAGTACTTATGTATCCTCATTGAACAACTAGTGAATTATTGTATGACATTACACCTTCATTTTTTAGCCCCCTTTAAAAGGAAAACGTAGGGACTGGGATATGGTGAGTGGTAGAGCGCTTGCCTAACCTAGCATGCACCAGCCTTGGGTTCAATTCCTAGCACTGCATACACACACGCACACGCACACCAAAAAACAAAAAAGAGGGCAAGGAAAAAAAAACCTACTTCATTTTCATATAGGTATGGATATAGAAATACACACACACATATTAATATTATGTACTGAGTGATAGATTCTTTTGCAGTCATTATTGCATAGCTTGTTTTTAAACTATTTAGCAGAGCTGTGCTGCCTCATTAATAAGTAAATGAAACTGCTCTAAAGTTTGTGATGGATTGATACTGGTATAAATTAAGAGATGACTTGATTTTCTCCCATCTCAGAAGTAAAGTACATCAAATAGACTAGGTGTGTGATGGGAAATAATCAGTAAATACTAATAGAATTCCTTCATGCTTATCTGTGTGTTTTATTTTCTACTTTTTGCTAGTGCCCTGGAACATACTGGCATTCACCAACAAAAATCTCATTCAGGGCACTTGGTAATTTCACAACTCACAGGAATTATTCTTTGGAAGGCTTATTTAAAATCTAATTAGCTAGTACCATTGATGCTTTCACTTGCCCAAACTGTTCTCCTTAACTAAGGTGCAAATATAAATATTGTCCTACTTTTTCTCTTTATATCTCCCAGTTTAAATTGAAGGATAAATTGGTTTTTGATGTTACCACTTCAGTTTAGTTGTATAATGCAAACTTCCCTAACGTATACATGCAAGCCTAACAATTTTTGCCTGTTCACAAACCTATAAAGTAGCATAGAATGTTCTTCTGAACATTAATGTCATGTCCATTCCTAGTTACAGATTCTGCTTTTCTTTACATTGAGCCTTATATATGATAGTTCAGTTATGCACTATCTCTATTGTGTTGTGTTTATACACAGAAGAGAGTGGATTGTAGTTTCAATTGGCTGTTTATAGCCAGGCAATTGTATTTCAGAAAAGTAAGTGACTGAAAAGTGTAGTTACTTCTCTTTTGGTAACATCTTTTCATTCACTGACAGTTATTGTGAACAAGTGAAATAAAACTGTTAATCAGTCAAACAAATGTTGCCTAGTTTACTTGTTAGATATCTGTATATTTGAAAATTGTATGTTTTTGTATAAGTCCTGTCGTAGCCAAATAATTTGATCTCCTAATTTTAGAATTATAGGCTATATTCACTTTAATGCTATTGTGCTGAAATGTTAACCATTGTAACCACCCACTTATAGATTAAAGATAGCTTTAAAATGAATCTTTTGCTCCCCTCAATCTAAATTATACCTGTGGTTTATTTGGACTTTAACACACATTTTGAAACTAGTGTCCTCTTTTTAATAAAATCAGAAGAGCTGCTTCACATTTTTATTGGCATGAACATAATTTATTGACTTAAGAAAGCTAGTATGAAAAATAATTTTTAAAGGAAACCCTTCTTGGTACAATCCATTTTGATGAAATAGTAGTTTCCTCTACTATAACTTGTCTTTAAAAGATCTCCTTGCTCAGTCAGTGTGTATCTCTGTACAATAGTAATGGTAAAGTGAGTTCTTGTTTTGAAAAACAAAATATATGGGTTTAAGGGTTTGGTTTGGGTTTTTCTTCCTTTTTTGTTATTTCAGAATAATAGCTTCTCGTTTTTTTGTTTTTTTTTTTCTCTCATAGATGTGTATAATACTTTCCTGAGAGCCCAAAAGCAAAATACCGTGTTTAGCAGTGAAACTTACAATATTCTTATAAGATTTCTGTTGTCAAAGGATGATTTTACGCAAGCAATGGAAGTGAAAGATTTGTAAGTATTAGTTCATTTGTTAAAACTTACAGTTTAAAAAATATTGGCTATTAGAAATTGTTTAATTTGTTGTAGTGGCAACTGCTCGATTAGCTTAAAACTACGCATAAAAATCATAGGAAAGGTTAACTAATTTTATGGGCTGGTTTAACCTATAAAATATTTAACTTCCTAGTCCTAATCAAGATAGTACATTTTATTTACTTTATATACCCTCAATTCATGTTAGATATCCATGTATAGAAAAGTAATTTTGATTATATTCTATCTTTTATTCACCAACTAGATCCATGTACTTTTTGTGGTGGGAGCATCTTCATAGAATCCAGTCATCAAGGACTTTACACCTAGACTAGGGTTCGAATCTTGGAGGCACTGTGATGTTAGGGAAAACTGCCTGCCATCTTGGAGCCTCAGCTTTTTTCTGTGTGATGAGTACATGACATTAAATATTTTAAAAATATCTTGGGGATACTGAAGGGGATTGTAAGGTAGAAAAACACAGGTACCCAACACATTTCCTATGCTTTCTCTTTTGTTCTTTCTTGATTTTTGGCTTGGTTTTAGTTTGTTTGTTTGGTTTGGTATTTTTAAGACAAGAGTCTGGCCTCAAACTCATGGTTCTCCTGCCTCAGCCTCCTTTGTGCTGAGATTATAGGTATATTCCACCTTGCCTAGCTTAGTTTTTGGATTTAAAAAAAAAATGTTTGGAGGTCTGGATGGGGGGAACTCAAATGGTAAAGTACCTGCCTAGCAGGCATGAGACCCTCAGTTCTAACCCCAGTCCAGCCAAAAAAAATCTGCTTGGTGGTGGTGGTAGCAGTGGTTTTTATCTCTTGGGCTAATCCCCTAGATTAAAAAACATTGCTAATCGAAAGTTTAAAAAAAGGTTTTTTTATTGATGTGTCAGGTAACCTGTCTCTCTCTGTTGTCTTATCCCCAAGTTGCTGTCTTAAAAACCTGAGTTATTAATCAAAAATGTCCTAGAAACGAGAGGTTCTTTGTCACTTGATTTGCACATAGACATGCCCTGTTGGTGGGTCAACGGCTTTCTTTTCTTTTTTGTTCCCTTTTATTTTATTTGTGTGTTTTTGTATGGTGCTAGGATTGAACCTAGGGCCTTGTCCTAACTGTTTTAAAGGTGGGAAGTAGTATATAATTGGGGTTTTGATTTGCATTTGTCTAATTCAACAGCTGTATTTTCAGTGGAAAAGGTCAACCTTTTCCTAATATTCTGTGGATTCTGAAATAATCAGTCTCAAACTTTTTAAGTCACAGGACTTTTAGAATATTAGAGTCTTGACTAGAAAGTAGGTACATGCCATCCTTTCAAGTCACTAGAAAGTACTTGTGTTATTAAACTCACTCATCATAGGGCCATACTTATCTTTTGTGTTCTAGTGTGTTTCAAAAGTGTGTCATGTATGACTGTATTAGTCTATAAGCAAATATGTATGTAGTCTTGAATCACTTGTAAGTCTTCCCACAGTCAAATTAGGACTGCTGAGGTGTTTAATGTCTTCTCTGTCTCATGTACATTTAGTCAGTTGCTCATTAAATTACATACCTCTAGAAATATTCTACATACCCTCAATCATTGTCTTGGAAAATTTTACATTAAACAGCATCCTGTCGACGAACCACTGAAGTCTAGGGTATGGATTATTTTTTTAATTACTTTTTAGAAAATTAGTATGACATTCTTACCCCATAATAATCAAATGTGTTATGAAAGAATAGTGATTTGGAAAAACAAGGAGGCAAAAAAGAAGAGGAGAATTTTGTGTTGAGAATTAGATACAATTAAGTGAAGAGATAGTAGAAGATAAACTTATCAAAGAAAAAAAATACTGAAGGTTGGTCACAAAGACCTGGAATACTTCCCACAAGGACATTTTCACATTATTTTGCCAAGTGTAGGAAGTCACACCTGTAATACTAACTACTCAGGAGGCGGAAGTAGGGAGACAAAGATAAAGGGGATCGCCATCTAGTTCAGCCTTGATAAACAGTGAGACCCTATTTGAAAATACCTAAAGCAAAAGAGGTTGGGGGCATTTTACAAGTGGCACAGTGCCTGCCTAGCAAGTACAAAGCCCTGAGTTCAAAACCCAATATAGGGGGCAAAAATTTAGTCTTCATTTGAATTGGGCTTGTTCTCCAGTCTGGTGGGGGTCTACGGAATGTGCATTTTACTAAGCATACCAGGTGATTCAAGAATCATCCTTAGTGGTGAATTGTACTAACTTGTTACATGTATTATATAGAGCATACTCAAAAAGTAGAAAATGTTCCTAGGGCATGGTTGAAAGCTGAATGTTTCAATGTCTCCCTGCATTCTAGAGTGTTAATGCAGTGCTTGTGCCTCTCATTGAAGTCTGCTAACCAAGCGTAGTTTTCAAAGTGTAATTGCAGACATGCTGTGACTCATGTTATCTATTTAGTGGGACAAAATCAGCATTTTTAAAAAATGAAGTAGAGTGGAAAATATCAAAGCACTTTAGCTTTGATCCCATTTTGTGAAATGTTGATTCCAGTTAAATGTGAAGGTCTCTGTATGTGTGCTGGGATGTAGTATAAAATGTCACTTCTTTCTATAGTCCTACAATGGATCTTGACCTAACAAGTTTGAGAGATGCTGATCTAGAAGATTTTTATAAGCATGGCCCTTCTATTTTTCTTCTGTATCCACAACATGTAAAATTCAGGTTTATCATCTTTTCTTCTCTCTAGGTTTTTATGAAGCTTTTTTGAGGTATGATTGACATATTTTAAAATACACATTTAATGTATACATCTCAATGAGTTTGGGGGATAAGTATACACCCACGAAACTATCAAGGCTGTAAACATATCCATCATCCCAACTTCTTCATTATGTTAGTGTGTGTGTAAGAACCCTGATGGTCTACCCTTTAGTATATAATACACTATTAACTGTAGGCTCTGTGCTATATAGGGCCCCAGACTTGTCTTGCATAACAGACTTTATACCATTTAATCCCATTTCCGTTCCTTATAGTCCCTGGAAACCACCATTCTACTCTGCTTCTGAGTTTGACTTTTTAGATTCCACCTATAAGTGAGACATTCTTTACTTGAGAGCTCTTTTATTTTGCCTATGTTATCCTACCAGAATTATTCTATAGCTGCCTTCTCCACATAGCTGCATGGTCCCAAAAGAATCCACGATCCAACCTAAGATCAACCTGAGAAGAATCTACATGTCCTTTCCACTGAGAAAATAAAATGTGTTTAACTATGAAGAATTATAGCTTTGATTAAACCTATGTTGAGTACTTTTGAAAATAACCCTGGATAGGCAATCCAGAGGTGCAAATTTTTATCTAACAAATTATGTTACTGCAGATATGTCACATAATTTCTCTGGATTCATTTCCTAGTTCATTGCCAATATTAGTATGGGTCATGTCTTCCCCTTCCAGCTCTGTATCAGTGATCAGAGTAAAAAATGGATTGTTACATTTTTATAGGCAACTTTATTGTAAGAGTGACTGTATGAGCTCCTCCTGTAGCCAGAGTCGACCCTCCTAGTATTACTGTGGCACTTTTAACTCCATGAGCAGCGGTATGTTGTTTTAATTATCTGTAACAATGCCAATTATTCAGTCTTAAGAACATAATACAAAAATACCATCTTTACTTTTATTATACCTTTGCTGTCTTTAAGGTATTAGATACATTTGATTTCTAATGAGATTTCTTTATTTCTTTAGTTTTATTAACAAGTTCACTTAGCTTTGTTAACAAGTAATGAAAGTTTAAAGATAACAGTTACAGCTGCCTTGAAATTTTTTATTTGTTTTTTGTGATAGGGTTTTACTCTGTAGCTGAAGCTGGCCTTGAACTCATGATCCTCTTGCCTAAACCTGCCAAGTGCTGTGATTATAGGTGTGAGCCACCATGCCTGACAGGAAAATTTTTAAAGAAGCCAACTTTCTTTCATTTTTAGTTTCCTCATGTTTCAAAGTTAAAATTTTACTTACAGTGAATTGTTTCAGGAGAGACAAACTGCTAATTCAAAGAACAGTAAGGGATATAAATAAATTGTTTTAAATCTCTGATAATATTAAATAATATTCTTGGTGATTTTGGAAATCATTTAAAAACAGCCCTGCTTTATCTCTTGAGTGGCACTTCATTTTCTCTGGTCCTTACTAAAGGCTTCCTGTTTCATTCTGTCTAGAAATAATGCCAAATCTTCACTGATGGCTTTTTATTGGATTGGCCAGTTTTTCTTATCTGAAGTAATATAAATTATAATCACTGAATTAATGTCCTGTGTGTTTGTTACATAAGCACAATCCATAGTCCATTCATTGCTCTGAAATGCTAATGTGGACCTTTACCTGCAATATGGTCTTTGGTTAAAAAAAGTTAATGTAAAATAAGTTCATTTTAAGTTGGAATAGTTAGTACCCTCTCCTTCTTTCTTTATTTGTTTTTTGGGCAGTTTAACAATTAAAAGGTTGGAAATTCTGTCCTGCCCAAACCAGCAGCTACTAACTTTATGTGACTATTTAAATTGTTTCAAGTTAAATAGATTATATTGTTTTTGTTCTCTTTCATAGTACCATTTGGCCACATGCAACTAGTGGCTACCCTATTGGACAGCACAGATAAAAACTATTCCCTTCATCACAGAAAGTTCAGGTTGATCGCTGTGGACAAAATAAAAACTAGCAGTCAAAAGTTCATTTCTTTTATTGTATTGAATTGTTACAACACAAAGATCTTTGTCAGTAACTTTTTGTACTTTCTCTCCTTTTGCCAGGTTGAAATACATTTTTGTGGTGATTGGTCAGTTTGTATATACATTATGTAATAGATCTAGGAGTTTTTTTCTATTTGATGTTTAACTCCACTTTTTTTTATAAGTTTTTTTTCTTTATTCATGTATTCATATGTGCATACATTGTTTTTATCTCCACTTTCATTTTTATAATAAATGGGCAACTTCTTGAGGAAGGGAAAGATTAGTGAAAAATCATGTATTTTGAGTTTTCAAAAAGTTTTGTAGTTTATACTTGTCAGTGAAGAGATTTCTTACCTATTGGTTTTAGAATTTTAGGTAATCAGGGAAATATGCTGTAGTACATAGAAATATATTGGTCTGAGAAGTGAGCTTTTAATAATATCTCATTTTTATTTAATCATGCTACTGATAGAAACAGCAAATCTTTTATTTTATGCAATTTATAGTCTCATGCATGAGTTGTTGACTTAAGAGCTTTAGACATGTGAGATAAAGGGAGAAAAGTCAAACTGGGCAGTGAGTACTTTGGTGGGATTACGAGGATTGGTCAGTGGAATAAGAAAATCCTGTGTCTAGGGACTGCAGGGGTGAACCTTAGAGGCTGAAAGTAGTCGACTGAGAGGACTGGCACACAGTGGTGGTGTTGGAGAATTTCCTTGGGATTGAGGAGAATAATTTAGCAGTGGCCCTCCTGCTCTCACAATTTGTTTAGTTTATTTGGCAAGCTGTGTGGGGGCTGGAAGCAAGGTCACCCTTGAGCTCCATAAGGCAAATGGCAGTGATTACTTTTGCTTCTTGTGACCTGTGAAGATTTCCTAATCAGAAGGTGAACCCAGGGGCATTAAGGATGCTGCAGGTGCATCACAAGAGATGCACAAACGGTGCAGCAGACACATCATGCCCCTTAGGTCTTAGGTTTATTTGCCTTGTTTTGTTTAAATCCTTAAGGTTAAGTTAAGTAAAGCCTATTTTGCTCTTGAGTTTTATAAAGTTGGGGGTTTTGTTTCAATTGTAAGACTGGGACAGAATTGTTACGTGAATTTTTTAATTCAATGTAAGAATAGTTTTGGTTCTGCAATATGTTTAAAAGCTTTAAGAACTGCATGTATCTAGATGACAGAAATTTTAAAATTAATCAACCAAATGATACGGTGTTGGTTAGTAATCTGCATTAGTTTATATCTAAAATACACAGTGCTGAAAATAAGTGTTCATTTTTGTTGCTGGAAGAATAGTTTTACATTTTATAATTACAGTGAATATAGAAAAAAAGAGGAAAAAGTATCCAGCTTCGGATACAGCTGAACAATGCAGGGCATGCAGTTATTTTAGTCATCTAATATGTCACCATTCAAGAATCTGAACCGATTGTTTAAAAAAAAATCTTGTACTTTGTTTCTTTTGTTGCTCATTTCCAACTTTGTCATCTGTCAGAATGCAAAAAAAAAATTATCCTTCTATAACCATTGACAGGATAACACAAAAGCTGTCTCCAGGTCGATATTTTGCAGCAATATTTTTAACATACGAACAGTAGTTTTTATAATTTCACCTTGGTGCTCAACCATTTATTATCGTATCAGAAGCATGTCAGTAATTCCTTTCTAAATGTCTGCTTCTTTTAGCGCTGAGACCCACATCAAGGGCTTCACACTGAACGATGCTGCCAACAGCCTCCTCATCATAACGCAAGTTAGGCGGGATTATTTGAAAGGTATGTCACAATGCTTGACCTTTACGTCACATTAATGCCTCTGCAGATTTTTCTTGTAACGCCCTTCGAATACTTGGATAAAGGAGTCCATTTAGCAAATTACCTGCTTATCAAGAGCCTTTTGTGGTAGCTGAGAGACGTAAATTACTGTACATGCATTTATAATACAGCTTGAATATGAATGTACTTGTCATTTGACCACTTAGTCCAGTTTCCATTCCATTTAACACAAGATGGGTTTTCTTAAGATGAATCACAGCTCTTCAGACATGCAAAATTTGTGTTCCAGAGCGGGAGAAAGTACAGGCTTTCAAGTGCGTTAAAATTCACAGCACAAGTCATTTTGCTTTGGAAATTAACATACTTTCGAGCATCGGAAACAATTCCCAGCAGTTGTTTCTTGCACATTGTGTTGGTTGTGTGTGAGATAGCAAATGAGTTAAATTGAGTGTTAAATGTGTGGGATTGTGCACCAAATGATTATAATATTGATTTTTAAAACTTAATCTAATACTTTTTTAATAGTTCATAATACCAACAGCAATAAAATACGGTATTGTTTGAAGTTTAGGATTTTTAAATGAATGTTAAGAGGGCAACACCAGGAAGATGTGAAGATGACTTTGGGAAGAGTTGGGATGGGGGCCAGGGGTTTGGTGAAGGCTGTTCAGGGGTTTCAGGGGGGCAGATTTGGATCTGGAGATATTACGAATAACCTCTCAGTGGCAACAGTGATGACTCTTAAATTTAGGTACCTAACTTGTCACATTGAGTTTTAGGTTTAAATTTTATTCAGTAACGCCAGTTTTGCTAATACAACAAAATCCACTTAGGAGGTCTTGAAGGTTGGAAAGTAAAGCTCTTTAACTGTAAATGTGTTACTTGGTTTCTTCCACAGTCAGTAATAATAGTGTTGTTCCTCATTTGGATATTTATAAAATAATTTCACATTTCTTGAGAGAAAGTTGTTATCTAATTCTGCAGCTTTAGTATTGCTTGTAATACCTAAGCATACTGGCTATTAGCCATCTCCCTAATTGATTAGGGCTGAATATGTAAGTGGTGATTTCTCCTTTGCAAAATTTCCACCTCAGTGTTCCACAGGCAGGACTCGCCAACTAAACAGTCTTTTTGGACCCCCTTGTGTGGTATAGTAGAGCTTGTTCTTAAAACCTTCAATGCTTTTCTTTTATTCCAATAGAAAAGACTTTGTCAAGTTTGTTTTTCATGTGGAAATGATAAATGATTTTAAGACACTGAAAAATAAAACTTGTTCCCCATTTAAATTTTAAGCTTATTGTAAATAACTTGTTCTTCTATAGGTAATTAAGAGCAAAACATTTTCTAATTTTAACTTCAGGGGTCCTTTTTGGGCTAAATTTGACTTAAGTTTAACTTGACTTGTAGCCTTACTTGTTTGTTAGGTTCCCTATAACAACTACAAGAGAAAGAGGATATAATTTCTCATCTATTCTTAGCTCAATGGAGGGTCTGTAAGCCTGTTGTTCCCTACCCCACCCTCACTGCCCAAGTTTCACCACAGGCTAACTTCTTGTTGGAGTAGAGTGCACACACCAGTGAGGACAGCAGTCTCACTTTAGATATCCTATTTTTATTTCCCTGTGCCCCTGGGATGACAAGCTTGTACCACTATGCCTAGTTGTCAGTTAAAATGGGGTCTCTTGAACTTTTTGCCCACTCTGGCCTCCAACTGAGATCTTTCCCAACTGAGATCCTCCTCATACCACCTCCTAAGTAGCTAGGATTACAGGTTTGAGCTACTGTGCCTGGCCTTTGATTTTTTGTTGTTAGATTTTGATCCACTGGTAAGAAATATTCCCTAGCTAATATTATACTTAGGTACTAAGAATACTTGAGCTTAATTATCTGTGTATAACCACCAGTTCATAAGACATTATCAAGCTGGTTTTCTGTAGATTATATTTTTAGATAGTATAAAAACATTTTTGTTTTCTTATGTGCGTATGTATTTATAAAATTTTATTGAGTATGCTTTTTAAACTACTTATTTGCCCTTTTGCCTATTTGAGACTCAACTCAATAGATTATTTTATAGATTTGGAATTATGGTAGTTTACTCAGTAGTGAATAATTACTAAATTCATGTTTTTTACTGCGTATTCATTTGTTTTTGGCAGCACTAGGGCTTGAACTCAGGGCTTTATATTTGCTGTGCAGCCACTCTTAGTGCTCAAGCCACTCCACCGGCACTGTATTATTTTTAATAGACTGAGAGTTAGTTTTGTCTAGGGACATTACTTTAATTGCTGTGAAATTTTCTTTGGTAATGGTAGTAGTGATTGTGCTATTACTGAGTTCCCTCCCATCTATTACCTTATTTGTTTATCCATAATCAAGTACTTATAGTTGTGAATCTTTAAATAGCCAAACAAAACACTATTGGCTATACCCATAAGAATTGGATGAACTTTATTTTTTTTGAAAACTGAATACAAGAAAATCTGAAAGATACCTAATCATTAAAATAAAATTCATTTCCGTTAGTGTGAAAGTTAAATGCTATAGTTTGGCTCCTTCTGTGTTACGAATACAGTTTGAACCAGAGGATATTTTGAAGAAAATCTTTGAGATATTAAGTTTTGATAATCATGTAATTGAGTTAATAAGAAGTAGCAAAGTATGAATGTAGGTAGAACTTACATATTTTTGGAAGCTCTTTAAATTTTTTAAAATCTCCTTATTTATATTTCTGAATTTGTTAACTTCCTTGAAATTAACCATGAAATATTACTACTGAATGAAACTCAGATTGTGAGTAATACTTGTGTTATTTTCTTTTTGGCGGGAGTGGGGAAGAGGGAATAGTATAATATTTATATTCTCTGAGATGTAAAGAAGAAATGTCAAATAAGACATTTTAAAAAGATTTCTCATAAAGTATTTATTTTCTGTATTCTCAAATAAATTATTCATAGCTTTTTGCATATAGCCATGTGATGCTTATATTTAAAAGCTGATTTTCAAAATGCATTAAAGTCAATATGGATCACATATGAAAACTACCCTCTACTCCTCTATTTTAGCGGCCCTAACAACTCTACAAACAGCCTTGGATTTGGAGCAGATTCCTTCTAGGCTATCTGTGACCCGCCTTATCCAGGCTTTTGCCTTGAAGGGTGACGTCCAAAGCATAGAAGCCATTCAGAAGATGGTGAATGGACTTGATTTAATTGGACTCTCAAGAATGGTTTTCATCAACAACATCGCTTTGGCACAAATAAAGAAGTGAGTGTTTTCAAGCTTTCCAAATGAGCAGTATCTCACATACCACCTTTAAAATTTTCCTAGGCCTTTGCAAACCATGTCATTTGTAGAGGAAATCTCAATGCTGATTATTCCCTATTAGGAGGAGTTATATCTGAAAATGTAGTTTTATCTTTAAATCTTAAGGATAAACATTTATAAAATTCATAAAATTTAGCTCCACTGTTGCTACGTTTTCTCATTATGTTACAGTGCATATTATATGCATGTATTTATGTGTGTGAAATACGTATTGTGTCTTTACATGCACTGTATACATACATGTACGTATGTGTGCCAGACCTCATATTGTCAAAACACTTCCTTACAAACGTGAAAACAAATTCATTTCTTTGTCAGCAAGACCTGAGAGTGACACTCCCCTAGCATGTTGTGGAGCAAAGCACCCCACAAGCTTATAAAAAGTTTCTGGACTGGGGCTGTAGCTCAGAGCAGGTGCTTAGCATGCACAAGGCCCTGGGTTTTGTCCCCAGAGCTTAAAAAAAAAAAGCACTTTGAAAAGGGCTGGTGGCATGGCTGAAGTGGTAGAACGCCTGCCTCTGAGTTCAAATTCCAGTACCACAAAAAAAAAAAACATTTCCGTAATTCCCCGCCTCCATACACATACATACCCACACAGTATTAAACTTCATTCTCTTACCCCTGACTAAATTCTTTGTTGACAGTCACCACTGTAGAAGTACATATTGACTTGACTTCTTACTATCCTCACTAGCAAAGTACTTTGCTTAAATTAAAGGCTCATATCTTAGGGCTGGGTGTGATGGTGTAATACTCAGTACCTGAGAAGCTGAGGCAGGAGGCCAACCTGGGCTACATAGCAAGAAGAGAAAAAAATGTTTCTTAGGTATAATTATGGAATTGGCACTCTTAATGACATTGGGAGGAAATACTCTCTAATACTTAACTTTACGAACATTCATTGATACGCGATATTAAAATACAATATTTGTTTGGGGAGATTTTTTTTGCCTATTTCTTTAAGCAGAAAAATGGTTGTGGGTTTTTGTTGTTGTTTTACCCTTTAAAACTATTTCTCCAAATAGAACTTCACACATTCCCTTTAATGAGAAAATGTGATTTCTCATTAAATGAGAAAATATGGTTGGTTTTTTTATTTGTTATGTTTTTTTGTGACCCTGGGGTTAGAATTTAAGGCCTCACTTTTGCCCTGGATGAGTTTGTTTTTTTCTTAAGTTACAATATAAATACAGTTTATATCATGTGGAAAACATTTTATTCATTATTAAATCTATAAGAAAAATGTTATAAATTCATTTTTATTTGGAGAGTTCTCATTTTCAGTGTAATAATTTCAACATAAAATTGTTTAGCTTTGGAGTGCCATATCATAACTAGAGTTACAGTTATAGATTACCTTAATTAAAAAGATATTATGAAGATAATTTTCTTCATAATTTGTTTAATAAGGCCATGAAATTAATTTTTTTCAATGTAGTGTGAAGATACTTCTGAGAATTTTAGTATTAAGTATTTTCCAAATGTATAGTACCAAACAAAAAGAATTTATATGAATATGGGTTCGAAATATGAAAATACACTTTTTGAATATATTATCAACATTTTTAAAGTCACAAAACGTTATATATTATCTTTGTCTTGTAATGACCACTATGGAATTATAAAACCAAAATTATAGCATTTAGCAAGTTTTCATTTTACACCAGGGAGCTGCAAATTCAAATTAAATATTTAAGATAAGGTTATCCTGATTAATTCTTATCTATAGTTTGATCATGTCTTAAGAAGAGTTTGCAAATAAGCAACTATTTCAACTACCACAACGTAAAACAAGCAAGTGCACAGCACTCAGCACTCAGCGATGGCATTTGCTACCTAAATGTGATTGTCTAGTTTTTTTTAATCAGATTACTGTAAATATATTTCCTTTTTCCCTGAAGTATTTTTTTGAATGGATCTAAAAGTAAGTTCTCATACTAAAGCTGGTTCAATACTAATACAGAAGCAAATATTTCTTTCTAACTTACTTTGCTTTCTTTATAGTGATAAGATAGATGTTGCTATAGAAAACATCGAAAATATGCTTACTTCAGAAAATCAAACCATAGAACCTCAGTACTTTGGCTTGGCATATTTATTCAGAAAAGTAATAGAGGAACAGATGGAACCAGCAGTGGAAAAGTGTAAGTTGGTTGTTTCTAGTAAAGAACAACACGCACATTTTCTGTCTGACAAAACCACAGTTTGAATGAAAGATTTTTTCTTACCTGTTATTTTTCCAGTAAGCATCATGGCAGAGAGATTGGCCAACCAGTTTGCAGTTTACAAACCTGTCACTGATCTTTTCCTTCAGCTTGTGGATTCGGGCAAGGTGGATGATGCTAGAGCTCTTCTACAGGTAATGGAGCAGTGGGGCTTATGTCTTAAGAGAAGTAAACCAAGAAATGACTAGACAGGAGTATGTGGAGGAATATGGAAATTGAGCACTGTAAGGCTAGAACACTTCGATTCAAACATGAGTTGAGGTTGTGTGACAAAGAACAAGATTGTAGGTTGTAGGTTGCTGGATTTAAAGATGAAATGTCCTTATAATTAAGGGGCTGTGGGTGGGGAAAGCGAGTTTTGCTGAAATGATTTAAAGACAAATGTTTCTGTGCAAATAATGTAAAACAACAATTCCTTTGATTTCCTATTTTAATTTCTCCAGTGCTCTAAATAGTGTGTATCACCATGGCAACACAGTTTGCAAACAGAAAGTAGGAAATGTTTGCTTTTCAAGTACAGCTTCTCACTTGAATACCAAACCTTCTCAGTGCCTCATTCAAGGTTTATTAAGAGTTGAATTTGCTTCCTATTCACTTATGTGTCATAGACACATTAAATGACAAATGCAGGTCTCTGTGGCCCACACTCTCAGTTAAATTAGCAATCTTCAGGGAAAGAGACAACTGCATTCATGCCATTCTAGCAGCACTAAATATAAAGCTGCGCCAAGTGCAACAGAGCGGCGGCTGATGGAGCTGCCACTGGCAGTGTACACAAACAGGCACCGCTGGGGAGCCCCTTCCCAGCAGGTGGCAGTCAAACAGTCACCGTGATCCCGCCAACGGCTGTGTTTGTGTAGACTCCCTGTGTCAAATTGAGGCCTGGGACCAATTTCTGATAGTAAATAGTATTATATTCACTTACATTTCCACCAGCTGTGCGATATCAAAAGAAGGAGATAGGGAATGTAAAACTGTACCCATTTGCTTGAGCTCCAGTTTTGATCCTTCAAGTTCATCTAGTTTGACGGCAAAACCCAAGCCATTTTTAAAAGGAATACCTGAAAATTTTTCTCTAGACTAACAGTTGTATTTAAAAATGCTATTGGTTGCAAGGTTTTTACTTTTATTTTTCTGGACAGGGAAGAATCTCAGTGAATTGGGAATTTTTTATTTTTTGGTTCATTTACTTTTTTTCTCCTATCTATTTATTTGGTAAAGAAAAGGCAACTTGTGATAGGTAGGGATGTGAAGAATTTTTGCATTGTTTTATCCTTCGTGTTAAGTTTTATCTTGAGAGGAATATACTCTTAACGCTTTATCTTCATGTGTACATATCTAAACACCCAGGAATATAAGTATATAAATGCCCTGTCATACATGTGATGGTGTTCATATAACTTTCACACATTGGTTTGATAGTTCTCTAGAAAGTGGCACTTGGTACTTATTTTGAGCCACTGGTCTTTCTAGAGAGGACCATGGCCAGCACCTGGGACAGGAGTCAGCAGGGCTGGGCCAGCTGTCCTCAGAGTTGGTCTAGCCTTAGGGTCCTCGCCAATCAGGTCTTGGAGAGACAGCTGAGTGTATTGGTGCAACATCAGCAGTCTTTTCACTTACGTACTTTCGGTAGACCGAGGTTCTAGATGATAAGCCCTTACTTATCCTTTACCTGCTTGTCAAGCTGTAGAACGTTATTCTTAGTTTAGTGAAGACACTTTATTCACAGATGTTGAAAACATCGGCTTATAATATTAATGTTCTGTGTGTCCCCAAAAGTTCTTTTTATACTATTCATTTTAGTATTGACAGTGTTTTAAAGCTTTGAAAGAGCAATGTGCTTTTAGAAACTTAAGAGAATGACATCTATGATGAGTGTACACTAAAATATTGTCTTCCTATATTTGATTTGACTGTAGCATCTGAGATTGGATAGACACTTGATTTATCTGGTCTGTCACATAAACTTTTTTTTGAGTTTAACTTTTGTCTCTTTCTCAAGCACTGGCTGTCTGTTGCAATGAAAGCCTTTTATAAAATAGAGAGATTGAAATCAGTCCTTTTGTATGCATAAGTGTAGGTAATTATACTTTAAAGAGAACTTGCTTTGTACATTTTAATTTTTATAAAGAAACGAGCAGTTATCTCCCTGACACCTTATTAAATGTATAATTAACCTTATGATCCCTGGCTCACTTGTGAATGCTTGGCAGTATAATTGGAGAGGAATAGTGTTTCTTTTTTTCCTCTTTCCTTGCAGTCCTAAACCTTGTTCTGTGGTTGTTGAAGCATTAGTTTAATTTTTCCCTTTTCTTTTTAAACAAACTTTATACTTGCAACACTAAGGACTACATTTTACCAGAACTTGGTATAGCTTGCATATTTCCTTTATTTCTTACCTTAAAAAAGTGATCACTGTTAGGCCTTCCTGTATTATTTGCTTCTGTATTGATATGCTACTGTATTATTGTGAACTTTCTTAATTGAAAATATTCACCTTGATCTGATTGTTTATCAAAAACTTTACTTACTGATAATGTTTTAATTTTTAGAGATGTGGTGCAATTGCCGAACAAACCTCAATCTTGTCATTGTTCTGTATTAGGAGTTCTCACAGACCAGGAAAGGTACAGTGCTGTACTTATTATCATGCTCTGTGGTTTAACATGGAGCTTATTGGTTTAGGAACTTATCTAAAACTGCAATAGAGCCTGAAAACTTTGCCTGTTACAGCTTACTCTTTTAGGATGCTGATACAGACTCAGTCTTGGCTCCTTAGTTGTACTGGAAATGCCAAACAAGTTCATGTAGTGAATTCTCTGTGAATGTAGCTGTGCCTTGAGAGCCATTTAACATGGAAGGTAAATCATGTTGCTTAGGTCAGCTTGGTGCATTTGATGATGCAGAAGTACTGCAAGGGAGTCTGAACACAGCAGGGTGTCTGTCTCCTAGCCACTGGCTGCTTCTGACCATTATCAGGCAAATGAGCCATTTGGCTTTAAAATTGGTATGGTTTCTCAAAATAATGTTCTCATTGGCACAGTCTTACTTTATTTATATTGTAAAAGGGGAATGTGTGTATGTACAGAACCAAGTCCTATTTTTAATGTTTTTTGTTTTTGTTGATGTTCTGTTGCTGTTTTGTTTGGTGCTAGGGATTGAATTCTAGGCCTTGCACATGCTAGGTGAGTACTCTATCGCTGAGGTACATCCTCACCCCTGTTTTTGATGTTTACTAAAAAAGAATAAAAGCATAGTTCAAAATTTTTGTTTAGTTCTGATTTTCCTTTTTTTTCAAGCACCAGGAACTCCATTCTTAGTTTATTTGAGTACTTGACGAAGTTTCAAACTGAGTACCAGATGTTTCACTTAGAACTAGGGACCTCCTTTTCCTTAATTTCCATATGCTTTCCCAATCTGTAAACATTTCCTTTTCTTAATTTACCTAATTACACTTTTTAATCTCAGAATCATGTATTTATGTACAACAAACAACTTTAAGAAAATGCCCCCGTTTTTTTTTTTTCCTTTCAAAGAACCTCCTTCACATTTTAAAAATTTTATGATTAGTAAGTATGGAGTCTGGTGGTGTAGCTCATGGGAAAATGCATGCTTAGTGCCACAACAACAACAAAAAAAGTAAGAATTTTAAAAACACTTGTGGGACTGTGCCAAATTCCTACTGCTTTGCTCAGGAGATGGGACAGGAAGTATAGAACATTTCTCCCAGAAGACTTAAATAGAAGATGTCTAGGAAAGATGCAGTCTAGTTAGGCTTGACCGAATAAACATTCTAAAAAGAGAGCTCAGATTTTTAAACAGGGTTTTACAATGTTCTATTTTTTTGACAGACTAGTTAAACCAGAGTAACCTCTGGTAAGGTAGGAACAGGGCATAAATGTATGTCAGAGTCATTTTTGATTCATTGAACAATGTTAGAGCGTGCCTGTAAGTACCCAGTGGTAATTCATTGGAGTGGGGCAGTTCTGGATTCTCCACAGGGGTCTCCACATCCTCCAAGCAATCAAGTAAAATTTCCCGTGAGACCCTGCAAATGTTCTTTCTGTTCCAAATAGGGGAACTTCAGAATGTTAGGCTAAATTCTTCACATTTCACCAAAAAGCATTTCACCTAAAAATACAGCCCTTATCTCTTCTACCCTTGGGATCTTGTAGCTTTTTGGTATGATTACCCATTGAAAAAGAAGCAATCTTTATGTATTTAAAAATATTATACCGAGATAACATTAGGTATATAGATATTTTAAAAGGTACTCATAGAAATGTACATGGAGTTCCATTAATTTTTCGTTATGATAGTTTCATACATGTATATAACACACTGACGAGGCTTTTTTTTTTTTTTTTTTTGTGGTACTGGGGTTTGAACTCAGGGCTTCATGCTTGCTAGGCAGGCTGTCTACCACTTGAGCCACTCCACCAGCCCTTCCATTAACTTTTGAAAAATGCTGGTTTGTTTTGTCTGTAAATTATTTAGTTGACATCAAATGTTGAGATAAGATACACAGAAAGAAAAACAGTCTTTTAAATGAAATAAGCAGTTTTGTTATAATTATTATCAAGGTTTTGTGATATAATATTAATATATCAATGATTTATATCGCTGTTTTTTGAGTTTGTGGCAATGTTCCCTATATTTAATTTCCTAGGCACCGATTCTGAAGTCTTTGTTGGACTTGATTCCTGAATTAAGTGAAAAGGATCAAGCATACAATTCCATCATGAAAAGCTATGGTAATAAGTTTAATTTTTCCATATTATTCAAGCAACTTAAATATTTGTAGTATAGTCAGCTAAGTCTTCAGCTCAAAGACAGTAATCCTAAATATCAGATAATTACTAATGGTGTAATTATTAATTACAAATTATTTGTAATTACTAATTACAAGTAATTCACTTGGCTCTAGAATATTTTTAAACTACAAGGCACTGGTGGCTCACACCTATAATCCTAGCTAGTTGGGAGGCTGAGATGGGGTGGACTGAGGTTTAAGGCAGCGCAGGGAAATAGTTTGCTGGGCTCCACCTCCAAAATAACCAGGGTAAAATGAGCTGGAGGTGTGACTCAGGTGGTAGAGCACCTGCTTTGCAAGTATGAGGCCATGAGTTCAAACTCCAGTACCACCAAAAAAAAAAGTAAGGAAAATGTATAGTGTCTGTGACACCAGCTTCTGAGATGACTGTAATGATTCTTGCTTTTTGGTACTCACTCCTATGTGTGGCCTCCTCCCATACTGAATGTGTAACCATACAGATATTATAGACATGATGTTTTGGGATTTGGGGGCTAGTTCATAGATGATGTCATGATTTCTGCCTGGTAATTTTTCCTTCTGGGGGAAGCCAGCTGCTATCTTCTAAAAACGCTCAAGCAATCCCATATCAGTAAGGAATTGAGTCTACCCACCAACAGCCACCTCTAACTTGCTAGAATGTGAATAAACCTCCTTGGACACTCTGGCTCCACTCTTTGGGTGACCAGAGTCCTGCCAATATCTTGATTATAACTTCATGAAAGACCTTGAGCCAGAATCATTCAACTAAGCCCCTCCTGAATTTGTGACCCACCAAAACCTCATAAATGCTTATTTAAAAAAAGAAATATATAAAAGTATTCATAACTTTAACATTAAAAATACCACTGAGTTATTCAGAGGAGCCCAGGTATGTTGAGCAGGTTCCTGGGCCTGAAAGACAGTATGATGTAGATAAATATTTGAGACTATCACTTGGCCTTGCCTTCTTGCTCCTTCAGTAACCCCTCCATCTTTCTACCTGCTTCTTTTTACTAAACAGTAACCCAAGATTTACCTCAAATCCTATTTGAAATTCCAGTCTTTTAACTAGTTTATTCCCTCATTGCCACATTTGAAAAGGAACCATCTAAAGTTTCCTCACTAATCCAGATAGCATTTCTAAATTGTGGTCACATTTCCATCTGCCACCCACTGATTTGTTCACTCGAGGCATGAGCAAATAAAGAGTTATTCAACAATCAGAATTAGTAAATTGGTTCTTCACTTTCATACTCTTGTAAGGGGAACATGCTGTATTTCAAAATCACAAACCTCCTCAAATTTCCAGTAACTAAATAACATGAAATAATGGCAAACACATAAAACATTTATATTTTATTACTAAATTAGATAGAAAGTAGAGAAAGAGAAGGTGCTAAAGTTTTCTAAACATCTTAGAAAAGCTGGAGCCTGAGCCCTTGATAATAGCAAGGAAAAGATTCAGGCCCCCTGAAAGGAGTAGAGATTTACAGAGGGGAAGCTGACCTGAGCTAAATTTAGACCATGTAAGAACTGGTGAGTCATTTCCCCTCTATCCTGTTGGAGGAGGCTCAGATTGATCACTGCCCTTCTCACATCCTAGTAGACTGTAATTGAGAACTTGAGTTTATGGTCATTTTAACTATCATTATCATAGCTCTTCAAAATAATGTAATAATAGAAATGCCTGGTACTGTTAGTATTATTCTAAAGGCTTTAAATATAGCCATATGTGTCTCCTTCATGGTGAGTGATACTGAATGAAGGGTGTGGAGAAGGAGTGGGAAGTCTATAGCTTCTGGTGTGGCTTCCTGCTGAAGACATTCATTTATTTATTTGCCATGGGTTAAAGAGATCTAGGGGTCACTGAGCAACAAAGTGTTCCCATAAAAGGATAAGATAGTTCATCTTTACCTACTACTAATAGCTTTTTCTTCTTTAACATGGTCAGGCTTGGACAAAGATGTGGCATCTGCTAAGGCACTGTATGAACATTTGACTGCAAAGAACACAAAATTGAATGACCTGTTTCTAAAGCGTTATGCATTTTTGCTGAGGAATGCTGGAGAACCTGTCCCTTTCACTGAACCCCCTGTGAGTATTTCTTAATTAAGGGGAGAAAATGCCTCCAGATTTACTTGTGCTTCATAAGAATGTTTTTTAAAAAAATAAAATAAGTTGAATACTTAATTACATGAGGATTAATTCTTTGAAGAGCCCCCAGGGTGGGCTTGAGGGACTGAGCCTTGTGGCTGAGGCAGCACAGGCCCTCTGGGGCCGAGGTTTAAATGCAAGGTCTGTCCCAGTCCTGCTTAGAGGTGAGCCTGTCATGTGTCCTTGAACAGGCCCACTTGAGGTGGGACTTAATGGGCCAGTATTTCAGTAGCCAAACACATTATGTCACTGTTAGTTACAGTAATTTTAAATAAGATGGTTTTTATTTCTTCATCTAGGAAATTTGGTTTTCTTTCATAAGAAAAATCAAATACGAAAATTTCGTGTTATTGTATCATTGAACTGAAAGTCATTACACTGTTTTCATTTCAAGCACTTCAGCTTGCCATGCCCAGGTGCAAATAACTGCATCCATAGGCTCCTAGTGCCAGCTTTAACTCAGAACTTGAGATCCTTGTACTTGACTTTTCACAAGACAGAAGGAATGTCAAAGCTTAATGCGTGGGTGAGCCGTGGGCTCAGTAGGCTAGGCTACCAGTTTGCACTGCTTTGCAGTTTTAAGGTTTTACACCATCACCTCTTACTGGTAACTTTATCTGTAACATCTTTCTTTTTTTTCCTCCTTTCAGGAAAGCTTTGAATTTTATGTAAAGCAGCTAAAAGAGTCAAAGGAAGACCCTTCATGAAATAAGCAAGCACTATAGTTTTCTGTGTATTTGTGAACCTGTGTCTAATTGTTATTTTTAAGATGTATTTGAGATGAAAAAATTAAATAAATAAATAAAAACTACTTTTGTTTATGTATTTTTTAATTTGTAAACTGCAGTGTTCAACACTGTATTGACAGAAACTGTGTTCTCTGTCACTGGGTCTTGCTGGGGTTTTGTCAGTGACCTAAATCTATAGCATCTTCTTTAAGGCTCCTAATGCATGAGGCTGCAGTTTTTCAGGGATATTTTCTCATTTGGCCCTTCAGTTCTCCCAGTATTTAATTTGTTTTTTTATAGGAATGTTATTTCTTTATTAAGACTTGCTTATTATATTGTTTATTTGAAAATTTTTGGAGCTGTATATCAAATGATGCAGAATGAACTTCCTAATGCTTAGCGTTTCTCATATGTGAAAATGCTGGCACCAAGGCCATCAAATCCAGCATTTATCATTTTCCAGTGAGAAGCAGACCCAAAGTGGCCTCCCCTTGGTCAGGGTGCTGTTTGCCTCAGCACACTTTCCCTTCTATCACAGTGGTGTCTGGGAGCCTCAGTTCATAGAAGCCTCTAAAATTGAGTCTTAGTTATGACTTTTCATGAAGCAGAGCAATGCACTTCCTTTCATTTTGGTTTCAGGGTTTTGTTAGTACAAATTACACCCTCAACAGGAGACCTTGGCTTGGGGCAGTACATGTATGTTCCTCCTGCTGTGTGTGCTATTGACCTTCTGTCTTGTGGGACCAGCCTCTTGCATCCAGTACCTGCCTGCAGAAGGCCGATGGAGGGAAGCCAAGAGGTGTCATCATGGATAAACCATGCTTCCACTTTAACTGTGGTTGGTGGAATTAGACCTAAGGAAGCAGGAGGTGGACAATGCTGAGGCCCACCTACAGAACATGGCAGTGCTTGCTTTTGTGCACTGGCTGCATACAGGACTTGCATATGTAGTCTTGCTACTGTCTGGTTTGCCAGGAGCCTCACTCTTGTGCACCTGCCTACACTGACTCCAAAGTAGGCCTTAGTTTTTGCAGTCATTCCAACCCAAATTAATTGAACTATTTTCATTGATGTTCATTAAGATATATCTCTAAGGTGAGATAACCCTTGCACATACAGACTTGGAAGTCATCTTTGGGGAAACAAAGTATAACCTCATTTGCACAAAGTAAGATAATATGGGGGTAGTTAATGAGGGACTATTTAGTCAAATACCTTTAGCACTGTATTGATTTGAATGTAAATGTAAGTATGTAAAGTGTGATAATTGCATATTCTAGGTGGCCTGATAAGTGCTTTCTAAATATCTAATAGCATCATTAAATAGTGCTACTGAGTTACAGCAGCTCATTTTGATTATAAGCAAACAACTAATTCTAAAAAGAAAACGTGTAAACTTTTGGCAAGTACAGTGTTTTGTATATAGTTCTGTTTTCATGTATTGGAACTCAATATAATTTAAATGAGGACTGCTTTCAATAAAGTGAATACCATGTCTATGTGAGCTGCTTTTTTGTCACTCAGAACTTTATAGATGGCTGGGATCCCTCCACTACGCACACAAGGTCTTAAGCACCTTCACCTTTCTCAGGTGGCCACTATCAGCATCACCTCTGTGACTTCCTTGTCCTCTCATTTCAACCACCATTTAACTGTTCCCGCTCCAGAGCTCCCACAGTTGTGTCAGCAGAGCATGCCTCCGATAGATTACTTCCAAACAGATTGTAAACTCTCAAGACTACCTGTTGGTTTCATGGTCTGAGTGTCCCCAGATCTCACACAATCCTGGCTTCAGACTACAATAAATTGTGTTGTCTATAATGGGTTCTGTGACTTCTTTATGGTTAACACTACACTGGGCACTAAGCTCCCACTATTATATCCGGCACCCTTTTGCCTGATTTTTGTGGTGAGAAAACAAACACCAAAGTGAATTTGCCCAGAATTGCAGCATGGCTAGGGCTCAAAGTTGTGTTCTTCCTGTCAGAATACAAAGCTGAGGCGATCCAGCTTAAAGTCAGTTAAAAGTCAAATTGGAATCTAGACTGTAAGGAGATTCTATAAAAATCAAAACACCTTTCATATTAATGCAGGTGTTCCCTCCTCCAATGATAAGAATATTTTCTCCCACTTAGCCCAATACTCAGTGCCTGGCATAATCATCAAGTTTTCCAGTAAATTATTAAGCAAGCTTTATTTTGCAAATTATTCTTCTCTGTACAATTTATTTCTCAGTCCTCAGTGTTTGTACTGTGTATGCTTTTCCTCATGTCTTTGAGTTTTTATTTAATATTTGTCTTTCTGAAGAACCAATATTTGTAGAATTTCTAAGTGAAAGCAACATTCCTCAAGTTTAGTGGAACTAATAGCAGCAGGGGGTACAAAATCACCGTCATTTATCTCCTTGCTGTTGTATAATCATGCATGGAGTGTTTCCATTAGAAATGTATCCTGCTTTCAGGCCTGCGACTTTACAAAACCCACATTATGCAGCCTTAGTACAAATAAAATGGCTGCATTTAGCAAATCCAAAACAAGGCACTTATCTTTTCCTTTTTTGCATGAAGAAAAGCAGCATCAGATCCAGGTAAGAGAGGATGCATGTAACCAACCCCATACTCCATGTCTGAGCATTCGTTTGGACAGTGGTTGTCAGCATCCACTGTCCCCTGCCCTGGGCATGGACTTGCTGAAGTGCATTCTGTTTTCATCCTTTGCTTGTTTGGCTGTTTTCCCACATAAAAACATTTCCGCTAGGGCAAATCATTATTTGAAGGCTTCAAAGCTGACCCAGAATGAACCTTTTCTGTGTAAGTTCATTATCTCACATAGTGGTTACTGTCAGAAGAGGAGGAGCTTCTCAGATGAGTTCTGAAAGTCAGACATCAATCTGAGCCAAGCACAGTGCAAGGTCTGCAGTAGTGGAATTAGAAAAAGTAAAGGGCTTTTCTTCAAGCAAGAAACAGTAGAGCTTTTTGGCAGTTTGAGAAAATAAGAATGCCTCCAATTTTATCAAAAGACAAGATAAAAAGATGAATGGTAAATGTGAGCACTATCACCTACCGAGTGGAGTGTTTCAAGTTGGGATGCGTTTAAAAATCTCAACCCACTGCTGACACCACACATGCTGCTATTCCCAGCTCAGCAGAAAATGGGCTGTGCTCCATCTGCCTGCCTGCCTGCCTCCACCCAGCGCTGCCTCAGGCAGGAGCAAGTGACCAGGTGACAGGGACACGTTTTTGTGTGCATTCATGTGGTGTTTAAGGCCCCCCACTTGCTAAGCACCTGTCATACAGTACACACAGATACACCCACCCACCCCCGCTCACCCCCAGCCAATTTAGATGAAGAACCAAGTTAGAAATGAGAAGCAACTTGAGATTTGAATTACCTGGTTCAGGCACGAGCATTGGATATATTTTCCAAATAAGCACAAGTGAAGCAGCAGAATACTACAGCACTTGCTCTGTGCCTTACTGTAGGCTTCCTCAGAGGCTGTTCTGTGCTCCCAGGTACATGGTGAGTGACCCCCCAAGGAAACTGGCGCCCCAGTCTGTGCTAAACTCCTCTGCTAAATTACTAATTTGAGTCTTGGTAGAACCCCTGGCCCCAGGGTCTGTTAACACTTGGATTTGACAGATTTCAATATCTTTGCTGTGAGCTGTTTAATCTGAGATCAAGAAAAGATTTGAAGAAAAATCAAAAGCAAATGCAGGATCTACCTTTGTAGACTGGTTTAACCCAGCACCAGATTGTCTTAAATAACCTTCATAGGAAACGAGCAGTTAAAAAAAAAATCAAAACGAGGAGTATTTGAGTCAATATAGGTAATTATTTTCAGGTTAATTAAAACCCCCCATCAACAGCATAACTTGACATTGGAACACTCAAAATACAGGTACCAAAGTCTTTCTCTTCCGATTGAGGGTCTGCAAGCCACAGCCAGCAAGCGGCCTATTCCTGTAAGTAGTGTTTCATTGGTCCTCAACTACATCACCTGCACTTCACTAACAGCAGAGGCAAGGAATTGTGACAGAGACTTGGTGGCCTAAAGTATTTATCAGCTGACCAAGTTTGCAACCCGTGTTTTTGAGAATCACAAGTAAATTCTACCCCTTTGGGATGCTGGGAAAGATTCAATGGGCAATTCTCTTGTCTGTAGAGTCCAGGCCCTTTTCAGTCTCACATACCCTGGTGAGGGCTTCAAGCAAAACCCTACAGAAACAGATTGGGGGTGAGTCCACAATGGCCTTTGCTAAAGCTCTAGTGTGGGGCAGCCAGGGTAGAGAAACATGGCAGCTGCCTGAGTTCTGGCATATCACCTGCCTTTGCACTTTGCCCTCTGCCCCCCCCCCGTAGCCCTGAGTACCAAAGCCACTGAAGGATGAACTCACACAAAGTCAAGTGATGATTCAGTAGCTGTCAACCCTCACTGCTCACTAGATTTACCTGGTGAACATAAAAAATACTAGTCCCTTCTGTTACTCTTTTCCTTTATTTAGGGCTAAAGTCATTAGGTGTCCACAATGGCAGTGGGGCAGATACGATGAGGACGGAGTCATGCAAATTCAGGGACACACTAATTAATGCACAGGATGAGGAAGCAGTCCACACAGGGAGGTGTACACAGGAAATGGGTTATTATAGAACCAAATAATGAATGCATAGGGTAAAAATAATGGAAGCCAGTTTTCTCCTAATTGGAGAAGAACATTACAGATAGGAAAAGGGGAGAAGACTACAGTCGGCTGGCCTGGATGGGAACTGAATGTTATCTACATAAACTCATATATGTTTAGATGTGTGCGTGCACACACACACAAACACACATACTTGACCCTAACTGTTCACTGAGATGCCTGGGAGCAGTGATGCCTGAGTAGCAATGAGCAAGCTTCTCACTCAGATCTTGGCCTCCACTAAAAGGAATCAAGATTCAGTAGAGACACATCCAATTCCATGGTTAGGTGGGAAAGTACAAAAGCCAGAAATGCTTTGCGGTCCTCAAAGAATAATGGGAACATGCCAAAAGGATACAGAAGCTAACCTAAAGAGGCTCCCATTGCCCAAATCAGGGACAATTTGAGCATCACAATTAATGATGGTAAAGAACTGTAATCCAGGAGTGTAAAATAGGTATAGTGGGGGGGGGGCGGGTACTTGTGGGAGGGAGGGTGAATGGAGGAGGTGAAGGTGAGGGAATATGACTGATGGGCTTCATATGCATATACAAAATAGAAAGATGAAACTTCTTGCAATTGCTTTAAGTGGGGTGGGGAAGTGGTCGGGGGGAGATGGTAGGGGTGATCTAACCAATGTACAAACCTATTTGAAATTGTTTCAATGAATCTCCCATGTACAACAAATATACTCTAACTAAAAAAAACTGCATTGACTAAACTAGGAAACCACAAGTCTATATTGACAGCAGTAACAAGAGAAATATATGGAAAGTTTTATGGGGAATTGGCAATTCCCAGTTCCCCAGTGCCACCCTACCAAATGCTTATCCAGTACAAAGGGAGAAAAAGTTATCACATGACTGGTGACACCCTTCAATCACGTGATCAAAGTGATCAGCGTAGAACAAGTACCACCTGATGGAATGTGCTGAGAAGAACCAGCATCACTCCTGTGATATTCCTGCTGAGGTGCCCAGATTTAATCGTGAGAACACATCAGACAAACTCAAACCGAGATACACCTGCAAAATCTTCAAGTGTCAAGGTTGGGAAAATCAAGAAAAGTTGCAGAACTGTTCTAAAGTGAAGGGAAACCAAAGAGATGGGACAGCTAGATGCAACACTTGATTCTGATCTGGACAAAGGACATTATCAAAATACTTTTAATTTTTTTGTTCTTTTTCTTTTTTTGGTGGTACTAGGAAATTGAACTCAGGGCCTTGCACTTGTTCAGCAGGGACACTACCACTTGAGCCACATTCCCAGTCCTTTTTTGCTTTAGTTAGTTTTCAAATAGGGTCTGTTTGCCTGGATCAACCTCAAACTAGTCCTACTTCTGTCTTCCACATAGCTGGAAATACAGGCTTGCAACACCATGCCCAGCCATGAGTGAGGTTTGTGTGTTGGGTGGTAGTGATGTAACTTGTAAATTCCCTGGGTGTGATGGGTGTGTTGTACAAGGCAGCATGCTAAGGCACTGCTTCTCACACCTGAATATGCATCAAACCACTAAGGGGATCTTCTGAAAATGCAGGTTCTGGGTGGGCCTAGGATCCTGCGTGTCTAACCCAGCGATGTCGTGCTGCTGGCTCAGGGACCTCTCTGAAAGCAAGTCCACCTTTTTGCTTCTCTTGGTTCCAGACTCTCATCTGCTTTTGGAAACCATCCCCTCCCACTCTCTATGCACCTGTTTTAGGAAGTCCTCAATACTCAGGGGTGATGCATGCACCCTGGACCTGCAGCATCATAAGTGAAAAGTGGCCATTGTGAAAGGTTCAAGGCTAGTCCTCACACCCAGCCAGGGTCACTGAGATGCAACTCCAAGGCCCTGATGAGCTGACCCAGCTTCTATCAACCACTTCTGGAGCCTTCCTGGGTTTACCTTCTGCCTTCTAACTCCTAAAGGCCTCAAAAGGCTTTTCTGACCACCACAAGACTCTACCTCATGGTAAGCTATGGGACCTTGGCAAACTGAATTTGTGCCTCAGTGTCCCATAAAATAGGACAGTGCTTACCACACAGGGTTGTTCTGATAACAGATGACAGCATCTACATTAAAGTGTTTTGCACCATACCTGCCACAGAGCAGATGCCTCATAATCTTTTAATTGTTCATTCTTGGAGCCAGTGACTCCACACAAAAAGGAGATGGCATCTCATAGGATGTTTTAGGTCACTTGCATTGTCTTGTGATGCTGGGGATCAAATCCAGAGTCTTGTGCATCTAGACAAGTACTCTTACACTGAGCTACATCCCCAGTCACTTTCCATATTGAAGATACGGGGACACCGGAAGATGAGGCTAACCATTGTGCTAGCTATTATGTTGTCGTTCCCTCTGAGTTCTAGCAGTTCCTGCGTAGCTCAGCTACTAAAGTCACACCTAATTTGCTCCCATCCTATACTGAGTTGCCCATATGAAAACATATCCAAAGGAAATAAATTAGCAATGTTGTAGGTATCACCAAGTACCCGTTTTCTCCCTCCCAATAATCACAAACTGGCCAGTGATCAGAAATCCCTTTCAACTGTCTTTATTCTACTGCCATCCTGTGGCTGACCTGTGCCACTGCAGCACTGTGGGGCAGATTTCGCTGAGCGCCAGTGTCCTCACTGTCCCCAGGAAAGGGCTCCTTGGGAGGAAGGGAGTGCAGTCGAAAGGTCTGCTCTGTGCCCACCAGTGGGTGGGAGTCTGGGCATGCATCACCAGTCTTGACTAGACTTCTGTTTGATGAACCTCAAAGACATATAGTACAGGAACAGGAAGCCACCGCTGATGCCAATGACAATGAGGTAGATGACGTGAAGCGGATGCGAGTTCAGATCCATAGAACTGAGAATCTGGAGACACAAACGTGCTGTGAGCTCATTCGGCAGACGTCCAGTTGGTGGTCCATTAGTCTAGAATCCAGGGCCTTGGCTACTTACTTTATCTCCTGGAATGCTGAATGTGACATTGCCAATCTGCATGGTGTAAAGGCGCCCATTAAACTGAATCTGCATCAGCCCTGCGAAACACCACCGGAGGAAGGATATGTTGGAGATCCACGCAGGCGCTAAGGACAGGAAGAGCCGCGTTATTCACACGGTCTCACGGGTCTGCTGTGACGAGGGGAACTGCTCCTGGGGGAGGCCATGCTGGCTCTGGCTGGGGGAAGCAAGTCACCTGAGGCCAGAGAGGATGAAAGCGCAAAGGGGTAGCCGCCCTGGTTGCTACTGATCTGATGTGTGGGGCTGAGGGGACCATCCACACATTGGATCCCCAGCACTTCTAGAGAGTCATTAGCTAGGTTTCCTGCATGTGCTCAGCTTCCCAGAGCAACTCACCAGGATGACTGAGTCAGCTCCAACCCTGGGCAGCACCTCAGTAAGAGAGGGGGAGGAAGCAATGCTGTGCCAGCCAAGAAAGCCTTGCCAGAAGATGGGACAGGGAAGCTGGACAGAGATGTCCCACAGAGAAGAAGCAGAACACGCTCACAGGTGAGCGGGTGACATATGCTGGGGCCTTCCCAAGAGGAAGCAGTAGGGAGAAGCAGCCCCGGAAGGGTCAGAACAATGCAGCAGCATGAATTTGTGCCTTAGGAAGCTCACTGTGTGTGAGTGAACCTTGTGACCAGAGGTGTCAGAGGCCAGACAATTGCCCCAGGGTCCAATGATGGGGGCTAGGGCTGAAGATGGCGCCAAGGACACACTGCAGAGAGATTTAGGAGATGGAACTGACCTGGCTGCCTGGTAAGTGTGTGGCGAGGGAGGGAGCCAAGGTAACTTCTGAGTGTCTGCGAGGGCTATGAGGAAGGGCTATCTGTCCCTTCTAATGGAATCATGCTTGTGGCCTGCAGGACAGCTGGCAAAGACATCTGCTTCCCAGGCTTGAGTGGGACCTACGTGATTAATTTCCATCTCCAGGTGAAAGCAGGCTTAACCAGCCATACAAGGCTTCTAGATGCTTGGTCAGGCAAGGTGGAGAAGGCCTCACCTATCCATAGGTTGTCCAGTTTTATCATGTAGCCCCCGGTGAGGTAGAAGGAGTTGTAGAGAGCATTGCAGAAGAAGGAGGACATGTGGAAGGTGGGCAGCATGGCGGCGGCAGCCAGAGCCATGGCTCTGCAGCAGAAGACCACCAGCCACACCATCAGGAAGTGCAGCAGGAAGGACTCAGCGCCAGGATGCAGGTTGGTCAACCAGTAGATGGGTATCCCGTAGATGATGACGTAGGCACAGTGCTCAGGCAGCTCCCCAAGGATCTGTAAAGAACAATCCTCAGGAGGCCATGGAGCCAAGGACTTCCTTTGTCACTGCTTAACAGTATTTAAACTAGTGGCTCACGCCTGTAATCCTAGCTACTCAGGAGGCAGAGATCAGGAGGATCATGGTTGGAAGCCAGCCCTGGCAAATAGTTCATGAGACTCTATCTCAAAAAAAAAAAAATCACAAAAAAGGGCTGGTGGAATGACTCAAGTGGTAAAGCACCTGCCTAGCAAGCATGAGGCCCTGAATTCAAACCCCAATACCACCAAACAAAAAAAAATTTAAATGTTGGCACCCCCAGGATGCCAGCATTCCCTTGTGGCTGCCCAGGAGTGTGCTGTGAATTCGAGCAAGTGGGATACCCTGTGGGGGCATCTCTGAGCTGTTTGCTCAGGGAGGGAGCTGCCATCGGCTCTCCTAACGCCTGGTTTCAAGTCCCCACCCCTCTTGTCCAGATGTCTCCTGGAAACACCTGCCAGGGCTCTGGAGGGGTACAGTATGCTAGGTGTTTCTCTCTTCTTCCTTTTTAGGTTCCTGCTGATTAGAAAAGTATCACTTCTGATCTATAGGTCTGGCATTTTGTGTATGTTTTAAAAATATCAAGTCTTTGGAACTCTCCTGCAGTGTGGTATCTGCAACCACAGAGAATGTACCACCTGGCCTTCCTGCACAATGCTTTCCTGCCTTGTCTATGCCACCTGTGCAGCTTTCTTCACCCTAACTTGTTCTCCATTCTGACCAGTCACCTTGGCAAAGAAGTATGGACCAGTTGTGTACAGCCCATCTTCCAGTTCATAGTATAGCATCGCCCTTTCCGAGTGACCTAAAAAGTCAGGGGCAGAGGAGAAGAGAATGAAAAGGTGAAAGTAATCTACAGTGTTTCTGATTTTGCCTCTCTCTTAATATGATTAAAAGTAGTTAGCTTGCATAAGTTTCTTATGTCTTTTAAAAAATAGACACATAAAGCCACCCTAATCCAGATGTTCCTGGAGGCTCTCCAGTGTCACACTTCTGGGCTTGTGAGTTGCTGTCAAGTATAAATCCTGCTACAACAGGAATAGCTAAGACTATAATTTACTTTCATTTGCATACTAACATTCATGCACAAACTTTAAAAACAATTGCTGTCATTTATTTCACAATCTCAATGAAATTATTCTGCAAAGCCATTGTCCCCATGTGCTCAGAGGAACACAGAAGTCAGCCTTGAGCCAGGTCAGAGAGTGGTAGACACCCCATATCCAGCTGCCCCATGGTCTGGTCATGAGAGCAGGTGACACTCACATTTGGAGACGACATCCAGAATCACATTGAAAGGGATAAGTGCGCCAGTCATGAACAAGAGAGCCACTGTGTCCATGAAGGAGAGGTTGGTGTCCCCATGGCCATAGTAGAGGAACCCGATGATCAGGGACATCAGGCAGGCCTCCGCCCCATGGATGAGGAGGGTTGGCAGATCTCGGAAGTCATTGGAAATCTGACGACTTAAACAAAAAAAGGGGGGGGGTGTCAAGGGAACAACACAGCCCAGCCATGGGAATGACATAATCTCTGGGAGCCTCATTTGTCTCGAGTAAGGCTCACCACCTCACAGTCCTCCATGAGGACTAAATCAGAAAGCTGATGAGGGTATCTTCCCCACAGTAGTGCTGAATGAATAATTATTAGCTAGGGGGAGGGAGTTGAGTCAGGGTCTTGCTTGGACTCACAATCCTCCTGCCTCAGCCTGCCCAGTGCTAGAATTACAGATGTGCACCTCCATGCTTGGTCAAGGCTTATTAGCTCTTTTTCTTTTAATTAGTTAGTCATTTATTTGACAGAACAAAATGTAACTTAATGAATATGGAATATTATTTACAGAATATATGAATTATATCTATTATTACTTTTATCATCGATGTATCAGTTTGACAGTTTTACTTACAGAAATTATGATGAAGAAAAAGAATCAATCATGTCCATAAAAATGTACAGACGAAGGTGTTTGTGACAACATTACTTATCACAGTACAGGCCCCCAAATAAGGTGACACCCACAGAGACTGAGTGCTGAGGAGGCCCTAACCAGATGAGAAGCAAGGCACTATTCTAAGTGTTAAAAACTGGTCACTGAACCAGTTTTTCCCTTGGGTATTGAAATACTTCTGTACGTGGAAGCCACCAGAGAGGCTCATTCGGGGCAGGGAATCCTGGGTTTGTTGGAGAGATGGTGTGTCAAGGGACTCTTCTATCTCCAGTTTAGATTCTCTTGTGTGGTCTGAATTTTGCACAATGACCTTACGCTACTTCCAAGACCCTTAGCCAGGCATTTAGTTTAGAGAATAAAAGTAGCAGGAGTGCCTGGGTCACGTGAGGGCTTGCTCGGGTTCTGAGGACGCTGGGGTTGAGACAATTTGACCCCGTCTTTCTCCTTCAAGTTCACTTTGGATCGAAAGAGCTTCCTTTGATACTCAAGAGACTTTTAAGGGTGGAGGACAAATGAAAGACAATTACCGAATCAAGGTGGTGAACTGCTGGCCTGCCCCAGGCAGCTCAGTGGAACTGGGGCAGTCCATGTTCTGCGAGAGGGTTGGGCTGTTGAGAGATAATATGTGACCAAGTCAGGGAGGCAGCTGCCACAGGGAGGTTCCCACCCGGCGCCACCGGCCCACCATACCTAGCTGCACAGGAGTCCACGTCCATCTCCCTTGTGTCTGCTTTCCACAGAAAGTCATCAGAGCCACGCACTTTTTCTAGAAACAAGGCTGCAAGTGACCGAGCCTTTGCCCTGGTGGCCACTTCCTGCTCCCTGCTGCGCCTGTCGATGCTGGTCAAGTCCACTATAAGCACAGGATGCAGGGCCGTGGGTGATCTGTCCCTGGCATCTGTCAGTCTCTGGAGTCTCCAGGACATGTTCCCGCAGCCCACCCTCTGAGAGGGAACCATGAAGTTATGGTCAGAGCAGAGAGGCAGATACACCCCTAGGGCTGGCCCTTCACCCTGCCAGGCCTGACCACATCTGCAGAGGCCTCAGGGGAGGGGCATAGTCAGGAAGCGATCAGCAGCCGAGGCCCTGGTCCCAGTCCCACACCCCAGGCTCATTGTGGTGAGACCCCAGGACAAAGGCCATATCACTTTTATGTCCTGCCCCTGACTCCAGCAGGTGAGCCTGCTCCTGAGGCAGGTGTGCTGCTCAGAGCAGGCTAAGCATACTGGTGGAAGGTACACTTATCACTATCAATTCACAATTTGGCCTCCCAACCATTGGGCCCAAGGTAGGTACAAGAGACTGGGCAAGTACACAAAGTACTCACCACCCTGCCTGGATCACCTTCTCTGCCACAGGGGAGGGAGTCAGCCCACCAACCTGGAGAGCCAGGCCCATCAGAGAGCTGAGTCTCCTTGTGAATCCCAGGGGATGCTATTCTGCCCCAGAGGAGCGCTGGGGGCCCCGCACCCTGGACCTCCCCTCATAGTGCTCTGCCTTCATCCTGCTATGCCCCTGCAGTGCCAGAGAAGGCCACCAGCCACAGCCAGGGCCTTCCCACACCTGGCTAGCTCCAGCCCAGGCATGGCTGAGGTCTTCACTTCCTTACCTCTTCCCTTCTCCCATTCTCATTACACATCTTAAGACAGAACTGTGTCTACAAGGGGCCTTACCAGCCACGATGAGTCCCTTCAGTCCAGGGCTATAGCTCAAAACACAAGATTTGTGGGACACCTTCCAGGACCTATGTGTCTCCTGTACCCCAGACTGGAGAGGGACACCTGCCCCAGCACTTGCAGGCTAGGGCTCCCACCTTTAATCCCCCAAAATAAAAATACAAAAGAAAAAAAAAGGTGGAGGTTGAGACTGCTGTGGGCATTTGGCTCCTGGTAGCCCCTGTACAAGCTTACTTCAAATTGCTCCCAGTGGCCAAGGCAGCAGGTGCCCTCTGCCCCCCTATCTGAGGACACAGCCTGAGAATGGCACCCAGGCAGGAAGCCAGGAGGGCACCTGAGTACTGGTGGGAGGGTGAACTTTATGAGAATTCATGGAGGGTGTGAGTGCACAGTGCAGAGGTGGTAGCCAGGGACAGTAGTCCATCCTCCTAAGGTGGGGGAGGGTGACTGGGGATGCTGGAGGACAAGTGTAGGTCAAGAGTTCTGTGCACACCAGTTCTGTGCCCTACAGCTGTGCCATGGCAGGCAAGGTGTGGAGCTCTTCCAGCTCCAGTCTTCTGGTCTGCAAAGATAGAGATGACCTTGGCCTGGCAGAGGAGTGAAGGTCAAACAGGAGGAATCCCTTCACCTTGACCCTTTGGGCCCTACTGGGTGTCTTCAAAGGGATGATTCTTCTTTTCAGATTCACTGGTGAACTTCTTTCTACATTTCGCCATCTTGGGAAGAACCTGAGGCTCCAGGTGGGTGACCTAGAGGACCAGCCACAGCTGCTGTTTCCCTGACCCTGGTATAACTGGCCACATGTCTAGCAGCCGGGCCATTCCTCAGCACTTTCGATGCAGGCTTTCTAGGCAGTGCCCTGAAAAGGCCACTGTTCCCCAGGAATGAAGGAAATGCTTCATGCTATCTTGGGTGTAATATTTTGAGTGCGCAGGAACCAAGAGAAAGGTAAGTCTAGGGCTGAGAGAGCAATTTTCATATCTAGAGATTCACTGCCCATGGCCAACGAAAAGGCCCTGAGCCAGCCCCTGATCTCCACGCTGCTGTACCTGCTGGTTCATCCTGTTTCCTGCAATCTGAGTAATTATAGAAACTGATCCACACCCATCTAGATTCTATGCCCTCCCATCTGCATCTGCTGAGTCCCATCCCTTCCTAACCTGTGGTGCACAGAGGGCAGCCATTTGTGAGATGCTGCTTCTCTCTGGTTCTCATTTCTAGCATTTGATCCTGAGCAAAAATGATGACCTTCTCCACCCAGCTCTGCCTACCACCCCCTCCCTGTTCCTTCTCTCCTGGTGCCTGAGAGTTTCTTTCTTGAATCTTTCCAGCAAGTGTTTTTGGTTTTGTTTTCTTTGGGGGGTGGGGGTGGGCAATGTGGGCTGTGCACCAGGTCACTGGTTGCTGGCCTTGCTAGCTCACCATAGAAGTCAGCAGGGTTGCTGTAGCGGGGACAGGGGTGGCCGATTGCTGTGAAGTATTGGACCATGTGCTCCGCCGCCCCCAGGTAGATGGTAGTGCCAGATGTCATCAGAAGGACCAGATCGAACAGCCTGAAGATGTCTGACCGAGGCTGGTGCAGGGAGATGAGCACCAGCCTGTTGCCTTTGGCCAGCCGGGACAAGGTTCTCACCAGGTTGTGGGCGGTGAAACTGTCGAGCCCCGACGTGGGCTCATCCAGAATGAGGATTCCTTCCCAACACAGAGGAAGAAGGCTGAGGGATTGGAAGACAAAACCAGGCCCCTCTTCCACCCCACTCGCACCCCAGATCCCAGTCCTCACCTGGATTCCATAGAAGTTGTACCCCGATGCTGACTCGCCGGCGCTCGCCCCCAGATACCCCACGCATGTATGTGTTGCCCACGCGAGTGTTGGCGCACTGCCGTAACCGCAGCTCAGCGATCACGTCCTCTACCTGAGGGCCCAGCCGACAGTTATGGGACCCAGGGGCTGCATGTTTTAGGACCCACAATATAGAAAAACCTGCTCCTCCACCCCAGCACTTCAAAATGAAGGAGGGCCGGCTGAGTCTATTCCCAGCTACCCTCTTCTTCTTTTTTTTTTTTTGGGTGGGATTGGGGTTGGAACTCAAGGTTTTTGGACTTGCAAAGCAGGCGCTATACTGCTTGAGCCAAACCTCCAGTCTATTTTGCTCTGTGTTGGAGATGGGGTCTCACGAACTATTTGCCTAGGCTGGCCTCAAACCTCAATCCTCCTGATCTCAGCCTCCCAAGTAGCTAGGGTTATGGGACCAGCATCCTGTCCCCAGCTTATGAGCAGATTCACTGTGCAGGGCATGGGCCATATGGCTGTCCCCCCACAGGGAGCACCAGAAAGCATATACCCAAATAAACACACACGCTCCTCATACATTTGACAAGTGCCCTGGACAGAATGGACCCAGGTAAGAAGGCTTTGGGGCTGAGAATTGTGGCCAGGTGGGTACTGAGCTGGGTCCCAGGGTAGAGTAGGGAAGGGTGGGGAGGACAAGAATATCCTGGTTTCTTCCACCCCAGGGCTACCACCGGGTCAGTTACCCTCTTGTTACGCTGGGCCTGGGAGAAGGTTCTTGGCAGCCGCAACTGGGCAATGAAGGCCAGGGTCTCCCTGACTGTCAGGTTGGGAAGCAGCTGGTCATGCTGGCGTACGTGGGCCACACGCTCCCTCACCACCTGAGGTGTGCTGAGCTGCCCATTGATCCACACTTGACCCGACTTCATCCTGCCACCGTGGTCTCGGCCGGTGATCACGTCTAGCAGTGAGGCTCTCCCACAGCCTGCAAAGCCACCAGAGACATGACTGGGGACAAGGTTTCTGAAGGACCAGCCCAGCAGCTGGCATTCCTCACACACTCGCCAGCACCCAGACTGTTCGGTCCTTGTAGAAGTGACCTAGCCCTATGGAAAACAGCACTGCTCCTAATCCTGGATGGGACAAACCTAGCACGTGGAGCTTCAGGCCTTTCGTTTGCAGCCAATTTGTACACTCTTGGGGAGTTGGGAACACAAATGATACTAGGGTCAGGTCAACCACTGGCTGCGTGACAGGAGAAGGCTGGAGTCCTGACTGCCACAGACCCACAGTTCTGGAGCATTGGTCAGTCAATGCTCTTTCCTGGCAAGTAAGGCTAATTGCACTGTGAGGTGTAACTATTTCTGACTGGCTCAGAAGCTGATTTTGTTGGAACAACTAATTTGGACCATCCATAGGGTGTCCTGTAAAAATTCAAAACCAGAACCTATTCTGCGAAGTAAGGGAGAAGAAGTAGGTGTAGAAATTATTTTAAAGCACAGTGGACACACTGTTCTGAATATATCTACATCTTTCTTATTTGTGTCAGTATTACTTTTTAATCTCTTTGAAAAAAAAAAGAAAAAAGGTCTCTTACATGCACGTTAACAGCATCCACCACTTCTGAAGGGTGTATGGATTCCTATTGATCTGTGAACTAAGCGGAAGTTTCCAAAAACATCCAATGAGACTCTCTTCAACAGCTGATTAAACTGAACGTGAGCTGGACTGGTGCTTGGAGAATATCTTCCCAGTACGGAGCTGAGAGCAAGATCTGTCCAGTTCACTCAGGAGGGGTTTTGGTTTCTTTACTGTATATTCTTTTTGGAGGGCAATTTTTCTAAGTTTTTTGCAAACAGGGAAAGTGCCAATAAACAACATGTGACAAATCCTCCTTTCCACAAGTCACATGCCACCTGCAGGCACAGTTCCTACAGCATCCAGCTCAAAATCCAAAAGCAAAGAGGCTTCCACATGTGATGATCCTGTTTACTGCTTAGAGGCTCAAAGTGAAAGCTCTGCCCGCTGCCTCCTGGGGCACCTCAGGTGGACTCCCTGACAATTTACATGGAACAAAATAGCCCAAAGAGGAGCCAGGGATGGGGATCTCAGACATCGGTTTCAGGCTCTGGGAGCGTGGACCATGGGATTCCCAGACAGAGAGCAGGAAGCCCACATCCCTAAGCAAAACTTTGTGAGATGCACGGGCAGCCTTTCCAACAGAGGGTGCCTGGCACATTTGGGGAGATCCTCTCCAAACCGGGAGAAAAGAGACCCTCATAAAGTAGCATCTCCTTAGTAGTAATCCATTAACTGAAAAAACACTTTTGGCATTGCTGTCTCTATCAAAGAAGCTAAATGTCTGAGGCTGATTTTATTTATTTTTTACAAAAATTATGGCCAACTGTGTGTGTGTGTGTGGGTGTGTGGGTGTTAAAAGTCATAGGAAGTGTAATGGATAAACCCTTCTAAGAAATAGTTTAAATAATTTTCCCCAATACCGAAAGTTGAGCAACACTGAACCTGAGTATTAATTAGTGTAATTCCCTCTAACTTCTCTGAACTTCACTTTCCTCCATCACAAATCAGGGATACTATTGGCCAAAAATTCAGCATGATGACTCTAAATAACAGCCTGTGTGTCCCCTACATCTTCAGGAAGGAAGGAAAGGCAGAGACAAGAAAAGCTTCCAGCATTTGCAAATCAAAATAATGCTTGTTTTCTTGTGTAGGTCAGAATTGCAGGGACAGGGCCGGAGTGGGAGTGGGGTGGAACTTAATGAGTGTGCCTGTTGTTTCAGTTACAAAGTACATTTACACATCCTAACTCACTTGATCTTTGGTTACACAATAAACCACCTCTCTATCAGAAAGGGTGTAAAAGTTTGGAGCAGATGTTCAAAATGTTGAGTAATCTCTATCTTTGGAAATGATTAATTAAAAGGTATAAAGTGCGCTCTCTCTCTCAACACTGTGGAAGAAACACCTAGATCTGGGAATCAAGAGATCAAGCTCAAGTTCTAGATCTACATTAAGTGTATGTCCTCAGGAGAACCACTTGACTTCTCTGGATTTAGTGTCCTCATCTATAAATAAAATAAAATGGGCTGTGTGAGTAAGAGTGTGCATGGGAGAAAGGACACTCTAGCAGTACTGGGGAATAGATAATTTGAAAATCTTCCTCTAAAAATGCTTTCAAACTAGTAAGGAAGAAGAAGAGAAAACTTCTCTGAGCCCCCTTTCAACTGTAATGTTCTGTAATTTTAAATTTGACCTGCAGAAGTGACTGAGGTACTCCAAGAACCTGACTCTTTTTACTTGTGGTTGAAGGTTGCACTATGACTGTGGAGGGGAGAGCTGTGGTGGCGCTGTGCCTAGTCATTGTGTGACCATGACCCGAATCTGGCTGTGGAGGGAATGGCCTTGTGACTGGAAGAGAACTGAAAAGATCATTATGTCCTGAAATTACCTGATGATCCTTTAGTTAACAAGTGTTAACTAAAGCAGATGCTCTGGCTGCAGCTTCAGGTAGACAAAAGCACACTCACAAGGCACACGATAGTAATATCTACAAGCTAGTGAATGGATGAGCTGACATTTGAGCCCAGGTCTGTCTGAGCCATATCTGTGCTCTCAGCACCTCTGCCACATCAGCCTACTAGACAGCAAAGAGTTCTGCAAGCACCATCCTTTTGTCCAAAGGACCGCTCTGCATCCCCAACAGAGACACCACTGTCCCACTAGGGCCTTTGGTGGTACCTGAGCTCCCTATGATGGCCAGCATCTGCCCACTTCTCACTTTGAAGCTCAAGTTCTGGATGCCCAGCTCAGAAGAATCTTGTCTGTTGTGAGACATCCACGGTATCTTGAACTGAGCCAGCTGCTCAAACCAAGGCACTTGTGAGGCCATGTCCACCTGTGAGGGAGACATCAGAAGGTTCTTCAGAGACCTGAATGGTTCAGAGAGTTTCAGCAGCTACCGTTCAGCAACCCTGTGCCCTCTGTGGCCCCAACCACAGAGGACAACTTATGTCCTCTTAGGCTTATACACCACACCTTCTGCCCAGGTTCTACCAAACATAGAGGCAGGAGCACCACTATGCTAAGAACCTGAAGCTGCTATTTTTCCAACAGCGCTAAAGGGACTGGAAAGCATGTACAATAGCAGAAGAGAAAAACTTATCAGGTGTTTACTACATGCAAGACATCATGTTAATCGCCGTATGTCATTATCCTGTTCAGTCTTCATCATGAACTGTAGCACTGTTATAATCTGTTTCACAGATGACACACAGAGCAGTTAAGTGACTTACTTAAGGTAGAGAGTGGCAGAGCAGAGAAAGATATGGCATGGCTCCTTAGCTTGTCGCAATTGACACCCATAGCAAACCAAACTTGGACCTCTGAGGTTCTCCATCCCAGTCCCCACCATGTGCCATCTGGGCAGCATGTGGTCTGCTCTGGGGACATGGGGGAGTAGGGGTTCTTAAATCTGATGAGGGCATTCCTGAGAACCTCTGAGAGGCTAGTGGTTGTCCTTGCATTCTGGGTGTTTTATTAATAGCAGAGACAGTATATTTTACAATATAGTCATAGATAAATAAGTGGGTGAAATCTGAATAAAGCCTGTGTTCTCTGGCTTCTCTTCAGATCGTATGACTCTTGCTTTTTACTGAATAAAGTCTGTAGTGTAGTCAGTAGCATTGCGTATTGTGATTTTCTTAGTGTGGATAAATATGGTATGTGAGCTATTAATCTTAGGGGGAATTAAGTGTGTAAGGGTACACTATATTATTTTTGTAACTTTTCCAAAAGTCTAAAACTATTTCAAAATCTAAGGTTAAGAGTTCCAGAGACTTCGCCCCAGCCCTTGCAGTTTGCTGTATGTTCTCACAGGGGCCCGTCCCTCTCCAAGCCTCTCACCTCCAGTTGCCTGTGTGCTGAATGAGAGATTTGTTTCTTGTACCTGACAAGTGAGGCATGAGGGTGGATTGGATACCATCCTGGGGGTGGAGGACCTGCGGGGTGGGACCCTCTCATCATCTTGGGGAAATTCTTTGCCTTTCTCTATGCTCTACTCCCTTCAAGCCCGGCTTCTGTGACCGTACCTGGTAGGTGAGGTCTCTGACCTCCAGGGTGTTAGACTGCCCGCTGTAGGTGAAGTACAGGCTGTTGTCATTTTCAGAGAAGAACAAGCTTTCCTGGAGGCCCTGCTGAGAGACATGACAGGTAAGGTTCTCCTTCAGAGGCCACCGAGAATGTAGAAGAAGATAAAGAAAGAGACTCAAGAGGCGAGAACAGCAGCTGACAGTGTGGTTGAGATCCCAGGATGGGCTTCTGCAGGGATGAGAAAACAGGGTCACTGATGAGGGCACATTTCTTCTTCCCTTCAAGGACAGCTTGGGCTTCTCCCAGAACCATGGCCTCAGGCCGGTGGCCCTGAACCCAAACAGCTTAAGATAAATGACATCCAGATCCCAGACTGGGGAGATATGAATGGGAAGACCTGGGTTGGGAGCCTGGAAACCCTTGACTTTTAAAACTTTCCCTGCAGCTGCCTTGCTACCTCTGAATGCATGTGAGAGGAAAACAGCTGGCAGCAAGTAATGCTCAACATCTGTCCAGAACCCCATCCAAAAGAAAGTCCTGTCTTGTTTTAATGAGTTTTATGCAACAAAGGCATGAAGATGCCACTGGGCATTTCAGAGGAAGTGCCTATCACCATCACCACCTCTAGTTGTTATTGTTGAGGTACTGTGCATTTGTGTGTTTTCTGTAATCCTGGCTACTTGGGAGGCTGATATCTGGAAGATCATAGCCCTATGCAAATAGTTCATCAGACCCCCATCTCCAAAATAACCTCAGCAAAATGGACTGGAGATGTGGCCCAAGTGGTAGAGTGCCTGCTTTGCAAGTGTGAAGCCCCGAGTTCAAACACACAGGCAAAAAAAGCATTCCATTTTTCTTTATTTCTGTAGTGCAGGAAGAGGCCTGGGTTCATTGACAAGCTCCCCTCAGCCCCAAGCTTTCTCTCAGAACTACCTTCTTCATACTGATGGTTCCCTTAATCAAGCAGCCCACAACACACTTCAGGCTTGGAGTCTGGAATGTGACAGGGGAAAAGACCATCTTTGAGAAGCTCAGATTGTGACAAGTGACACAGCCATTAGTATGGAGTGAGACAGGCTGACTGTTAAGCCCCTGGGTATATCTGCACTGTGTACTCAATACCCGTATGTGCCTTAGGGAAAAATAACATACAACAGTCTCTTTGTCAATGAGACTCCACCAATGGTGGAGGGAAATATTACTTGGAAAGAACCTTCCAGACCAGCAGGGCTGGAGAGAAATAAATAAAGGTGATAGTCTGCAGCAGACCTCCTGTGAGCAGCACCCCCAGGTGTGGGAGAGTATGAAAAACATCAGACCAAAGCTACAGATATGGTTTAAAGTGTGACCTGTTATCAAAATTATCCAATGAAAACATGAGAATGACAAACACCCAACTCAGGAAAAGGATAATCTCTTGGGAAGAGGGAGAGATAAGGGGGAGAAAGGAATAAGAGTAGGGGTAAGCGAGCCTCAAGGCTATTGGGAACGAGTAGTAGATGGGTGGGAGGTGAGAGTTCCTCTGCAAATGGGTTGCTTTAAAATATTTCACAATATGATTTCCATTGAGAGAGCAAGCCATGAGTAGAACTCCAGAGTTTTGCTCCCACCTTGACCCCAGCTGCCAACGCTCCAGTGCAAGACGGAGAGGAGGGGGTAGAGGAGGTAAGAGGGCTTGTGCCCTCTGAGATGGAGACAGGAACTCTTGGGGGATCAAGGCTCAGGCAGCTGCTGGACTGTGGATTAGCTCTGTGCCTAACCCTCCCTCACCAAGTCCACTACCACTACCGTCACCACTGCGTACTCTACCTAGTTTTTCCAGTTCCTTGTGCTAAACTATCAGAAATTCTGCTGTCTTGCTGGGGTTTTTTTTTTGTTGTTGTTCCCAGTACTGGGTTTCAAACTCAGGCCGTCATGCTTGCTAGGCAGGTGCGCTACCACTTGAACCGTGTCCCCAGCCCCTTTTGCTTTGGCTTGTTTTTTAGATAGGTTCTCCAACTTTTGCTGGAGACCAGCCTCAGACTGCAGTCCTCCTTCCTCTGCTTCTCAAGTAGCTGGGGTTACACATGTGTGCCACCATGCCTGGGCTTTGATTGTTTTAAAAACAACTATCTGTAAGAGGGACGCAAGTCAATTTGGCATCAGATATGAATTAGCTCACAAATTACTTCTGTTGGCCCAAAGCTCACCAGGTTGAATTTGTGGCTGAATTGCTACTGAGGAAGGAAGACCAAATATTTGGATTCTGGAGTAATGTGTGGTGGTGACTTCAAGCCCAGGTGACTTCGAGTCCACTGTGCTGTGATTTGAAAGGGCAGGAGCTCTGGGGGTGGGGGGCAGGGAGAGAGAGGTAGCAAGAAGAAAGGTAAAAGATTGAGAGGTGCATGGCTCCCTGCTCTGAGTTCCTCGCCACACCCCCTGTCATGCCCTCTCTCCTGATCCCAGCCACCATGGAGGGATGGGCCTTCAGGGAGCCATACAGGTAGTTCAACTTTCAGAAGTGCCTGGGTTGAGGACCACTTCTCTTCATTTTTAAATATTTTCCTTGGCACTCAAAAAGGATTTGTTAAATTCTTCCTGAGGTTTTGACACACTTTCTGTATTTTTTAAATAGTTAAGTATCTATTCAGCTGACATCTTAATCAGTATGAATGTCAGAACAGCATTTGAATTTCTGACAGGTGACACCCAAAAAAGCAAAAGCAAGCTTATTTGTAGGTAACCAGCACAGCTCCTGCTGGGTTACATTGTAATTTCTCCTTGTATTAACTTTTGATCAAATCCTTAGTCAGCAGCAAAAACAAGAGGGAAATTCAGAAAGCACAGAGCAGAAGTTCCTTGTTCTGAGATGAGAAGCCTGTGCCTGGGGTGGGAGTGACTTTCTGGGGACTTGAGGCCTGCAGGGACATGCAGAGTTTGTTCCTGTCTGAGGGGATACTCCTGGACACTTATTGAAATACTTAGACCAGACCTCACACAGCTGTCCCCTGAGGCCCAGGCCTCTCTTCTCCCTCTGGCAATGCTCCTGCAGCCAGTAAAGTTTTAGGACCATGGGCTCCTGGCATCTTGGGGACTTGAGGCCAGAGTCCCCTGTGCAATCTGCCCTGATCCTCTCCCAGGGCTGTATTCACCTCCTTCCAGGCCTATTTTCAGGAGTACTGACAGGGTCACTCAACTGGGGACCCCCAGGCCAGAGGGACATTTCTCTGGGGGAGGGCATGGCTAGAATGTGAGTGAGCTGGCAGGGCTGTATGACTTTTTTGTAGAGTGGGATGGAGCTAGGGGGATGCAAAGAAGCTTGGGGGACAGACCATAGCACAGGCTAGGAGCTGGCTCCCTTAGCCAGCACATCTTAGCCATCACTCCAAGAAGCCCTGGATTTTCTAAATTTATATCTGACCTTGTGACAAAGGCATGTTGTTTTATTTAACAGTTCTTAGTTTGAGCGATAGCTTTTAAATATTTATGATCTAGACAGGACTTCATCTTTATGTTCCAAGCAATCCAAATGTTAGGGACACCTGAAGTAACAGTTTTGAAGAAAAGGAACTCAGGGCCTGCGTGCATTTTTGGATGCAGGGTTCTGGCACTTTTTCACCTCTCAAGCTGTGGTGGTGACCTCCCTAAAGCCACCATGATTTCATACCCTACTGGGGTGTGAGCACTGCAGATCTGACTGGTAGGAGTCCTTCCCAAGAGGGGTTGGCCCTACAGGAAATTCATAGAACAGAGCTGGTCACTGCTGGGTCAGTGGAACTGACTAGAAATGGTGTACTCCTTGGGCCTGACTGGGTTAATCTCAGGCAACTCAAGCCCAGTGCAGACTGTGGCTTTCCTGCTGAGTATGCAGCTCGGATTCTTTCGCCCCATAACAGGTGAAGAGAGAAGGTGGGGCGAGGCGAATCAGGGTGCTTCCCTTCTGTTTTCCAATATGGATTTTTGCTTTAAATCCCGCCCACACTTCCCAGTCAAAGGCCATTTAGCAAGCAAACCCAACTCAAGTAGAATAAGGCAGGAAACCTCGTATCTCCACCTCTTGGCCACCCGGCTGCTGTCTGTTCCTTCCAGCTCTTTCCCAGATCTTATGAGTGCCTGCATAAAACTCTGATGCCCCAACAAAAGCCATCTGTCATCCTGTCACTTCCATCGCTTTCCTACCACTGAGATTCTTGGCCTGGCAACCGCATGGCAAAGGGGACAGCGGAAGAGTCTCTGGTGTGTGCGAGCACATTTCTGTGGTGGAATCTCATTTGGAAAAAGCTAAATCAGCCCAGCTCACAAACAAGAGCATTGTCTCCATTTAGGGGCATGCCTTCGGCGGGAAGTGACCTCGGCGGGCTTCCTGGCCCCTGACCCTCTCTCCTTGACCCTCTCATGCCGGGGAAATGGAGTCTGGCTACCACATTCCCACTCTGTTTGTGGTCCAGGTGGTGAATTAGGACAGATAGCTCCTGGGGCAGGGAGATGGGGTAGAAAGATCCAGTTCCTCCCCACCCACCTGGACTGAGGGGACTGTGGTCACTCACCAAGTCATTCTGGGAAGCAGCCTCATTCCATAGCCCTGTCTCCTCGGCAGCCTTTTCAGCCATGGAGCCACCAGGTCTGTGTCCCTGTGCTGTGTTCCGACCTTAGCTGCTGGCCGCTAGGTCAGGGCTCTCTCTGTTTCCTAGAGCCAGGCCACCTGGGTCCTCCTACTCTGTGCCAGCCTCTCTCCCAGCAGTCCTCTCTGGCAAGCCCTCCTACAAACTCACTGTGTGTCCTGCCCACTGTCAAGATAAGGACGGCTCTGGCTAAAGGTACATCAGATAGTGGCCAAATCCTTGTCCTGTTGCCTCATGAGGGACTCCAGGACTGGGCAAGGAGCAGGCAGGGCATTCTGCCACTGGTTCCTCAGCTGAAGCCACTACAGGGAGGGTCAGTCCACCAGAAAAGCCACCTGCTTCTGCTGCCTGTTGACCATGAGCGAGCTCCGCTTTCTGACCCCAGACAGGGCTGCAGGGCCCCAGGTAAACAGAAGTTCCCAGAGCTCTCTAGAGGAAGGTCCTGCAGCTGACTCAGAGCGGCACAGCCTGAGTGTCCTCCATGTCTCCTACAGCGTCAGGTAAGGCTGAACCCACAACACAAGGCTTGAGTTCAAGTTCCCTCTCTGCTTTTCCTCACTTAAGGCCTGTGTGGGGGCTTTGCCCTCAGTAGAGTGGAGAGAGGAGAGGGGGAAGGGCTGCCACCGGGAAGCCAGGAACCTCCTGACCAGGGCAGGGTTTGAGCATGAAAACCTCACCCTGCTTTTTGCTTGGCTACCTCTTACCTAACCTCCCTGTGGTCCACACCCCTTCCCCAGCCTGTCCAACACCTGCCCTGTGTGGATGGGGAGAGTAGGGGTACTGGGGACACAAGGTAGAATGAAACCTGGTGAGGGAATGCAGGGGCAACCTAAGGTAAAACAGTGTCCTATTCACCATCTTGTAGCCAGGCAGAAATGTGACATTCAGAGCAGCTGCTGGGTGTCACTTTTCATGGGTGGTGGGCAGCCTACAGTCACTGGCCCCTCCAGGATTGCCAGAGAAGGACACAGACTAAAATACAGTTAGGAACCTGTCCAGAGACAACAGAGGTGGAGCAGAGGTGGGGTCAGTGCTGGGGAAGGGTCTGACCCATTCTAGGATTCCACACTGCCTTTGCCCTTTGGGATTTCCTTTAAAGCAATCGTGTCGGGCCCTGGTGGGACATCAGATCTTGCCGGCAGCGGCGGAACAGGCAAATCCTCAAGAATGTCTCCCTGTGCGTTGAGAGTGGGCAGATGATGTGCATCTTAGGGAGCTCAGGTAAGCGTGGGGCCGTTCTCCACTTCTCATTAAGGGCTCTGACCCCAGAAGGTGTTCGCTTGATTTGAGCGCCCCATTAAAGAAATAAGTTTAAGTTGTAGCAAGAAGGCCACAAGTTTGATTTTCAACTGAAATCCAATGACAGGTGTGACTGTAAACGGAGCTTGGTATTAAGGCGAAGTCTGGAGAAAGATCCTTGAAAGGGAACAAAGTCCTGCCTAACGTATAAGCGAATGCTTTTTGTAGGTTTGTTTGCGATACTGGGGATTAAACGCGGGGTCTGGTGTACGCTAGGCAAGCGCTCTACTGCTGAGCCCCACCCCCATCTCTGTAAGTGAACTCATACTTCCAAGTGTGGAGCGCCCCTGGCACAGTGGCTGGCATACAGAGGTGCCCAGAAAACATAATTTTCCCTGACTGTACCCTGCCTAGAGGAAGGAAAAAGAATGATGTACGAAATGCCCACTTAGTTCCCACTGTTTCTTTTTCATTACGATGGAGTTCAGACGTATAATTAAGAATAGTGAATAATATAAAATGTTCACATATTAATATCAGGCCTTACCAAAATTTAATATTGCGCCAGATTTGCTTCAGACCTTTTTTTTTTTTTATTTAAGGAATTAACCACTACAGATTGCACTGAGGTCATCCTTGAGCCTAGGCCTCATGACATCCTTCTCTTTTCCAGGGGTAATTACATTTAGCCTGAATTCTGTGTTTGTTTTTCTGTGTCTGCATCAGTCAGTTGCTGTCCCAGGAGTGTATTACCTTTGGTGAGGCAGCTGTCGTGGCTGTGGGCAGTTCCCTGGGAGGGTCGCAGCTGTGCATCTCAGAGCCAGCTTTCCCAAATGCAGAGGAGATGGAGGCACTGGTTCTGAAGAGGGGGGTCTATGCGGCCACCACTGTGTCCACAACACTGGGTTACCCTGGTATCCTAAGGTTAAGGGTTGTAACAAACTGGCAGTTGCTCACAGATCGTTGACATTTACTGCCATTGTCACTTGCATTACTCTTTAACACAGATAGGGAACATAAGTCTGTCGTGAAAAGTAGACATGGCACTGGTTTGGATATGGTCTGAGTGTGCCCCCCCAAGTTCTGTGCTGGAAGCTTGGTCCCCAATGTGGAAATGTTGAGAAATGCTGGAATCTCTGAGAGGTGGGACCTAGGGAAGATGATTTGGCTACGGGGTGCACTGCTCTGGGAAGGGACCAATATTGGTCTTGCAGGACCTCAGTTCCCACCAGCGTGAGTTGCTATAAAGAGTACACTTGGTCCTCAAATTCCTTTGGCTTCCTGTCTTACCATTTAATCTCTTTCTTTTACATGTCATCTCACAATGAAGCCATTTGCCATGTGGTGATGTAGCCAGAAGGCTGTCACCAGAGCTGACCAGATAAGGTCACCCAATTTTGAACTTCAAGCCCCAAAACTGTGAACTAATGAACACCTTTTGTTCACAAAGTACCCAGGCTCAGTTATTTTGTTATAGCAACAGAAAATGGACTAAGACAGCCTCTTTACACCCAAGAAGTTAGATCTATGACCACTCATCTGCTACAGCAGGTGCACAGCTGGCTGGCAATAGTGTTAAAGATTAAATGAAAAGGAATTCACTGACTGCCTTACTCCATTAGAACTTCTGTAACAAAATGCTACATGCTGGGTGGCCTATAAGCAACTGAAATTTGTTTCTCACGGTCCCAGAGGATGGGACTGTATAGTGAGAACTGGCTTCCTCAAAACCACCATCTTCTCACCCTAAAGTCTCCTGTTTCAAGCCTCTTTTATAAGGGTACTAATCCCACCATGAGGCTGTGCCCCACGATACACCCCACTCCTAACACCGTCGCCTGAGGAACAAACAGAAACACTCAGGCTATACACCTAACTAAAACTATTACACGTTTCTGAAATTCCCTGCCAGTTCTTATTTCCATTTTAAAAACAATTTCTAACTATACACATGTAGCATAACATCCAAGATCATTGTAATTTCCCTTGTGATAAGTATAACATGTTTCTTAAAAATTAAAAAGCTCAGTAATCCCTACCACAGTTCGTTACCTATTCTCCTCATGTGGAATTAGAAGGGTGGTCTGCAGCCCTGGTCTCAGAAGCATACCCCACAGGCCAATGTCATCTCAGCAGGACAGTGGATGGGGCTTTTGATCTGGGGGTGTGGGCTGATGTCTGAAGATATACCTAATCATGGTTTTATGACAATGTCTGTCCTTTATACTGAACACAAATTCACAGAATAAAAGTTCCACAGCAAAAGGGGCTTTGTCTTTTTTCCTGCTGTCCTTAATACCTAGAACAAGGTCAGTCAGATAATAGGTGCTAAATAAGTGTTTGGACAAATGAGTAAATGAGCCTGTGGACTATGCACAGTGTCCTACGAAATGACAGGATTCATCCCAATCAGCAGGGTCTCTCAAATCTTTATTAGTAAGGGAAAGATGACTTACTGTGCAAAGTCTCAGAAGAGCATGGTCTAAAGCAAGCTGGTCTAGAGCCGCCTAACACCTGGGGAAGGCCAATTTACTTGACTCAGAATTTGCTACTGATCAGACTCTGGGCTGAGTGCTTCCTTGCAGATTATTAAGTTATAAATTAAATCTGTCCTATTAGAAAAATCATCTCAAAGTCGTGGCTCTATTATCTTTGAGGGCATTCGCCATTTTTGTGTTTAACTTTTCTATTACAGTCCAACCTTCCTTTCCCCAATGACTATACAGATAAGTGTACTCATATTCTTTTTGGATGAACTTTTATCATCTTTCTGGTTTCCTTACTGAAGAACTAATACATGTTTGACAAATGTTTAAAAGAACAAATTGTTTATTTCTATGCAAAATTTTATTTATTTCTTTATTATGGTGCAGGGAGTACATTGTGACATTTACAAAAGTTCTTACAATATATCAAATATGTCATAGTTGAATTCACCACCTCCATCAATGCAAAAAATTTTTTAAGTACCCCAAATTTAATGGCTTAAAACAATAAAAAATATCATTAATTATATTTCATGGTTTCTCTGGGTCAGAATCCTGAACTTAACTACTACTTTGTTAGGTAGTTCTGTCTTGGTTTTCCACAAAGCTGTGGTCCGATGTCAATTGGAGCTATCATAATCTGAAGGCTCGAGTGGGGTGATCATGGACATCCAAGGTAGCCTTTCCTCACGTGAGGTGGCAAGTCGGAGCTCTGCAGTTGCTCAGTGAGAATATGAGACATGAAAAGGCCCGGGGGACCCGAAGGATGCCCCATAGGAGGCTGAGAAGCAGCAGCCACACTGTGAGATCTACGAGGACGTGGTGGTAAAGCCTAGGGAGAGACATCTGAGAGTCAGGAGGCAGCAGCAGATGCTCCACAGGGGCCACCCCTCCCACGGACATTCGTCCACTGGATTTGGAAACAAGAACGTAGCCCTGATCTCCCTGAGGGGGGAGAGCTTGATAGAGGGATGGTCAAGATATTTAGATGTTCTGTCAGAGATTAGATCCAGAAATGTAGGGCCAGGGAGATTCTGGGGGAGCCACAGAGAGGCCAAGGATCATGGCTGGGAAGTCACAGAGCACATTGTGAACGACAACCCCCATGTCACATTTGGTGTCTTTGTGATCAATCTCCCCTCACCTCGACCTGAATATACTGGGCTAATTCTGAGTCTTGTCAGTCAAGGATTAGGAAAGGAGTGGAACGCTGCAGGAGTTTGCTCCTCTTTGAATTCCTCATAGTAGGCTAGCAGAGTGTCTCAAGTGGTAGAGCACCTGCCTAGCAAGTGTGACGCCCCGAGTTCAAACCCAGGTACAGCAAAAAAAAAAAAAAAGGAACCCTTCATAGCAATAGCAGCTTCTTTTTTGGGGATTTTTATTTATTTATTTTTATTGTTGTGCTAGGTAGGGGTACATTGTGGCATTTGCAAAAGTTCTTACAATATATCAAATATATCATACTTGAGTTCACCCCTCAGTCATTCTTCTGTATCCCCTCCCCACCCCCCATTCCTGGAACAGTTTCAGCTGGTCTCATTTTCCATTTACATACATGTGTACACAGTATTTGCAGCTTCTTTAAGATACCTGAACAGAAGATCTTGCTTCTGGTCCTACAGAAGCCATCCCAGGCTGGGTAGAAATCTCTTGCTCTTCTCACCTACATTCAGGTAACATTGGACAGGGGGCCACAAAAGAAATTCAAGTGTCCCGAGAGCCAAGCGTTTTCAACAGCCCTGAGTTTTCTTTTATTCAGATCCTGTATTTTTTCATTTCAACACCAAATAGTTTTTAAAGCAAATCAGCAGGCAAAACACCTTCAGTCTTGGATTCCAGTGCTACCACCATGTCAAGAGTGGCCTCTCCAGGGACATCAGAGATACTTTCTTGCTGCCAAATCCCGCCGGCACTGCTCTGTGTGTGGTTTGGTCTCGCTGCACCATTTGATACTGTTGTCAGGCGTGCCCCCTTCTCACTCATTTGTACCAAACCAGACCCACTCATTTGTGCCTAGAGTTTGGTCCAGGAGGTTAGAGAACAAGTCAGGGGCCCACTGCAAGGTCACTGCCTCTACACAGGGTCTGGGAAAGCTCCTTCATTGTGGCTTCTCCAGAGCCTTGTCTTGTCGCCCCCAGGCTCGGGGAAAACCACGTTGCTGGATGCCATCTCCGGGAGGCTGCAGCGCACGGGGACCCTGGCCGGGGAGGTGTGCGTGAACGGCCGCAAGCTGCACCGGGACCAGTTCCAGGACTGCTTCTCCTACGTCCTGCAGGTGGGTGAGTCCCCAGCCTGACTCGGCCCGTTGCCCCGACTTGGGGCGACGCTGACGCCCCCCTCTCCCGCAGAGTGACACCTTTCTGAGCAACCTCACCGTGCGCGAGACGCTGCGCTACACGGCGATGCTGGCCATCCGCCACAGCTCTGCGGACTTCTTCCAGAAGAAGGTGGGTGTCCCCGGCGCTGAGGTTAGGGCTGCTCCTCAGGTGACAAGCCCCAGAGGCTCACCAAGTCCGGGTGGTTCTGCACCCTCTCTGCCCTTTACTTTTTGCTGTCACCCCTGTTTTCTGCTCCACCTTGCCTTTTTGAACATCTGAAGTGTAACTAATCTGACCTGAGATATGCTGAGCTGCATTTCAGACAGTGTGAAAGATCTCATTCGGACTTTTAACAAATATTGATGACAAGTTGAAATAATATTTTGACTACAAATAATATTAAAATTAATTTCATGTTTCTTTTTACTTTTAAAATTTTTGGCTGCTAAAATATTCCCATTGTGTGTGTGGCTTGCACTCTATTAGTTGTTACTATTCTGCAGTAGGGCTGTTTTTGGGTTTTGTTTGAACTCAGGACCTTCACCTTGAGCCACTCCACCAGTCCTTTTTTGGGATGGGTTTCTTCAAGTTAGAATCTCATGAGTTATTTGCCTGGGCTGGCTTCAAGCTGCCATCTTCCTGATCGCTGCCTCCTGAGTAGCTAGGATGACAGGCATGAGCCACAGGCACCCAGCAGGGCTGTTTGAACAGACATTTTCCCCACTGATTCTTCTCAACTTCCCTTAACACATCTTGACTAGGCCTCCTCCAGACTGAACTAAGTTAACGAAGGAACAAACTATTGAATTGACAACTCTTCCAAGGTCCCAGTGTGTTTCTTAAGTGCACCGATTTTGGAACTAGCTGCAGGTAAACCCCTCCAGACCTTCCCTGGAAACATTGCTCAGTTCTGTCTGGACTATGAAGGCCTGGGAGCACCAGAAAACAATGACAGGTAGATGTGCCACCTGCAGAGGCACAGCTCCCTGGAAAGCAGGCTTGTTTGTTTTGATCCTCTTGGTGAGTACGCAGCCCGTTTGAGAATCCTGTACAACTCTGGGGGGAGTGGAGCAGATCTCACTCTAAAGGTGTCTTAGTGAGGTCCTGGGTTCTCACAAATCTCTCAGAGTAATGCCTGACTCTGTTTCTTCCCTCCCTGGAGGTTGTCTTTGAGTGCTCAGTGGTACAGCAATTCCTCCTCTTTCACTAGGTTATGCTGGGCTCTGGCATCTGGCTGGTTCACACACAGTATGTCACTTCCTTTGAACATCAACCTTGTGAGGGAGGCACTGTTTTCATCTTGCAGAACAAGAAACTGACACCCAACCAGTTAGCTCGGGCAACTTGGAATGACAGAGCTGGGACAGGAACTCAGGTCTTCTATCTCTGCCATGCTTCTGAGACCCCGCATGGTCTGCTAGACAACACCAGAGCTCAGCCCTTCTGGGCTCAGTGTGCACAGGCATGTTCACGTAGCTTAGTGGCCCTGACCATGAGTGGCAGGTGACAAGCCAGGCCACCCAGCCCCTCTGTAGCAGTCTGCTTGCTTTAGCATTTCACTCTCTAAAATGGGCTAGAAGTAAACCCGATTTTTTTGTTTGTTTTTGCTTTTGTTTTGTTTTGTTTACTGTGCTCCTGGGGATCTAACCCAGGGCCTGCACATGATAGGCAAGTGCTCTGCCACCAAGCTATGCCTCCAGCCTCACACTGGTATTTGTGTGGGAGAAATGAAGTCATGAAAAGTCTTCTGAGTTGGTGATCCATTTATATTACACACCTGATCAAGAGAATCTGAGAAAGCCATTTGTATCGATAATTCAGCAATGGGCACCATGAAATCGACTTACGGCAAATTTGCCCCCTAGCGGCTGGTCCCTCTGCCTGGCACAGGCAGCCCTGAAATGTCTGCCAAGGTTGACAGCACCCTGCCTGACCATTCTTTCTGAGAAAATCCAATCCAGAGCGTATGGAATCCTGATGAAGTAGCTAAGGGAGAAAGAAGTGCTAGTGATAAAGGAGATGGCCAGCAGATCTGCTCTGTCTTCAGAAGAACCTGGAGTAAGGTGTGCCTGCTGGGCTGTCATCAGAGTTGTGTTTCCTGGTCCACCTGAGAGCCCAGATGATTCTGCCCTGAGTTTCAGCTCTGTCCTTTGCTAAAGGCAGGACCTGGGTCAAGTTATAGATCCCTCTGAGAATCTATTTTCCCTTCTATAATAAATAGAATAACAATGCAGCTTTCCTGTGGTAGATGTGAGGAATAAATCAGACTGTGTGAAGGTCAAGAGCATAGAGAGGTCACAGAGTATAAAACTCCATTATTCTGTTTCCAACAGAGCTTGGAAAACATGGAAGACGCTTCCTGCAGGAACATGTATCATCAGAGACAGATTAAATAATTATGTCTTCTGTCCATCCCTTAAAAGCCAGGAGGGGCTAGATTACTCCTTTCCTGATTACACAGACATGAAAGGAGGCCCAGAAACCTGCCCTGGCTGGTGAGCACACAAACCTGACCACGTCAAACAAAGCTCAGTTCTAGGACCCTTCTTGAGGAGACCCTTCTTTTCTCCAGATCTTGTCGTACTAGCTTATTGATGTATTCTTACTGTCTCTTTATTCCTTTGTACCTATTTCAGATATGTCCCTTCTTTTGGCCTAAGCTTCATCTACACTGAGGATCCTGTCTCCTCTGAAATTTCATAAATCATCTTCTGGTTTTTGCCATTCTAGTGTGTTCTGTTTTTTTCAGTGCAATGTGCTTGTTTCTTTTTTCACTGTAAAAGGAACACAACTTCATTTGGGGTGGACAGGAACAAAATCATTAGCATATAGTTATTCTCAGTCTCCTGTTTGTTTCCCCCAAGGCTTCCTGCAGAAGGGAGAATCGATAAGGAGAGGGCTAGGAGTAGAGATTTTCCAACTGCTCTCTGGAGACTGGAGAGCTGAGGAAGGAAAGTGGGAAAAGGAGGAAAAGGCCAAATTTCTTGATTAGAAAGTCAGTGACAACTTTCTGGCTGTTATTGGTAAGGGAAGTAGAGGATGAGGAAAAAGGACAGGGGCAGATGTAAGTAGAGGAAAGTGGAAAGGGGAATTTTAAGTAGTGTGCCTGGGGATTATAACTCTTTTAAAGAGAGTCAAAATCCTTACGGAGATTCATATAATGATTGGAATTATTTTTAATTACTTTTGGTAGCTGGATTATATTTCTTTGATGCAAAACCACACTGAGATTGAACCATATGGAATTCTAAGACTCGTTTTGTTGGGTTACAAAGGGGAAACTGGGATCAGTTCAAACCAAACTGAATTTTAAAGCACATAAAACATTTATTATAATAAAGTTACAAAACCCATGCACTTACAAAAAGTAAGCTATGTTGTACTTTGCCTTTTTGGGGGATTTTTCTATTTGGGCTGGACTGGCTGTGCCCGTCCAGGTGAATTTCCCTGAAGGAAGTACAAGCATTTTTGTTGCTCAGAGGACTTAAAACAATACATTCATGCTTTTTATTTGAATCTGACACAAGTATTACATGGTGATTTAAACCAAATTGGATTTGATCACCCCAAGGTGTGGTGAGTCTGTAGTGGCTGCACACTCTGGGGAGGTGTGGCCTCTCCTGGGCTCTCTCCAGCCCATGCTCTGGGCTTTGTGTTCCCTGCAGGTGGAGATGGTCATGGCAGAGCTGAGTCTGAGCCATGTGGCAGATCGAATGATTGGCAACTATTATCTGGGAGGAATTTCCAGTGGCGAGCGGCGCCGGGTCTCCATTGCAGCCCAGCTCCTCCAGGACCCCAGTAAGTAGGATGCAGACCTGCTATTGGCAGCAGCCTGGGCATCCACCATGTGTCTGCAGGTGGGGTGATGGGGATGGAACCCAGAGCCACGCACATGCTGGCAAGCCTCACCCTTGTATACTTTCTTTACTGTGGCACACTATGTTCTTCTAATGGTACTTGGTTACTAGAAGGCAAATAAGAGAAATGTTCTTAAAAGCTCTTGTCACTTCTGGGGTAGAAGTGAGCTACAGTTAAATCCTCTAAAGAACTCAAAAGCCTACCCCTCCTCAGACCTTGTTTCATTTCTTGGCCAGCAATGACCCTGTTACTGCTGGAAAGTGCTGCAGATGTGAAATGGAGTAAGGACTTTCTAGCTAGTCTTTGCTCAGCCTTTTCCAAACAACTTTGTGCCTGCCTGCCTGCCTGCCAGCCCTTGTTCTGTCAGTGTCCCCTGGATGGAGCCTAAACAGTCCACAGTACCAACCAAGTTAAGAGACCAGATCTGGTTGCTGTCCTGTCCCCAGATGTGCTCTAGAGCTGGGAGTTGGACCCACCAGTCCTTTTTCCTGGGCTCAGGCCAAAAGCCAGTTTGCATGTAGCTACTTCTCCTCACCCACTGTTTGGATGGGGTGGGATGGCTCAGTAAAGGACTGGTCAAAATTCTGAGTGTTAAGCACAGAGCTCTCTGAGCAGTGGCTCAACCATCGGCTCCCTCTTCACTGGCAGAGGTCATGATGTTTGATGAGCCGACCACAGGCCTGGACTGCATGACTGCGAATCAGATCATTGTCCTCCTGACACAGTTGGCTCGCAAGGGCCGCATTGTGATCCTCACTATCCACCAGCCCCGTTCTGAGCTATTCCAGGTAAAGGGGTGCCTCTTGTCCTGCTCAACTCAAGGTGGGAATATGACGTGTTGAGCTGGGAATATGGAGTGGCGGGGAAGGTAAAGATGTGTACTCAGCAAGCAACGGTCCTGATTTGGGAAGGGTAAAGGATGAAGCTCACTCCTTTCAGCAGCTACCATGTGCCAAACGCTTTCTATCCAGTAGCTCATTTAGTCCACATGACAACCCCGAGGCTGGCATCAGCATATCCACTTGACAGAGGAGAACAGCAAAGCTTACTGACTCAAAATACAGCCAATATCACACAGTCAGTAAAAAGCTAGCATTGACATTCATGGTCCAGTTGGCCTCAAAGGCTGAGTTTTCCCACAAAATTGTACAGACTTCTTTAAAAAAAAACACACATTTGATCCTCCCAGTATCCTTTCAGTTTTACTAAACAAATAGTTTTACTATTTGCTTTCTATGAGAATCTGAGATTTCAAACACAAACAACAAACAGAACATCCGGGGTGGCCTGAAGTCACTCTCTGTGTGGCATAGCTGGATCCTAAACCCATGCCCAGTAGCTCTTCTCTGCCTCAGATGTGACACTGGGGCTCAGGACGGATACCGCATGGTCCACAGAGGTAACCCCAGCTGGTAAGTAGAGGGACACATTTTGCATTTCTCCAATGGACCCATGGAAAACAATGATGCGTGGCCAGGTAATCAAAGGTCTGACTGACTGCTTGGAAATGTATTTCCCATGAGGACATGGTGACCTGACTGCCCACTAACATCTTCTACTGTCTGATCAGCACTTTGACAAAATTGCCATCTTGTCCTACGGAGAGTTGGTCTTCTGCGGTACTCCGGTGGAAATGCTGGATTTCTTCCATGGCTGTGGCTACCCTTGTCCTGAACATTCCAACCCTTTTGACTTCTATAGTAAGTTTTTCTTCCACATTCCCTACCGTAAATGTTTTTTAGTCTTTCTTACCTCAGATTTCTGTCTGGATGACACCAGTGAGTTTTGTTTTGGCTTTTGTTTTGGTGTCTTTTACTTTTCAATTTGTGAATCAATTAACTTGCCATCAATGACCTATCAGAACGAGATGGGGGCTCGCTCTCAAACAGATTGGTACACTCCTACTTTGTGAGAAAAATATAAGCTGAGCTTCTGGATTCTCCCACAGTCCCAGTGGGATTTCCATGGCTTTGCTGTGTAACTTTGAGATACTCTGATTTATAGGTGGACATCAACAACGGGTATTATTTTGGTGGGATGAGGTATCACGGCTAGTACTGAATGACGAAACATAAATTATCATCCATTGTGTATATATATATATATATATATATGCACATTTAAAAACAAATGGATCATTTTGGGGGGAAATAATTTTAGTGGACTTAACGTCAGTGGACACCCAAAACAAAGAACGGGAAATAGAAACCTACAAGCGAGTCCAGATGCTTGAATCTGCCTTCAAAGAATCAGCAATCTGTCAAAAAACTTTGGAGAATATTGAAAGAACAAAACACCTGAAGACATTACCCATGATTCCTTTCAAAACTAAAGACCCTCCTGGAGCTCTCTGTAAACTGGGTGTCCTCTTGAGGTAAGAGCTTTGAAACCTGAGTGAAGCCCGTTTTAGGTCTTTAGACATTCACCAATATGACAGAAAAGGAATTAAAATAGGGCTGTTTGATTTTCAGGAGAGTGATGAGAAACTTACTAAGAAATAAGCAGGCAGTGATTATGCGTCTAGTTCAGAATCTGATCATGGGTTTGTTCGTCATTTTCTACCTTCTGCGGCTCCAGAACCAGACACTAAATGGTGCTGTCCAGGACCGCGTGGGTCTGCTGTACCAGTTTGTGGGTGCCACCCCATACACAGGCATGCTCAATGCTGTGAATCTGTGTAAGTTCCTGTGCGGGGGAGGTGTGCCTCTTTCTCCCAAACATCTCCCTGCTCTTTTAGCTGTCACCTTACAAAGGTCCACCATTATAAGGGTATTTCTCTGAGCAAAGCCTGACCCCTGTAGACTTTCTGTCTGGGGAAAGATAACTACTGAATTATGAATACTTTAGTGTGAATTTAGCTAGCCAGGTGGATCTCACTGAAAGTCTAAAGATCCAGGGAAATACAAAGTTCTGAGGTGATAGTGGTGTAGTGTCTGGGGAGTTTTGCACAAGATCATCCTTGGTAGCTCATCTTGGCCATTAAGATGTACAGTTCATGGGGACCCAGCTTTGCACCACAGTTAATTTATTTATTTTTTTTTTTGGAGACTATTTTAAAATAGCCAGTACCTCATTTTCAAACTCAGTAAGAATCCAGAAGAAACACTTAACTGCCTGTTGTGATAGCTCACATGGGAAAGTGGATGGTAAAGAGATTCCCAAAATGCAACCCTAAATTCAGGGACAAGAGAGAAAGACAATGCAAAATTGGTCCTAGATGGGGACAAGGGGTAATGGTAAGCCCCTGCATTTCTGGCCCTCATTTCTGAGGCCCTGCATGAAATGCAGGCTGCCGTGGGAGCCAACATCTTACACAGAAAGAGGACAAAGTGCCTCAAGTCACCCATTCGTGCTCCCTTCACATGTGCTTTTCTTGAGTTGGTGGCAACCCCCACTTTAGAGAGAAGTAAATAAATTGTGGTAGTGTAGATTTCTGGGGTGGGGACTATTTATTGTCCTGTGGATGGCAGGTCCCCTCTTTCCATGACTAGGACACCTGTCCAGCTCATCTTCACTATCCAGCCCTGACACACCTAAAGTTCAGCTTGGGCTAGCCTTCCATCCCTCAGCTGCGTGGTGACTGTCTGTTTTGGAACCTGCCTTCCATGCCAGTTCCTGTGCTTCGAGCTGTCAGCGACCAGGAGAGTCAGGACGGCCTGTACCAGAAGTGGCAGATGCTGCTGGCCTATGCACTGCATGTCCTCCCCTTCAGCATCATTGCCACTGTGCTTTGCACCAGCGTGAGCTACTGGTAAGAGCTCCAGGACATTCAGTTTACCTGGGCCAGGTCTCCCATGGGTCACAGAGGGCCTGTGGAATGTGTGGAGAGAGAACTCCATAGCGACCATGTTCTCTACTCTGAAGGATCTTTCTTTCTGCACTTTGCCTATCAGTCGGTGCTGGGGTTTGAACTCAGGGTTTTCACCTTGAGCCACTCCACCAGCCCTTTTTATTTGATGGGTGTTTTTGAGATAGGGTCTTGCAAACTGTTTACCCAGGCTGTCTTTGAACCACATCCTCCTGATCTCTGCCTCTTAGAGTAGCTAGGATTACAGGTGTGAGCCACCAGTGCCCGGCATGTTGTCTCTCTTTTTTTTTTTTCTCCTTTTATTTTATTGTTCTTACATTTACTTATATGTATATACGTTGTTTGTGCCACCTCCCTGCCCCCCCCATGTTGTGTCTTTTATTATAAATAACATAACCTAATTAGCCAGGTGCCAGTGACTTACACCTGTAAACCTAGCTACTTGGGAAGCTGAGATCAGGAGGATTGAGGCCAGCCTGGGAAAGCAGTTCACGAGACCCCCATCTTCAAAATAACCACAGCAAAATGGACTGGAGGTGTGGCTTAAATGGTGGAGTACCTGCCTTGTAAGCGTGAAGTTTTGAGTTCAAAATCCAACTCCCCCTCAAAAAAAATTAAGGAAATAACTGGGCTTCATGGGACCTGAGAGCAAGTGAGCAAGATTACAGATGCCAGGGAAGAGCGTGTCTTATATTCCCTACTGGGCCTGGGCCAGAGAAGAGGGCTGTGGAGGAGCTGAGTGCTAGGTGCAGGGGCAATGTTCCCAGGCTGTGGTAAATGAGTTGAGCAGCCCCCCTACCTGAGGCTTCACCGATGGACCTGGGACATTGCAGCTTGGGTGTGGTGAGGGGACTGAGGAATGAAAAGGTAGTAAGAGAAGGGCACTGGGAACCACGAGCCATCCCTGATGTTGGGCTTTTGACTGATGGCACCTTTTTATTTCTTAGGACTTCATAAAGAGATAAGTCCAAGAATGTGCAGAGTTAGGATATTTTCAGCATTTGTTGTCCTGGGGAGATTACTCCTCCCGGATCCCTGCGACTCTGCCTTAGGAAAATGTGGAGGAGATGCCATTCTCTGACTCCGTTAGTGGAAAGGTGCCCAGCTCATTGGCCCAAGACAGAACTTCAGGCAGTTCTGGAGACCTGGTCTCTCTTCTCTGCCTAGATTCAAATGCAGGTGCTCCTAACATGGTGACTGTAAAGTCCCAGGATATGCAGTACAAACTGCAAGGTAAATGAGGCATGTTAGCATAAGCGCTCAGAGTAAGTCTGAAGGCACTGGTGCGGGCTCTTAGAAGATGGCTTTACTCAGAGGATGACATGGGCAAGACCACGTGAATGCCAACAGGAGGGTGGACTTTCAACCAAGAGCAATGGCAGGGACCACATGGCTTTCCTGCTGGCACTGACAAAGCCTCCTCGTGCTCTGACACTCAGAAACATGGATCTCTGAGCAGGGTCATAAACCACATGCCTAGCTGGTTCAGGTTGAATGGATTCAGGGAAAAAAGCATATCCTACGTGCTCTAGGAGCAAATTTTAAAAATTTAACAATTTTTGAGTGAAACAAGGGTGCAAGAAAATTGAAGACTGTTAGTTTTGAATTTTGCTATTCAACAGGACCCATGGACCACAGTGTCAGCATTATGTTAAGGTTTGTTCATATGCAGACTCTCACTGATTTTGAAGACTTTACAGTATTTGAGATGCTGACCAGGAGAAAGAATTTGCTCCAGAGGACTTGAGAAAGTGACAATTTGAAGTGGTTGAATGTAAGCATCTGTCATGACTACTTTTGATAAAAAGTTAGACTTGAAAAGGCAGAAGCATTCTCAGTGGCAATACAACTGTTGGCCATGTAGGAAATACTTTAGTGACAAGAAATATGTTTTGAATGCCTACTAGGTGCTTGCCACAGTGGCAGGTGCCACAGGGGACTCAAAGGGGAGTGAAGTGTATGCTGCCAAGCTTGTAATTCTAAAATCTAAACATTTCAGAAAGCCAAGTGTGCTTTGGCAAGTCTTAGCTGCAGAAAGAGCCTGACTGGAACTGACGTGGGGCTCTTCTTACATGTTCCACATGAATACTCTGTTCAGCAAAAATATTAATCTGCTTGATTACGGAGGCGGGGAGGACCACAGAGCCCACTGCATAAGTGGCCTACCTTCCCAAACTGGTCAATGTCCACATTCGAAACTGCATCTGACCCTAAAGTATTTCAGACACTGAGCTGTGGACATAAACACAACTCCAAATGACTTTAATTCAAGATTAGTCTTATAAAGCAGCACAAACAGCATGGTGCTGCACCTGCTAAGACACTGAGCAATGGCTTTACGTCAGGCACCGCTAACTATAAATGCATCAATTCATGCAATCCTGGAAAACATTTTATGAGGGTGGTACTCATTCTTATTTGTCGATGAGGAAACTGAGGCACAGGTGGGGTTCCTGTCTCACATATGTTATCTTAATTAATTACGGAGGAGACCATAAGTCCATTGGGCTTATTTGGAGAATAATTTGAGGAATGAGCGACATTTCAATGAAAAGAAAATGGAGAAGAGCTGAGTGCTGGAGGCTCATACCAGTAATCCTAGCTACGCAGGAGGCAGAGATCAGGAGGATTGCAGTTTGAAGCCAGCCCAGGCAAATAGTTAACAAGACCCTATGTTGACAATATTTAATACAAAAAAGGGCTGGTGCAGTGGCTCAAGGTGTAGGCCCTGAGTTCAAACCCTAGTACTGCAAAGAGAAAGGGAGAAGAAAGAGCAAAGCCAAAGGTTCAGAAGTAAACACATGTAAGATCTTCGAAGGCAAAGAGTTCAGTTGCACTGTGAGTAATGAAGGACTGGAAGTAGTAGAAACTGAAACTGAAAATCTTGGAGTCTGGTAGAAGCACTGGCTGCCAGGCATATGGAGCTGGGGAATATTTGTGGACTAGAGGAGAGGAATTTGCACTAGGGAGCTGGCCCCTCTGTGTTGGGTTCTAAGGGTAAATCTGGTGTTTCTTTCACAGCAGACTGGACTTAGGCCAGAGATGTTGGGTGCCCTTTGTAGCCACCTATAGGAAAAAGGGCCCACAATGAAGAGAGTAGCAGTGGCAATACAACAGGAGAATCTTTGGGCTGGGGATGCAGCTCAGTGGTAGAGAGCTTGCCTAACAACTCTGGGTGGTGGGGCGGGGTGAGGTGGCAGAGGGAGGGAAGAAAAGGTGGTGGTGGAGGATGAAATCACTTTGAGATGCTGGGAAATGAGGAACCAAATGAACTCAGAAACCAAATAGATTTGTTGGAGTAAAGAAAAGTCATAGTTGATGCTTGAGTCTTCTTCAGCCTGAGGGGATGGAAGGATAAAAGCATTCTTATCAGGTTTTCCAGGGAAGAGAGTGGACTTGGTTTTGAACAGATTGCATGGGATGCAATAAAAACATTCAACTAGATGCTAATCTGGACTGCAGGTGTCCCTCAAACAGTAAAATGCCTGTTTTGCCTTGCAAGCATGAATTCCTGAGTTCAAACCCCAGTCCCACCGATAGAGAGAGAGAGAGAGAGAGAGAGAAGTGGGGGAGGTAGGGAGAGAAAGGTCTATCTGAGGTCTAAGTGATAAGCAAGAAAAGCAAAGAAAAAGTCAGTGGAGTAAGTAAAGACCTTGGAGTGAATTCTACAAGGAATGGCATTGGAAGAGTGAGGAAGCAGTCTAAGTGCAAAACCTAAGACAGGCCCATTTGGAGGATGGGAATTAAGACAGAAAACTGATGAAAGAAGCAAAGAGGTGTCAGGCAGGTGGAAGGAGCAGCAGCACTGGGCAGCAGAGGATGAGGGATGAAGGTATGGTATTGAAGAGGCTAGGTCATTGGTCTCTTCCAGGAGAGCTTCTGTAGAGTGATGGGGGTAGGAGTCAGGTTTATAGGGAATCAGAATGAGATAGAGGAAGTAGATGCTGTTTGGGGAAGTGAGGTGGTATAGGGTAGGATGAAGAGGGGCAGTTGCTTCAGACTCAAAGGATAGTTGTCTTGTGCTGTGGTAAATAAGATCATCAAAACCATTAGGGGGCTGGGTGGGTGTAGCTCAGAGGTATAGTGCTTACCTAGCATGCCAAATGCTCTGAATTCTAGCCCCAACACTGCAAAACAAAAACAAAAACAAAACAAACAAAAAAAACTTAGATTGTAAATAGATGAAAATACAGCCAAAATTGGCTAAGTCACAGATCAAAGTTTCAGTGTAGACTAAGGTAGGGGCAGGGAAATCAGAATATAGGATCACCCCAAAGATGGGGTGGGAAAAGAAGTATGGGTGGGAAGAGAGAATGAAAATAGCAAGAAATTCATAAAATGGGAGGGGAGTTTCCCTATCCAGCACTGAGGAGAGACTGAAATTGGGGAAAATGTAGTGTAAAGCAGAGGTTTTACATCAGCCATGATGAGACATGCCATTGGAACTTACGACGTGAAGAGGAAATCTTATGGGCTCCTGGGGCCAGCTGAGGCAAAGTGGCAGACTGGATCCAATTAGTACAGCATATGCTCCATTCAACACACGTTGCAGTGAGAGAGCAGGGTTCCCAGAGGGGACGACTGCTAAGGTAAAGAATGGCTGAAGCCAGCAAGGATCTGAGGCAGGGAGGGTTGGGAAAAGAGGGAACAGGAGGCCATGATTAAAAAGGGTATTTTCATAATCTGAACTCTTGGAAGTTGAAGTTTTGAGTACTTTTGAAGTCTAAGGCTTGCTGAGTGGTTGAGATTAGGTAGATGGAGCCACTGAACAGAGATCAGCTAACTAGGAGACATTTATATGGATGGCTATTATGAAAGTTAAAGATTGAGAAAAATGGTGGAGAGGAAGTGTGATCCTGTCAAAGTTGCAAGATTTTAAAAATAGAAGGGAATTAATAGTCATAATTGGAACAAAAGGAAAGGAGGGTGGCTTTGGAGAGTGGCAGGAAAGAGTGACTATGAGACACACCAAGGTAGTTCCTTACTCTACAAATGGAATAAATAAGAACAATGTATAATGGTCATTTAAATCATGCTATTCACCTGTGAGACATAATTTGGTGAAAGGAAAGATGCATAGATATAGGGTAGCTTTATATATATATATATATATATATATATATATAAGGAAATGAAGGTCAAATCAAGGGAGGGGTTGTTGAATCAAGGATGGAATGGAATTGGGGGCAGTAATCTGATAGAGGATGAAGTTGGGAAGGGGTGTTCAAGCTGGAAATAACCCTGCAGAACATGAATGTGGTTCAGGGAAAGAGGGCTGAGAGGCATATTGGTTTTAGGATAGGAGAGGTCAGAGGAAAAGCATGATTGTTTAGGAAGAGGCCTAAGTAGCCCTATTTGGTGCAGCTAGTTGTGACTGTTGTCTAAGTAATGTGATATTTTGCTATGAGAGCTGAGGGAGCTGTCACAAGCAAGTCACACTGAGGTGAAGCCAGTGGAAGAAACTATGGCAATAAAAGGTCTCAAATGCAGGCTGTGTTCCCAAAAGATCTTACAAAGGGAGTATGGCTTGCCCAGCTAATTCCTCCCACCACCCACCAAGGGTTTATTCACAGAAAGCAAGTATGGTATTTTTTTTTTAACGAGTAGCACTGGGAGAGGAAACTAAAGCCCTTCTGTTTGTCTAGGACACTGGGCTTATACCCTGAGATTGCCAGATTTGGATATTTCTCTGCTGCTCTTTTGGCCCCCCACTTAATTGGTGAATTTGTAACTCTTGTGATACTTGGTATGGTTCAAAACCCAAATGTAGCCAACAGTGTAATGGCTCTGCTGATCTCTGCTGGACTGCTTGTTGGATCTGGATTAGTCAGGTAAGATATATATATATATATATATATATATATATATGGATTGTTGCTTTGATTATTAATGATCATCTGATAGCACTTGCTATAAAGGAATTCCAGAGGAGAGCTACGTGATGTTGCTTAGTTATGACCTTGTCTGGAGTACTTACACTGCTTGCTAATCATTATTGCTGTAGACTTTGAACTGCTCACCATCTGTTCAATAAGATGTCTTTTTATTAGGTATTAGAAAATGCAAGGTGAGTGTATTATTGATATGACTCACATGTAATAAGCCACTAAAACAAGAGAGAGAAAATCAATCGGGATGCTCCAGAAAAAATTACAGCCAAATTACAGGCTAACCAGTGTGCATATCAGTTCATTTCTGACCTGGCACTATTGAGTCTCGGTTCCAGTTCTCAATTCTCAGTTATTTTTGAGAATTAAAACTGGTCAGATAAGAAAAGATCCTGCAAGATAAAAGACTGCTCAAGAAAGTATCAGGACGTAGGTCATATCCCAAATGTTAACAGTAATTATCTCTGGGTGCTATTTTAATTTTTCTTCAATTTTTCTATATTTTATACATTTTCTATAATGGCATCATTTTAGAACCAAGAAAACACACACACACACACACACACACACATACACACACACACTTTTTTTTTTTTTTAAAGCAGCATCAGAAGGGGTATAAAAGTTTAAACAGGTAAAGATGATTCCAGGCAGGTGATACACGTGGGACCTAGTAAGTAAATTATCGGTTCCTTAGGAACCTTGAAGAAAGCTTTGTTTCTCTGACACAAGAATCAAACAAAAAATGAGTGAGCATATGTACGTATATTTATGTGTAGTGTTTAACTCTCAGAGAAATCCATTTGCAAGTAAGAAAAGTAAGCCCAGACTTGAATTTGCTTAAGACCACTACCATGAAGTCGCCCTTGTCCTGTGTGGCTTCCTGGAGGGCTGACCCCTGAGTCAGAACTTCCTGTGGCACATGACCATGAGCAAGTCACTTTCTATCTAAATTAGTTTCCTCGTTTATAAAATGGAGGTTCTTATATTGGCTGCACCTACCTCAAGAGATAATTAACATCATCACAGCACTTGAAGAATAATGAACTATATAAAGGTGAGATGTTGTCAAGCAAAGGGAGCTAGGTTTTGATCAGGGATATTTGTTACATTATATTGTATTTGTCTCTGCTGCTTAAGTGGATTGTTAGCACCTCTGAAAAATGCACAAATCAAATCATCCCCAGAATACAGAATCAAACGAGCAAGGTAAACCCAAACTTGGGCATCATATTCTTTTTTATATTATTTGATTTTTAGGAAAAGACAATCATTTGTTCTTAAAAGGGAAGGCCTCACTAACAAAACTAAATGTTCTTGGGTCCTTCGCAAAATCTCCACATCCACATCCCAAGGCTTCACTCCACTTTGTTTTTTTTTATTGGCAGTACTGGGGTTTGAACTCAGGGCCTCATGCTTGCAAAGCAGGTGCTCTACCACTTGAGCCATGCCCTAGCCCTTCTTGCTTTTAGGAATTTTTGAACTAGGGTCTCACATTTATGCCCAGGTCAGGCTGGGCTGTGATCCTATTCATGCTTCCTGTGTAACTGGGGTGACAGGCACATGCCACTGTGCCCAACTTTTATTTGTTGAGATGAGATTTTGAGAAATTTTACCCAGGGTGGCCTTGAACCCTGATCCTCCCAACCACTGCCTCCCAGGCCGTTAAGATTACAGGTGTGAGCCACCGTGCCCAGCTCCACTCCACTCTTAAAGGTCACCTCAACCTCCAATCACTCCAATCACAGATTGTCAGTCTGACAATCAGGCCACACTGAACAATCTGCAGCATTCGTACTCCTGGCTCTGTCTACTCTTAAAAACAAATGGAAATAACTTTGCTGTTCCTTCTACTTTAATAATGCAAGTTCTTTGGGATAAAAATGCAACGCACACAATATAGAAATGTGTGAGGAAGAAAGTAAAAGTTATGCGAAGTATCAGAACTCAGAATTAAATTATGTTGCATATCTTGTAGATTTTAATAAAAATGAGATACTATCATATAAGATAAGAAGTATGCATACTTTCTTCCCATTTGATAACATCACTTTGACAGTCCATGTCAATAAATTTAGAGTTATGGTTCCTTACTCTTAAACGCACTCCAAGGAGTTCTGTGACAGTCTGGCTCTTCTGTGGCTTTCACTTCTAGTCTCCCACTGCCACCAGCGCAAAGTGTACCCATTGGGCTCCAGTAGAGGAGTGCTCTCTGTAAGCCCCCCACCCTTTTTTAATTGCCCATCATGTGCCACCTCATGTCACAGCCTTCAACAGTGAACAGATGACCAACCACTTGAGGGTAGGAGCTCTGTTGCATTTATTGTTAGTCTTTCTCCATGGGGAATTAAAACCCTGCAGAATAAAAGACTGCTCAAAAAGAATTAACCTAGAAGGTAACACCCACGCACAGGAAATCAATGTGAGTCAACTCACTGTATAGCTCTCCTTATCTCAACCAGCAAAAACCCTTGTTCCTTCCTATTATTGCTTATACTCTCTCTACAACAAAATTAGAGATAAGGGCAAAATAGTTTCTGCTGGGTATTGGGGGGGGGAGAGGAAGGGGGCGGAGTGGGTGGTAAGGGAGGGGGTGGGGGCAGGGGGGAGAAATGAACCAAGCCTTGTATGCACATATGAATAATAAAAGAAAAAGAAAAAAAAAAAAAGAAAAACAAACAAACAAACAAAAAAAGAAAGTATAAGGACTTAAAGGACATATACCAATTTTAACAGTAATTTAACAGTAATTATCTCTGGATGGCCAGCCTGTGGCCTTGATCTGATTAGGTTTGCAAAAATTATTTGTCAAATGGAGTGAATAAATTAATGACTCTCCTTGGATTGCCTCCACACTGAATCAGGCACCAAATTGTGTTGGTTTCCTTTTCTACATCAAGGCACAAATGCATGTAAAACATTTATTTTGTGCTTAGCCTGGTGTGGTGCAGGGAGAGAAGGATGCACATGGTTCCTACCTCAACCAAGCAGTATGCTAGCCAGCTGGGCAGCCCACCTCTTGTGCCATCATCCTATTCCATGCCTTTGCCACCTTATACTTTGCCTTAGCCTGGTCCCCACCCCCCATCCCTGCTTTCTGAAAAACTGTTATTAATCTCTCCTTATTTTGATTCAGTCTACTTGCTGATGCTGGACTAATTTTCTTAATGATTTTAACATGACTTTCTCAGGGTCATTCAATGTCAACTCACTTCAAGGTCCTGAAACAGTTGTTTCCAGCTGTCTTTGTGAACTCACCTCCCTTGCTCCCACTTCAACTCCACTGTAGCCTTTCAGGTCCATTCAACCCCATATGCCTGTGCTCAGACCATCTCTGCCTTCCTCAAATGTCCTTTCTCTTTGTCAAGTCCGTCCCATATTCCTACTAGTCTTTTTCAGTTAACAGCCTCTCAATGTGATTCATTCATTTGTGCCTTCAAAAACTGCAGTAACTCAAAGTCTTGGGCTTGGGGGTTATTTGAAGATAAGAAAGACCATAAATACAAATATAAAATGTACTGATCATGTGGGTCTGGTTTTTAATACTCTCTTAGCACAAATAGGTCACTACTGTGTGTTTTTATAGTCCTAAGGATATATATTCTATGCCCACAACTACATTGTGAGTTCTTTAGGGATAGGATTCTTAAAAAAAAAATTCCTAAAGCACTTAGAACTAGAGTCTTGCAAATAGAAGGCATTTAACCTATATTTTGTGACCAAGAGAAACCAAGAAGGACCAAGAAGGCACAAGGTCAGAACAGTTTCTCCTGAAACAGACTGGAGAGGAGCCATGCTCCATTTTCACAATGGGTGTCTGCTTGCTCCTTCCACCTTCTCCCCCTGTATTCTAGTTTAGTTCTCACTTCACACACAAACACCTTCAAATTTCTGTTTAGTCACAACTATCTTCCTCTATAACATGTACTGGGTGTATATTTTCTTGTATGTTTATATAAATATGCTTACCAAAAAAACCTAGACACCAAACGATCATGAGTGGACTACTTAAGTCTCTACAACAGTGGACTGCCAAGCTGTGATTAAAAATTACAAAGTGCTACATTTACCAAGTTGGAAGAAAGTCTGAGACAGATGCTTGGGAGCAAAAGAGCAGTTAGGAAAGGGGATGAAGAGTCAAATTCCATTTATGTAAAACTTTTATACACACAACTATGTTATGTATATCATCAAACTGTTAATAAGCTATTTCTGGGCAATGGGATTTCTTTATATTTTTCCAGTATTAATTGAAGATTTTTATAGTGAATAGAGTTTTTATTAATAGAGATAGAAAATTATATTTATGTCAGAAAACATAAAATAAGGATGGCCTTTCTATATTTACTATAGTCTATTGAATTTTATCTTTTTTCTTTTTTTTAAGAAACATAAAAGAAATGCCCTTACCTTTTAAAATCTTCAGTTATTTTACATTCCAAAAATATTGCTGTGAGATTCTTATAGTCAATGAATTCTACGGACTGAATTTTACTTGTGGTAAGTATTCTATTTTGAAATATTATTTTTACATATTACTCTGAGTAAGCAACTTCTTGAGGGAAATACATTTGTGAAATAAATGTATTTTTATAATAAATTGATTTAAAACTTTGTTTTTAAATAAAGTCCAACACTTTTTCTGATTTTTAAAATAAAGGAAGATAAGCAGTGGTCAGGTTAGTCCCCTGTCAAAGGTCAAGAGCTTAAGGTCACTTCAATGTTAATAGAAAGTGGCAGGCCTTATGTACACTGAGGTAAATTCTAGTATGTTCTAGATAGAAAACACTGAAGCAGGCTAAAGTAGCTTCTTGTTCCCTGAAATAAACATAGAATATATCTAAGTAAAGCTATTTTTTATGGAACATGATAAAGTCCCCATGGTTACTGGAAATTCCAGGCTCACTTTGAAGACAACTAAAGAACATGGTAACATTTAGTGGTTGTTTTAAATATTTTTAGGTGATATATCAATAACTTTAGGATATTAGGTGATATATCAGTAACTTTAGAATATTTATATTTTTAGGATATAAGTAATCATCATTTTTATCAGGAATAGGGTAATGAATCTATATTCAAAATAGAAGCAAACTCTTTCCATCTTCAAATGAAGCTAAGTCCCAAAATTCTCACTCATTTCCTCTAATTACGGATTCCAGGCTGTCTGAAATGTCATGTGTCCTTCATGAAGAAGGATATTTAGGCAGAGGGCTAAGGGCTTGGTGAGCATTAGGTAAATATTTGTTGATTAAATAAGCTGAAATGTACCATAGCTGACATTGCTAATCTTTTCCTTGGCAGGCAGCTCGAATGATTCTGTGACAAATCATCCACTGTGTGCTATCACTCAAGGGATTCAATACATTGAGGAAACCTGCCCAGGTGCAACATCCAGATTTGCAACAAACTTTCTCATTTTATATGCATTTATCCCACTTCTTGTCATCTTAGGAATAGTGGTTTTTAAAGTAAGGGATTATCTCATTAGCAGATAGTAAAGAACATTGCTGGGAAAATGGAACTTAAGCTATTAGATACACACGAATGACTGCTTTGAATGTCTGAAATAAGAATTTCTTTTTTGATGGGAAATGTCAAGTCTTTTAAACCCTAAGACTCCATTTGTGAAACTTGGATCTACACAGGGCTTGAATGCATTGGAAATGGTTCTCAGTACCTTGCTATTGTAGCTTGTGGAGAATGGGGTATTTGGAAATTGTGCCCTAGCTGGTCTAAGAATGTAAATAACAATTCATAAACCTATGGGAGACTAGTGTGACTGTTTGTTTTCTTTATTTTTGACATAGAAAAATAAGTCAATTAAAAATGTTTAAATTTGATAAAGAATTTGGTAAAAAAGAAAATGTTTGAATAATTACTGACTAGAAGTAACAGAAAAAAAAGAGCTATGGGTGTAATTGAAGCAAAGCATTAGTCAGAATTGGGTAAGAAAGCTTCAGCTATCATTTAAAACTCATGTTTATGTGCACTTGTCCAAGTGAGAAGTCTGGGTAAACGTGCAGAATAGCTGTTATTTAAACTTCACACAGAAAAAATGCTCAGCTGACACATTTCCACCAAAAACAGCATTACACTGTGGAAACTCATGCTCTTGGATTGTACAGAGAAAGGAACATCCATCAAAACAAACACAGATACAGGTATTATGTATTTCCAGGGATGAAATGATGGGTATAGGTTATTATAAATGGATTCTCTACTAAATGACTGATTATCTTTCTGATTGATCTTCAAATAATTCATGAATAAGTCTGAAATAAAACTGTCTCAATGTTACCATGGTAACTTGGGGTGAGAATATCAGAGAGACTCCATGAACTTGTTCAGTTACTGTGACCTAACTTGTAAAGAATGATAAATTACAGCTCTTGAAATGTCTCACACTATAGTAGAAAGATCATTTCATTAAGGAAATCACAGTAAAATTCTATTACTTAGAACAGTATTTAAGGATCTGAAGACGGTGGTAAATTACCAGAATAGTATTGTCAATTTTTATAAAAGGTCTATGACACTGCTGATTATGGTATAATAGTTATATAATGCTTTACAGATTATATATGTCACATACATTATAGACAGTTCTTGAGATGATAATCTATTAAAGTAGTTCAAAGAGAGTCCCACAGGAATCTCTTTTGAAATCACAGATTTCAACTTACTAAAGATATGGGTGTACAAGGTAAGTGAAAACGTTTTCTACTATTCATATGCAGATGAATTTCATTCCAGCTCAGAAACATTTGGGAAATTGACATTGCACGTGACTTCAACCTATTAAGTGTTAGTGATAGTATCCTAGAAAAACACAAAGGCTTTCAACATGTGACAGTTTGTGTCTCAAGTAAAAAATGGACAGTGATGTGTAAGAAAATAAAATTATATAATAAACATTCCCATTATTGTTGTGGAACAGGCTGTTTCTTCCCACCAAGTCAGTGATGTTTCTGAGATCATCAGTTCTCTCTGATTTGAAGAGAGCTGTTTCACATGCTGAAAATTCTGTTCTCGAGAGTGTTAGGACTGTAAGTGAGGCAAATAGCGCGTACAGTCCTGTTTAATCTCAATGATCAGATAGCTTGCTGTCCACCCAGATAAGACGGGTGGGTGTTCTTGGAATTTATAAATGTCCTTTTTGAAGCTGGGTGCGCAGCACATTAGGGTCAATGTATTATATATGTGGAAATGGAAGAACAAGAATAAATAACTTTCTTGATCAATGACAGTAATCTTCTTTAGTCAAAACTGAACTTGGCTGGCAGGTACACAAATCTTAGAGGATTGGGAAGGCTTCTTAAAGTTTCTATCATCTTGTAAATAATCATGGTTATTTCCAACTCATGAAGTTCTGCTAGCTTATTGACAAGATATCTCCCTTAGCCCCTCAGCCCTGCATGGGTTTTTGTGTTTGTTTTTTCGTGGTACTGGGATTTGAACTCTGGACTCAGGGCCTCACACTTGCTAGGCAGGTGCGCTATTGCTTGAGCTATTCTACTAGCCCTTTCTTGTGTTGGGTATTTTTGAGATAGGGTCTCCTTTTTGTTTGTCTTTTATTGTTGTTGTGTGCCTCTTCCCTCCCCTCCACCCCCTTGCTGGCTTTGAACCAAAATCCTCATCTCTGCCTTCCAAGTACCTAGGATTACAGGCATGAGTCACCAGCACTCCGGCTTTGCCTGTTCTTTAAAAGTGATAGTTAAAATAAGTGTGTCAGTCTCAGTAGGGGAGGGGGTGCTGATTAAAATGCCTCATTGCAGAAAACTGATTCAGAATCTCTGAGTGTGAGGATCCAAGAATGGACATTTTAAAGAAGTACTTTCAGGTGCTTCTTGGGCCTCCACTGGTAAAGTGAGAATCCCACCCCTGTGAACTCAGTTCTGGATTCCTACCAGCAACATCTGAGTATACCTTTTAGAAGGAATGTGTCCAACATAGGCACTTAACTTTAATTTAATTCTACTACCAAGTACTCTTACTTTCATAGTCCTAAAAACATATAAGTAGAAACTTACACATGCTGAACTGAGTTTATACTACTTACATGCCAGAGGTAAATGGTAAAACATTCTTTTATTTAAAAAAAATATTACATGTAATCAACTTTTTTTCCCTTTAAAAGACTTCAGAATATTTAGGGAGCTGCATTACAAGAAATTAACAAATTATGCATTAACTTTCTCCTCTTATTCCCACAATAGTTACAAAATTATCTTACTTGGATTTAGAAAAGGAGAAATAAATGTACAGTAGTTGAATTAGATTCAAGAATCAAGCTCAATTTGTTTCCAAGTCTTGGAAGAACTTTTCTTATACTGCTCCAGCTCCTAAAATGAAAAAATACATGACTTTTAAGAAAAAAAACAACACATTCTTACCAAAAATTTGGTTGTCAGCAAAATACCAATATTTATATATATATATATATATATATATATACTCTTCAATACAGTGATTCTACTTCTAGAAATTTATCGTACAGAGTGTCAGGCGTGGTGGCACACGCCCATAATACTGGCAGTGGGGTGGTGGAGGCAGGAGGATTACAAGTTTGAGACCAGTCTGAGCTACACACCAAATTCAAGGCCAGTCTGAGTAACCCAGTGAGACCCTGTCCCAAGAAACCCAAGGGCCAGAGGTGTAGCTCATTTGCCAGCATGTGCAAGTTCCTGGGTTTGATTCCCAGAACTGCAAAAAAAAAAAAAAAAAAGAAAATCATACAGAAACGAGAAGTACACAAGGATGTAAATGGAAAGATACTGCTTGAACTGTGTGTGACTCTCAGAACACAACTAGAAACAAACTTAGATGTTGCATGTCCCCAGAAAGGGCTGATGAAATACATCAATGCTCATTCACCCTCGGCCTCCTGTGCAGCCAGCAAAAATAATGGTGGCCTGATGTGCCACCTGAAAATGGCAAAGAGCAAGGGAGAAGGCAGGATCGTTCTGTCGTCTTATATCCTTATATCCTTCTACGCCTTTTGGAGTTTTCACAACGTGTATGTTAATTTTACAATTCATAAAACAAAGCTTAGTAGTGGCAGAAGTCCTGCATGAGACGGACCTTCAGAAGAGATTATCTAAAGGGAGGGCCTCCTGCCCCCCACCATGTTGATCAATGTCTAAGTAATTGCACAAAGCATGTTCTATTTTGGATAAGCAAAAAGTGGTTACTCTGGCAAGATAAGGTGATCAGTGCATTTGGTCAAGGTGACTGAAGTTCATAGTTGTTATGAAAATACACTTCATTCTCAGAAAAAACACAGACTAGTCTTCCCCACCTATGCACTATGCTATTAAAATTTAAGTGGCCAGCCTCTCCAACTATGTAATACTTTAAAATAATTTTTATGGTAATAACTTCAGAGTAGTCTATCTTCCACCTGTGGTTTCAAAGATTGTTAATATATAAATATAAATTGGTATTGTAAACTTTGTCTTTAACTGGAAATGCTCCATTATTTTTACCAGGATAAAGGTGAGGCATTGCTTTGCGATTCTTTGCTAGTAATATCTCCCTCTGCAGATGACAAACTGAGAGAAGAATGGGGCTGGTCCCACTGGCCACACCCGAGGGAGAAGGCGTAACTGATGTGATTAGCTCACCAAGGCTATCAGATCTTCCCTACTGCTATCTTGCGGACTCAGAATAGTGTATGATATTTGTAAGGAACAGCAAGTCAGGTTTTCATTACACTGTGATTCTTCATGGCTGCTTTACAGAGCTATTAAAAAGTGAAAGCAAAACCAAGAAGCTTTCCACCGACTCTTAAAAACCTTTGACGTTTCAAAGATAAATGGTCCCTGGTCTTATAATGGGCTACAGTCTTATAATGCTTAAAACAGCACCTGCAATAAAGGAAATAAGAACGTCTTTCTCTAAGCGTGTGAGACAGTGTGTTTGTGTGTTTAATAAATAGTCTTAGGTATCATCAACAAGTAGGTTTTTTAAATTGGAGATCCAAAAAGGATACCTGCGGTTTGCCAAGAAGGCCTTAAAAGTAATTGTTTACCCAAACCTCTGACCCCCTTTTTTCTTGCTTTCTTTTAAAATATTGAAAAGAAATAGAAGAGGTCGGCAAGTGCTTTCCATACTCACCTTCCCTAAAGTCAGGGACGGCTTAAGACTGGAGGGCTTTAAAAAACCAGAATATGCTAATGTACTATTTTCTGGTGCCCATGTAATCTGCAGGAAGGTGGATGGGGCCTTCCTGCCAAGAGTTTGGCCTGTGAGGATTAGTTTCATAGGTCATGAGGATCTCGATGTGTCTGTAAGGACTAAGATCAGATGGGTTCTGAAGCTATCATAAAAGAAATACTTTACTAAGAGACTTACACAGACATATGGAGCGTCCTCGTGGTGGGGCACTCCTCACAATGGCAGGATGGTTTCACAGAAGAGCGAAGCTCCTGGGGTATGGGATAGACACTTCCTTCTACCCTACTGATTCAATGGAACTTGGACCTTTTTTGAAGCACTGGTGTTAGAGAAACTGAATGGAAGTCATGAGTGTGTTCCTCTGTACTAGAAGCGGTGTGCTCTAATTTCA